GTCATGTCGACTGCTTGACCGTTTAGGGGTCCCGGCGTGCGAAGTAAATTGCGTTTCATATTACAGGGCTGGGTGCTGGTCGCTCGGATGTGTCGATTGAAAACAGCGCTGACAGCATCCACTTTGGCATCATGACAGCATTGCGCTGGAGCATTCCTTCTGCACTGATTACGTTTGGAGACCGATGCGCCGTGATGGAATGCAGGTCCTGCCTGACTGACGTACCACCACTTGACAGAGGCCAGGCCGGATGCAGGGGTGTCCCTAAGCGACACGACGGCTGTGACCTCGCACCTCGGCTCCACACTCATTTCCCAGAATTCGCGGCCCTTAAATGTCCTTCCTTGAGGGATGAGACCCCAATGAGTGACTGCTCAACATGGCAAGTCTCTCTCTCCGGCTGCCGGCGTGTCAGAGAGCTGGCTCGGCCAGGTGAGGTGACATGACGACCCAGGCAATTTAGGTGAGACAATTACGTTTGGGTCGCGCAGTGAATTGAAACTAACGTCGGATCTATGCATTCACACCTCGTAAACATCGTAATATACGCAGTCTTGTGGGCCGCCAGTAACCGGTACATGCCGTCGCAACTTTCGAGCACACCATCGAGTTGAGTTTCAATTTCTCCTGGTCCGCGGCGAAGCCGAGCAGCATCGTCTGTCTCAGTCTTAGTTGACCCAAGTTGTTGGCACGTTAATGAAACGGCCCTTGGCTGTCTTCTGTCGAATTCGCCGTGTTAGTGCCTGCCGTAGTGCGTCGAGGCTGAAGCAAGCTAAAGCTACCGGGAGCTGCAAATGTCCCAGTGTGCAACGTCGGTGGCCCTCTCTCCTTCGCCGGCGGCGTTGCCGCGGTCTGGACTATATCTGCAGCTGCAGGGCACCCCCTCCGTCGACGTCAGCTGAGGTCTTCATGCCGAAGTACACGCCACATTCCTATCGGAAGCAGCGTGGACCGCCTACTAGAGAAGAGCGGATGTGACATCTTTCAGGCTGTTCCGGAGGTCTTGAGGGAACGCACCGTACCGCGGCTGGCGGGAGAGCACGTCCCCCGCATTTTGACAAACGGAAAGGACACCCTGCTGGATGAGCAGCCAGAATGCCAACAACCGCATGGCAACAACTTTGAGACGTCGACGCTTTATGTCGACACCGTACCAAACTCCGTAATGGAGCCCGTAACCAGCCTTGGCGCACGCTTCATGTTTCAAAGTGGCACTGATTTCAGCGCCTGTAGCGCAACAGCGAAATTGCAAGCCAAGCTTGAACAGAGTCCAGTACCGCGGACTGGCATTCCATTCGAAGGGGAGTCACCTGGCGCCAGCGCCAGCGGCGTGCCGAAGACTTGCCGGCGAACATTTCATTCTGAAAACTTTGGTTCGGAGCCCACTTCTCCCACTGACCCACTGTTCCAACACAAGCGTGCGTCCCAAAACAAATGCGAATTCCACGGGTCATGTGTCCCGGAAACGTGCAATCTGTGGGCGTGGGTCATTTGCGCACGTCGCCATCTCGTGCTCGATCGGCTGGTCAACCCACGCCAGCTCTATCATCTGTCACCCGCTAAGTTCGCCGTTGTCCTTCAACGATGCATCGGCGAATTCAACTGCACTGATGCATACGATGGAAAGTCGCCGGTATGCTCGTCAGTCACCGGCGACCAGCACCGCGCATGCCAACTTCATCGACTGATTGCCCTCGGAGGTTTCAAGGGCCGCAATGCTGGTAGGCCTTCGCAGGGTTGGGAGGTCGATTGTTCCGAAGTTTCGGGACGGCGGGACGCAAAATTCATGTCTGATATGGCTGATGACGACAGACGGCAATTTAGGGGTCTGGGCCCCTCGCGCCGCGTGCCAGGGTGACACCTCGCCGCTAGTAAGCGAATGGCCCAACGCCGAGCAGACAGAAATGTATTTGGTGAAGTGAGCATGCGCCGATAGAATAGTCACAGTACAGGAACGGCCAGGAATCGGCGCACCAGTGTGTATTTGGAAGGATGCAAGGCTGCCGGAGGCGGCAGGAACGGAAGTGGAAAAGTTAGGAAACTGCGTCTTTGGGGTGAGGGAGAGTGGGGCGGCGAGGGTCAAGGCCATTGAGTGCAGTCAGCCAGTGGGCATGCGGTGCCGGACGCACGCCAGGCAGGACTATGCGTACCTGCGATCCACCATATTGCAGGGTACAAGAGCGGGCAAGGTGGCAAGTAGTGCTTTGGCAGGCCATGCAGGGCTCGATGTTGGTGTGCCCGGCCGGCATCCTGCATGCACGGACAGGCTGCTCGGACACCAGATCTCGGCTGTGTTGCATCAGTCAGTGAGCTCAGGGGAGTCCAGTTCCAGCCTTTTGCTAGCTGCAATGGCTTAATGGCTACGCTTCGCAAATGCCGAAGGCTGCAGAAGCACAAGTCTCATACATCGAGTCCTCAGGCTCAGCCTTGGAGACTGGGAACGTCGCAATCCTCGCTCGGTGCGAGGCACGGATGTAGCATATCCCTCCCCAGCGCGCAGTATATGAGGTGCTGCACCATGGTATCTCCTCCCTTACGCCTTGCTTGTACCGCATACCGCAGCCTCAGTGATTGCTGCCGACAGCGGAAGTCGGCCTAAACCGCGCCTGTGCAGGCTGACTGGTATCTGCGTAGGCTAGGTTCCCAGGATCTGTCTCGGGAAGTCAGTGCAGGCTTTGTTCTGGGATCTTGGGTCGCTGGCACGGTGAATACGACAGGTCCGAAATGCTTAACATGTTTTACCTGTGGGCCATCTGGAACGCACAGTCCGCTGGTTGCTGCCCTGGTGGTGCGGAGGATGGCATCCGAAGGGAATGAGCGTACGAGCATTTGGTCGTGACCGCAAACCGAACAAGTCAGCCTCCTACGCACTTCTGGTCAACCCTGGACACACTGGAAACAGCCGCTGGAAAGAAAAGAACACGCGTGCCGTAGGTATCGAGCGCAGCACAATCCGCACTTGATCGAGTGTCATGCCCAGATTGGGTAGGATGAGACCGGAATGCACACACGGTTGGGAACCGACACCTCTGGCGGCGTCTGCCGCCCCCACCTGACATCGACAGCCCAAGGGCAAGCCAGCCGGCGATGGTGCAGGAGACACTGACGTACATGCAACATTGTTTCTCCGCCTCCCCAGCTTGCCGTGGCGATGATTCCAGATCCTGCCCTGCCATGACCGAACACCGGCATTCACTGTGCATGACTGCGACGCATGTTTGGGGGCGGACAGCCGGATATTGGGGGTCAAGAGTCGGAGAAAGGCAGCGGGGGAAATGCTTGCAGCTGCGGGTGCGCTGGAGTACCTCCGGTATCCCAGCGCTGCTGGGCCAGCGGCGACGTGGCCGACATGCCGCCATTGCATGAGACTAACCAAGGCCATTCAGTGCGAGTCGACGACTGCGAGGAATGTAAAGTCCCACGACAACATTGCATTCGACTGCCTCGATGACAGCATCGGCAGCCAGAAACACAGCCCGCTGCCCGTCCGGTGGGCGCTCGCGCACTCGCCGGAGCAGTGAGCGGCCACAAGCGTCCGTTCACGTAGCGCAGCCATGAAAATGATGCGCGAGGTATGAAAATCAGTGCCGTGAAAGAGCCAGGAAAGCGACGGCCAGCCCTCCATTCAGGGCAGATGAGGTTGCTTGCGAGATGCTGGCGTAACCTTCTGCACACGCCTGGGATGAGCTGTGTCCGAGGGAGATGGGCAAGGGTTAGCAGAGAAAGTACTTTGCTGGCCTGCAGGGCAGACAGGATGGCTGCGTGCTGGAGTGGTGCAGCAGGGAGCGAGGTTTGCCCGCGTCTGCGTTCCCTTGCTTGGCGGCCCGATCGCTGCGCCTCTGGCACCTCTACCTCCACCTTCTCTGTTGGGCATTCGACACCAAGATGCTGTAGGAGAACCGATCCGATCTGCAAACAAGTGATGTTGTCCTTTCATCGGAATATCCGAGCCACTCAGCCTTGCCCGGATGAGTTTGGTGCAACAGCAGATGTAAACAAGCAGCCAGGGGCCATAGGTTCCGGAAAAGCAAACAGCGGTTACAGCGCTGACCGGAATGGTGGGCGAGAGGTCAGTCGCGTGGATCGCGTGGGAGCGGCCCAGGGTGCAAAACCGCAGATGATCACGTACAGGGTGCGTTTTGTCAGGGTCGCAAGCAGCCGTCGTGGGGGGTCCGACACAACCTTGATATTGCGTCCTTCCTCGTCGTCCTCTCGGTATCTCTCAGTCGCAGAGATTCGTAATGCAATGCACGCGAGCGTGCCGTGTGCGACGTAAGCAACCGCGTGTCGCGCCTGCTCAGTGACGGTACGAAGTCTTTGATCGTCGATGGCAGATGAACCGGCACCTCACCCAACTTGGGCTGGCTCACGACGCCAATGTTCTTTGGGGTGTAGTCGCAAGACTCAATCAGTTTCGCGGATGTCGCATGCTCGGAATATGAGCTGCTGACTGTTGAATGGGGGCAGTTGGGCTGCTAGTGTAAGGTCCTCGAAAGGGACTCGTCTTCCTCGCATGCCTCACGCACAGACTTGTCAGACCTTCCTCACTGGTTCCTTCCGATGTGCCCGACCCAAGCCGACCAGGCTATGCTGGCGCGGCCTGACGAAACACAGGTACCAACCGTCGCCAGTGCCCAGCAACCTATAAGCTATACGCTTGCCCGCCTCCTTTGTACGACCAGTTGTCGTCTTGTGAACGAATAGCACGAGACCCAAGTCTCTGTGCCCGGTTGACCTCACAACGGTGCAGGGTGTCATTAGATACGCATTCGATGTTTGTTTACCATTTAGGCTTCCGACCGGCATGCAAACTTCGAGATACCGTACCATGGACCAGCTGATGCACGTCGCCGATTGCCGATTGCGATTGCTTCGCTTATTGCGGTTTCCACTCATCGACTGAAACGTTATTTTACGCTCAAACGAGCTGCCGCGCTGCCGCACTACCGTACCATTCCATGGTTTTCAACTCCCGACGGTGCGCCTCGGGAGATGCAATCATGATACGCACGGCATCATACGGCAGTACCTCCGCGTTTCCTGTATCCGGTATGCCCCTTGGTTTCCTGGACCATCCGCTTCAGCTCTCGGGTTTCCGGTACTCCAGTACGTTCTGCGCATTCAGTCATTTCCATTCTGCATTCATGCATCATGACCAGAACCGGGGAGTGATGCATTCGAAAATTGACTGCAGGATTGCAGGAACCGAGATGCGCAGTTACATGAAGCGAACCCCCAGCGAATCAGAAAGCAGTAGGGCCCGCCTGACCGGCAAATCGTTGGAAAAGTTAATCATCACTGGCTTACTACTTGGTCGGTAGGTGGGGCGGTTACCCTCGGTGCCGTCACTGATCACTAAGCATGCAGTCGATCAGGCCATGCAGGACTGCAGGACAGGAGGCTGGACATGAGAAGGGCAGACAAGGCGATCGATCCTAGCCGACTCGCTCCTTAAGCTCATCGGCATGCAAGGACAGCAGTGACCATGCAGGTGTCTGTGCAGCGCTCACGCTACTCGCTACTGCAACGAGCTGCTTCAGTCTTACTTCGAATGCCCTGCCGCCGCCGCGCCGCCGCCCAGGTGCCCGACTGCCCGCCTGGCGCATAGTGATTCTCGGCACCCGGCGACCCGGGTTGCAATGGCTTCCATGGCTGTCATGGCTGAATCCGACGCCGCAAGCCAGTGCCGGGTGTCGCGGAGTGTCTGGCATGAGGGACTGAATGGCGCAGCTGCGCGAGCTGTGTGGGCTGAAGCCGAACTAATATCCACGATGGCCATCCAGGCATGATTACAACACCCGGCGTTCGTTATTAGGATTGTGATGCTGCGACTGTCCAGGCGATACTGCCGATTATGGGTAGATAGGGCCATGCTGAGCATTTCTGTATGCAGCTGGGGCTGATGTTTGTCCGTGGTTGTTGGATAGCATGAGTGCTGACAGCATGGCCGACATGGCATGCATCCCTTGCACGCCTTGGGACCTGTCTCCGGCTGAGCAAGCTGAGCAAGCTGAGCATCCTGGAGCGTCAGGAGTTCAGGAAGCTCAGGAGTACCCAGCAGGGCCAGGACCCGGACCCTGGCGACCCTGGAGGATGGAGGACGTAACGGAGTTGACCCTGAGATGCGTCCTGCTGAACCCTGGACCCTTTTCGAGTTTGAGACGGTGCTCGGATTTCACTTCATACTTTTGGGCGTTCCTTGCCCTGCCTCGCATTCAATCCCCTACCAACGAGTAACCTACTCCCACTTAGACTTTGCTCGACTCCATACAAACCAAAACCTAACCACACACTAAGCACACCACCATCCACCCACACCGGACCTCCCTCCCCTCCCCCTTCCCCCTCGCATACCCGCACCACCGTCCCTCACACTTACTCACACCCAGCCAAACCCAATCCCGCTTTCGATAGTCCCAGTCAAGACACACACATCTACAATCATCCGACGACTCATCGATCATCGTCACCTCGCCAGCTCTTCCATCTTCCTTTCTCACCAACCACCGCTTCCTCCCCTTCCGACATTGCCCATCTCCCATCGACCCCATCCCTCCTTCTTTCCCCTTCCCCTCCCACCCTGCCCATCCCCCTTCCCACATACCCAACCACATTCCATCCGCCCGCACACCCTCACCGCCCTCACCCTCACCGCGCCTTCCTTCCGATCGATCATCTCCGTATACCACAAACCGACCACTACCACCCCACCTTTCTCGCCGCCGCCGCCCCTTCCTCGCCGCCTCCGCCAACGCCTTGCACACCAATACGTCACTGCACTCTCCTCGCAACGCCCAGCACTGCTCGGTAAACAGCAGCATCTGCCTTCCTGCTTCATCGCCATCGCACCAGAACGGACCACATCCAGCAACTCCGGCCCCAAAAAGAGTTCGCCCATTCCAGAGTCGCGTCTAACTTTTCAACAGCAACGCCTGGCTTAACCTCCGTGCCATGACCTACAGACTGATACCTGCACCCACTCGTTTCCGGCATTAGCTTGAAGATCATACAGCAAGCGCAGGCGACTTTGCCAGACGACGTATAGACTTGGTTTAAGCCCCTGCAACGATCCGCAATTTGGGGTCTCTTCGGCATTGGCAGAGCCAGCTACCAGCACACAGCGCGGCTTGATCAACACACGCGGGGCACAGTTTGCATAACCCCCTTCCTCTTCCAAAACATCTACAGTGGACTCACCGCCCGGGGCGTAGTGTCTGTTCTATCGCATTCACAAACTCCAAAGCTTGGCGGTAGTCACTAGCCTTCCCTCTCCCCCTCACGACATTCCAAGTCACGTCACTTGAGAACCGGTACGCTATGGATCGCGATCGCGCTCGTGGCACCCCCGGCAGTGGTAGCAACGACCTGCGACACGATGATGATCGATACAGCCATCATCACGCATACGCCGGCCCCAGCAGATCCAGATACGAGTCGAGGTACGACTATGGATCCAGTCGGGACGACCTGAGTCCACCCCCGTCATGGGGTCAGTCCGCACCGCCAGGACGACCGTCAAGCTCCAGTCGTCACCACTCCTCGCACTCCTCCGGCTACCCATCCCACCAACACTACTCATACAGCTACCCCTATCCGCCGCCGCCTCCCTCGGCGCACCATCCTCGCGCCAACGATGCCCCTGCGACATCTTCAGCGCCGCCTCCACATCCGAGTGCCTGGGGCCCACAACATTGGGCTCCTCCCCCTCATCCCGGTTACAGTCCCAGTTACAGTGGGCCCACCGGTCCCTCTTATCCTTCCACCTCTTCTGCACCTCACAACAGCAACATGAGGCACCCGCACCATCGCGGTTCGCTTCCGCCGCCGTCTCGACCGCCGCCTTCCCCGCCCCCTCCCGCATCCCCCTCGCAGATCAGAGCGCCCCCGCCGCCCGCATCAGCGCCGTCACCACCCAGATCGGGAGCCTCATCTCCACCAGCGGGATACTTGCCTGGTTTCCAGCCTGATTATGCTCGAGCTCGAGCAGGTGCTACGAGACGGCCCTCGGCAACCAGCGCAGCTGCGGAGTCAGCAAGTGCCGTGGCTGCTCCGGCTGGAAACGCTACGTCGGCCGATGTGCGCCCTCCACCGACCGAAGCGTATCTCCTCTTACGCCCTCACCGCGTCCCTCGAGGAGGATGGCCCCCGTCCACAGACCCGCAGCAGGCCGTGGACTCCACTGGATGGTGAGCAAATAGGCTAACATGAGTGAACTGACCCACGCAGGAGCTATAACCTGGTAGTTCTGCAACACCCAGAGCGAGGCAAGGCCTTGGGAGTTGAGCAACTTCGCCGAGTGAGTTCAACCATGGCTGAAGAGCAGGCTGGACAGACCACTGACAACACAGGGATGGCCCCCTCTGACACCTCCTTTAATCGTTCAGCTCATTGTCAAGGACCAGGACGGCCAAGAGATCCCGACAGAGTCAGTGTCATCCACGAACTTAGGTCGATCTTATTTCTGACAACCAGTAACCCTGCTCTCGCCCGTCGACTTGTTCATCTCACAATGAGTGTGGAACTGGTATCGCCCGACGGTTCAGAGTCGCGAGCCATGATGCGCGTTCGTCCTCCAAGTCGTGAGTGCATTATTCCACGACAAAATATGACTGACATTCGCAGCTCGGGGAAATGTGCAGCCTTACTATCCCGCATCGGCGCCACCGCCGTACTCTGTCCAGCGCACGTTACTTGGCTCCAGCGTGAGGACAGCACAGGTTTTGACTCGCGAAAACCGCAAAGGGCTCTACTTCATCTTCCAAGATATGGTACGTAGAGCGGAAACGGGAACACAGTGCGCAAGCATTGTTTGCCGTTTGCCCGCGGTTCCATTTGCTGATGTCCAGGTTGTGCGGCCGGAGGGCAAATACGCCCTGGATGGCAAGGTTCTGGATCTAGCTGGGTAAGTACAAAAGGCGTCCCTGTGCAGGGGCGGTGAATCATGGCTTGCGCTTGAGGTCGCTGACGTTCTTAGACCGCCTCATATTGGCACTTCCATTGGTGTAACACACCCATTGGCGTTCTGCCGTACACAGCCGTTTGACGTAATGTGCGTAGCTGCGTGGTCTGTTGATTGTTTGACTGACGCCGAACAGCATACCGCAAGATTTCCCCAGCCCGGTCCCCATCACGCCTCTGTCCGCTGAATTCTTGCGGCAGGGCGAACGTCATCTAGGAGTGAGTATGATACTACAAGTCGACGCTGACAGGCTAGCGCCGTCCCAGGAACGACGAAGGGGAAGGAGAATCTGAAGGAGAAGATGGAGGAGGCAATGAGTGAGCGACATCGGTTGCCTCAGGTGTTGCAGCAGCAGAAGTTTAATGACATGACGGCCTACGCAAGGCTCAGTATAATGCTTAAACGACCCGGAAGAAAAGGAGACGAGAGCTCCAAATTGGAGACATAGAAAGTGGAGAGCCAAGCGTCTAGCATAAACGCCATTGTATGCATGGTTTCAACGTTTTGCCGTGGTCTGGCCATCGAAACGCTTGCGAGGGCCAGCGGTTGGTAAGCGCTAGGACTGACTGTCTAGACGAATTAAGAAACGGAGTGCCAGCCACAGAGGAAGGGGTTGGTGGTCTACATGGGTCGACCACTCAGGTGTCTGGAGGCCTAAGTGCTTGCTGCGAGTGGCGGGTGAGGTTGCCCTCGTCATCGACCCCTCGATTACTGACAGAGTGTGAGCTTGTGTGAACCGGTGCTACTTCTTGCTCAACACGACAAATGCGACTCAGGCAGCCAATGGGTCACACGTTGAGCAGAAGACGGGCGGAAGAAGGTTGTGGAGCGCTGCCACAGCGACCAACCGAGAGGTTGAGAGGTCGGCGAGCGCTCGGTGTGAGTGAGTGGGTCGTGGACCGCGTGGAGTAGTCCAGTGCCACTGTCACCATGTCACCGCCTTTCGGCAACAGCCCCGCCGGGACCTGGCTGCAGAACGGCAGAACCGCTGAACACCGTGTGCACCGCGGCAATGATGCCTTTTCGGCAGCCAGTCGGCACGCAGCCCAGAAGGGCTCGTCAACACATTGATACGCGGTATGCAAAACGCATCATCGGCCTTCTGTCACGAAGTGGTCAAGTGGTGCGATCACACGTCGTCCAAAGAAGGAAGTCGGAGAGGAGTGCGCCGCCTTGCGGCTCGAGGACTGCTATCCTCGAGACGGCGCAGGGGCAGGTTAACGAGGTGACCATCTGCGGGCCCTACACTAGCTCCTCCGCCGATCCGCCGACTCGGGACCACGAAACGAGCATCTCACAGGCGCCAGTCCACGTTGCTGTGCAATAGTTGCGAGTCGGTGTGTCTGGTGTGGAAGGTGGAAGGGTGGCACGCCTCTGCTCCTGTTGATCCTTGACCTCTGCCCTTCCACGACGCTGACTATATGCCATGCGGCCTAGCCATGCTAGCCATCTTAGTCGAAGCGACATCTAGCGAGCAGCCTCCAGGCTACCTCGTGATGCCTCTGCCTCTGCCTCGGCACGCCCGGCAAACAAGGCCAGGGAGGGCAAAGTTGGGATCAATGGCGCTGCGGAATGCACAAGCCCGAGAACCTCTGAGGCGGGCCACCGGGGCGGTCGGGGCAAAGATCCAAAGAGGGTGAGGCTTACGGCTGCGGCTTGCGGCTTGCGCGGCATGCGGCGTAGGTCATCGCCCTTTGTTTGTTCACAGCGCATCGGCCGCAGAAGTACAGAGGCGTCGATAGAGTTCGAGATCTTGCGCAAGGCACTGTGGACACTTCCTGCCGCTCTCGTCTGCGATGCGTACTTGCGGTTCCCGAGAGACTGTGTGGTTCAGCTGCAGTGCGTAGCGTAGTTGCATGCGATGACCTGCGTTCTTTGACCCGGGGAAACGTACTAGTCCACTTACTCGGGGCGCATGCGTTAGCCGTGTATTCTTCTCTGTTCTGGCTCCTACGGCGGATCTGTTGATTCGGGGCGCCAAACACGCTAACAAGCGAGACAGGCGAGGAAGCGTGTTCTAGCGCGGGGCCAGCAAGGAAGGGGCAAGGGACCGGGAAATTGTCCGATGATATCAGTCCCACTGCGATGCCCTTCCTCACCTCGTGCGAAAGAACAGCACGAAAGCATGCGGGAAAGGGGCAAGGGGGGGAAGGGGGACGATCGCGGAGGCAAAGTCGGAATCCCTCAAGGATGCACCGTGCATCACGCGCTTTAGCGCTTGCAACATGTGGATCAATTGCTCGTCTACCATCTCGCTCACCGTCTCCCTCGTCTGCCCTCGACAGTAGTGTCACCTGCTCACCGAACTTTCTTAACGCACACACGTTGCTGGACCCGAGCCACCCGAAGCCTTCTCGGTACCTCGGTGTCACACTTGTCCACCCCTTGTCCCGTCCCTTGAATCGAAGCTTCATGCCTGCAGTCTGTATCGGCTATGGAACCTGTGACAATGACCTCCTACTGACTGTCACTGACGAATACTGAGTACACAGTGGCGCGGACACCTAGCACATGCCGACCCGCATGAGGGGTCCCTCATGTCCGCCGATGACGCCCAGCGCTTCGATCTCGACCCTGCTCCCCTCGATGATGGGCACAGTGCCGCCAACCATGGTATCGACGGGCCGGACGCCAAAGCGTCCAAACACCCTTCCGTGGACCTTGCACTGTCCCGGCCAGTCCTCGACGTCCTTCAACAGCACACGCGTGCGGGTCACATCGCGCATATCCCCGCCAACAGCGTGCACGGCACCCGCGACAATGTCGAAGATCTGCGTCGCCTGGTCCTCGGCGTCCTTGCCCAGGCATCCCTTGCCTGACGGGTGTGCCCGCGCCGTCGTGCCCGCAACCTCGAAGAAGCGGCCCACGCGGAGGCCGCGAGAGTACTCCGCCACAGGCTCCCAGCGGGCCCCGGACGAAGCTTCAATCCTCCCTCCCAGGCCGGCGACACGCTCGATCTCAGTGATCCGCTCAGCGCGATGAGCGTTGAACTTCGGGTCACCTGGGAGAGCAGAGAGATAGGCGGGGTACTTGGTCTCGTCGCCTGGATCACCGCGCGGTGTTTTCAGGTCGTTGACGGCGGCGCGGATCGCGTCCACGTCCGAGGTCGTGAGAGTTGGCAACTTGGGCGCCGAGGGGGGGAAGACGATGCCGTCCACGCCCAGCGAGGCGACATATGCCGCCGACAGGGCGGAGAGCGGCACGCCGTGGCGCTGAGCGACGGAGTCGAGCGCCTTGATCGCGGTATGGAAGACATCCCAGCCGCCTGGAGGTCAGACTATCTGCCCATTCCTGGGTTACTCACCAGCAGAGCGGACGTACTCGGCGTGCGAGGCGTTCTGCCCGTCGCCCTCCTCTTCCGTATCCTTCAGTCCCTCAGCGGCATCGAGGAACCCGCCAAACTCCGTGTCGTAAGCGAGCACCTTGACGCCGTTTTCGCGACACCACTGCAGCAGCCCGTTCAACTCGCACCGCCGGTCGAGGAGCGACATCCGCACGCGCAGCGTCGAGATGCGATACCCGCTCCCGATGAAGAGGCGGAGGTGCGCTGCGTCCATGTCCCGGACCGCGAGATGGGCGGTCTTCTGCAAGTCCCAGAGGATGTTGCTGCTGTGAGCAGGGCTCTTACGAACAGTCATGTCTCAGCCTGGGGGCTCCCTGCCGGAGCCTCATCATCGGCATGCAAGTGCTCAAGCAGCCTGTAAGGATCGAGAGGAGCGGCAAGCCCACGAAGGCACACTCACACATAGTTCAGCGCCGAGTACAGGCGTACCTGGTACACAGTCGTTCCGTGCTTGACCTCCGGCGCTTCAGTGTCCAGCACACTAGGGGCGACGTTGACATAAGCTTCAAGGCCGGAGACAGCGTCTTGTGGAATGGCCTGGGGTCAGTGGACGCATGTGTGGAGGTGGATGGAGACCACGGAACTCACAGCATCGACATTGTAGTCGACGGCCTTGAATCCGGCCTTGACTGCAGCGTCGACGTCGGCCTTGCTGCGAACGCGGGCGATAAGCTGGGGTTTGGACATGGCGCTCGTCGAGGTAGATTTCCGGGGGTGTGGGAATGCGGCGACTGATGGCAGGTTCGTTCAGATTACGACGGTCTTGCGGATCGTAAGGTTCGTATCTGGTGCTGGTCAACAGCAGAGAGCTTCAGGATGGCGTTATGCAGAGGTGTCGTAGGTAAAGAGACGAGATGGAGGAATTGAATGGTGAAGGTGCTGGGTCCACCGAGAGCGGACCGAGGTGTGGGCGAATCGGCTGAAGCACATTGGTTTTTCCGTTATCATCGGTCCAGCCGACGCCATCGGCCCGGCGGGTCCAGTTCGGCTACCAACGCCTGCTCAGTGACTCACCTCCACTCATTCACTCTGACATTTTCGTTCTCTCGCTTCCTTTCAGCCACCCCGATCCCACATTTAGAGAAGGTGATCTGGGTATGTCAGTCCGTAGCAAGCAATGTGGCAAATTAATAGGAGATCAGTGGCAGTCTGACGACAGAAACGGATAGTTTACAGTTCACTAGGGAACGGCACGGCACACGGCGTAACTGATTCACCTGGTGACAGGTTAGTGGGTCCACCGTACTGACCACCTTGAGCATGCACCAGCGCTTTTCACCCACCAAGCCGTCACACCGGAAGAAAGCTACACAGTCATGCTCAAGTGGTAATGCAGCGGGACACATCTTCCACCTCCAGTTCATCTTCGATCGGCCAGAGGTTGCAGTCGTCGCGATGATAACGCACACTTCTCTCGAAGAAGACAGGGGACGTCACGGTGCCGACTTGATAGCCTGAGGCAACAATCTATGCCTATTGACTCTGACTGCTACCCTTGACCACTACGGATGCCATCGCACAACTCCTACTTGTATCCGTATGCGGCCCGGAGGTCTGAGGATGGCTGCCGGACCGTGGAAACGAGGGAGCCAGACCACACAGCCAGATCCTCTCATACGACCGACATGGTTCGTTGAGACTGCGGAGTGGTGCCAACATTGAAGGCTGAGCCCCGCAGGGTGCCAGGGCTTGGACGTCACAGCATACGCCGCATCGTGACAGACCTCGCTTCAGCCCCCATGTTGCGGGCAAGTGAGGCATCAGCATAATCGGACTTCGACTGTCACGCCAAGGCACCGCGCGACGTACGACGCTGTGATTGCGGTTGGATGCTTCGACACGAGCCACTCGGGGAAATATTGGACACTTTGAACTTCTGCATCGCGTTTCAGACTTCTTACAATACACTAAAACTAACTGACGACTAATGGCTACGAACAACTTAACTGGGCAATACCAGGTTGAGAAGATTGGGAGCTACGGCCTTGGCTTCAGCGGACATGCTCCGTTTCCGCTTGCGCCACCCCTACGCGGGCTCGGGGAGGATGGCGGGGGGGTTGTCGGTGACGGAGCCAGACTGGTAGAGACCGAACTCCTTGGCGTACTCCATGCTGTTGGCGCCCTTGACGGGCTCGGCCATGCCGTTGTGAGAGCCGTTGAAGGTTATCTGGCTGATGTCGGGGCCGCCCTGGACGCCCGAGGCCTTCTCGAGGCGGGCGCCGAGGTCGGGGTCGACGGCGCGGAAGATCGAGATCATGCGCGAGATGATGCTCTTGTCCTTGATCGTGCTCCAGTGGCCGACGACATTGTCGACGTAGCGCGACTTCTGCTCGTCGTTGAAGACGTCGCGCCAGAGAGCGCCGGGCTGGTTGAAGTCCTCCTTGCGCAGGATCGAGAGCCAGCTGATCGCCTCGGCAACGAAGTCGCCGTGGGCCTTGTCCAGGTTGACCGCACGAGGGCGGCACTGAATCGGGTCGATCGACGAGAGGTAATTGCTGCGGGCACCCTGGTTGAAGTAAGCCATAGGGCCGTCACGCTGGAAGTTGCCGTGCTTGTACTTGGGCGTCGGCTGGTTGACTGGCAGCTGCATGAAGTTGGCACCGATACGGTGGCGGGCAGTGTCGTCGTACGAGAAGAGACGCGACTGCAGGACGGGGTCCTCGGAGGGCTCGATTCCTGGAACCATGTGGGCGGGCGAGAAAGAGATCTGCTCGACCTCGGCGAAGTAGTTGTCGACGTTCTTGTTCAGCGTCATCTTGCCGATCTCGCGCAGAGGGTAGTCCTTGTGAGGCCAGATGTGGGTCAAGTCGAAGACGTTGATGCCCTTCTTCTTCCAAGCCTCACGCGCCTGCTCCTTGGTCATGATCTGGACCTTCAGAGTCCAAGTGGGGTAGTCACCCTTCTCGATCGACTCGAACAGGTCGTTCTGCATGAGGTCGTCAGACTCCTTGGCAGCCTGGTCGGGGTCGGTCTGGTTCTTCTCGCCCTGATCCGAGAGCATGTGGAACTGGGCATAGACCCACTCCTGCTTGTCGTTGATGAGCTTGACGGTGTGGCCGAAGTACGAGTTCATGAAGCGGGCGCCGTAGGGGATGCCGCGGTCGCCGAACATGTAAACGATCTGGTGAATGCACTCGGGGTTCTGAGACAGGTAGTCCCAGTACAAGGTTGCGTCATCCGTGTGGTGCTTGTGCGTTTGAGGGTTGCGCTTCTGCGTGTGGATGAAGTGAGGGAACTTGGCCGGGTCACGGATGAAGAAGATCGGAGTGTTGTTGCCCACGAGGTCCCAGTTACCCTCGTCCGTGCGGAACTTGATCGAGAAGCCACGGGGGTCGCGCAGGTTGTCGCTCGTGCCGCTCTCGCCTCCGACGGTGCTCATACGGCATGAAACAGAGCACTTGGCGCCCTTCTTGAAGATACCGGCGATACACAGGTCCTCGAGGCCGTTGGTGCACTCGAACTCGCCGTGGGCGCCAGCGCCCTTGGCGTGCACGACACGCTCGGGCACACGCTCGCGGTCGAAGTGAGCGAGAAGGTCTGATGGTCAGCTCACTGCAGGCGTTGGGTTGCGAAGTGGCGGAAAGTTGAAGGGGGACCGAGAGCCAACGTACCGATCAGGTGGTAATCCTGGAGGAGCAAGCCACCGCCCGAGCCCGCGCGCTGCGCGTAGTACGGGTGGGGCTGCTGGGCGCCGTTGGACGAAGTGTAGACACACTCCTGCGACGGGATTTCAGCTTCCTTGCGGTAGGCCTCCATTGTGAGTGAGATTTGATAAGGAGGAGGGTGGTGGGAACCGGATGTCCGAGCCTGGTATATATGCGCGTGTAGTCGGAGCTGACTCTGGCTGGCATGACGATGTGCTGACTGAGATGCGGGAGATGATGGGGCGCGGCGCGACGACCAGGCAATGACGATGTTCTGGATCGACGCCGCATTGAGACTAACCTGCTTCTGGGGCGAGCTGGGGCGTGGGCCATTCACGCTGCAGCATTTCGTCAGAGCCGGACGTCTCCCGAAGAAACGACGGCGCTGCGGCTACCAAGGTGTGTAGGGCGTGCCTTCATTTGCTCCTCACATCCGGCCACCTGAGCTGTGACGATGAGCAGAACGCGAGTTGCATGTGTAAGGGCTGCGAGCGTGAGAGCGGAGGTGAGAGAGGCTGGGACAGCCGGGGAATGCGGAACCTGCACCAAAGACCCACCGGTGAGCGAGATGCAATGTCCAAAACAGAACCAAGCAGTCCTTGTGACGTCACCGCACCAGAAGACCGGCGGGTCAATGCCGCGTTTCTCATTGGCTCTGACCATTCGTTAATGAGTCCCGCGCATTACGTCGATATCCCCTCCAAGCATTCGCATGGGTCGATGCTTCGTTGTATGACGGAACGGCGCACTCGGAGCCTGACAGTTGGGCGAGATCTAGGATGCGCCTGGATTCACAATGCGTTTGCTGCGGAGCGCGCCCTGCTTTCCGCTCCGCACGATGGGGCCGATCATCCCGATCTGCGGCCATCGCAGGTTACCGCAGGTGGCTTACCAAGCATGCCGCTCGGTGTCTTCTCGTCCAGCCAGCTCGGGTAGGTCGGCGAATTTCCTCTCCCTAAACCCAACTTCTTGATCTCCTTCGCTTGGAAACAGGATTGGCCTCATACGACAATGTGCTGCATGTTTTGTTACCTTGTATCTATGCGTATATGAGTGTGTATGAGTATACCGAGATAACGTCGATTCGGAGATTGCCTCTAGTTAAAGGAAAACGGCAGCGGCCCCAAGCATGCCGCCAACCACAGCAAGCGCAGCGGGCATGTGAGCCCTCCTCGGCGCCGAGGCAGGCTGGAGCTTGCCTCCGGGGTCCTGAGCCGTCTCGGTCGCCTCCTGGGTCATGCGAACCGAGCTCGTGAAAGTCTTAACGACGAGGTTGCCGCCCTGGGCAGTCTGCGTCCCCGTCATCGTGATCGGAACAGTGCCGAGGTCCGCGTCCGTTGCGCCGGGACCAGTGGCTGTGATGGTGACGGTGACAATGTTGCCTACCCTCTGCACTGCAGTTGCGTCAGGTGCGGCCACAACGACTACGACAGTGCGGGGGACACGGGTGGTGACGACTGAGCCGCCCTGCGTGATGAGGCTGGGCGCGGTGACGACCTTCGTGATCGTGATCGCGGGCAGGGTGCCGGTCGCAACGGCCGGCGCAGTTGCAGTCGGCAGGTTCGGATCGACCTTGCCTGCGCCTCCGGCTTGCTGCTGGCCGCCCTGCTGACCTTGCTGGGCAGGGGTGTTGCCGGAGTTTGTGCCCGTGCCACCGGTGTTTCCAGTGTTTCCAGTGTTGCCAGTGTTGCCGGCGTTGTCTCCAGTGCCGCCGACGATGACTCCGCCGCCACCGCCGCCCTGCTGCTGGCCACCGGTACCGCCCTGCGTCTGACCACCTGTACCACCCTGCGTCTGACCACCTGTACCGCCCTGCGTTTGACCAGTGCCTCCTTGGGTCTGCCCCGTCCCTCCCTGCACTTGGCCGCCACCTCCTCCGCCCTGGGTCTGCCCGCCAGTTCCACCTTGGGTCTGCCCGCCGCCCGGCGTCGGGTTGGCGCCTCCCCCTCCTCCGCCTTGGGTCTGCTGAACACCACCACCGCCGCCGCCTCCCTGTGTCTGGCCGGGAGTCGGATTTGCGCCGCCACCACCGCCTCCTCCCTGGGTCTGCTGGCCGCCCGAGTCGCCGCCGCCGCCGCCTCCGCCAATGATCACACCGCCGCCGCCACCAGTCGTCTGCCCGGTACCACCTCCGCCGCCAGTGTTCTGCCCACCGCCCGTGTTCTGCCCACCACCAGTGTTCGGTCCGCCTCCGCCTGCCGTGGTCTGGCCTGGGGGGCCGTCAGTGGAGATTGGGCCGGGGATTGTCGTGCGCGTACCACCTCCGCCCTGAGTTGTGCCGGGGGGAGGGGTGTTCGGCGTGCTCCCACCAGGAATGGGAGTGGCAGGCGTAGTTCCACCACCCCCGTCAGTGGTGCCGGGGCCGGGGATGGTGGTCCGCGTGTTGTCTCCGCCGCCGTCGCTGGTACCAGGTCCGGGAGTCTGCGGCGTGGTTGTACCGGGACCAGGAGTTTGCGGTGTGGTCGTACCAGGGCCCGGGGTCTGCGGCGTTGTGGTTGGGAAGGGTGTCTGCGGGGTTCCAGTGTTGGTGTTCGGGTTCTGGGTCGGCACTGCAGTGTTCGTGCCCGTGTCAGGGTCCGTGTCCGTGTTCTGATTCTGGGAAGTGCCGGTCGTGTCGAACGGGGAGGGTGTTGTAGTTGTCGCTGCCTGCGGGACGCTCGTTGTGAGCGGCCCCGGGACAGTGGTCCGGGTCACATTGTCGCCGTCATCGGGACTGGTGTCCGGCGTGCTCGTTCCAGGGACCGGGGTGGCGGGCGTAGTCGATGGACCAGGGAACGGAGTCGGTGGTGTCGTGGGATTGCCCGTATTCGTGTTCGAGGGCGTGGGGGAGTCGACCGTCGTCGTGTCGTCCGGAGGCGTCGGCGCTGAGCGGTCAGTAAGTGCCTACGGAAAGCCTCACTGGAGGGCTCGGGGGCGGGGTTGGAAGTTGGCGCCGTGCTCGGCGCCTCCGAAGTCTCGGGCGGAGACGGCTCGGAGGACGGCTCAGCGGCCGCAGTAGTCGACGGCGACGGGCTTGGGGTGGGGGACGGACCTTGCGATGGCGTGTCCGACGGAGTCGTCGGCTGCGCGCTCGTGCTCGGCTCAGCTGGGCTGGGCTCGCTCGGTTCGGGACTTGGCTCGGGGGGACCAGCAGAGCTGGGCTCCGGCTCCGCAGGAGAGGGGGAGGGAGACGCACTGGGGCTATCAGTCGCAGAGGGCGGGGCATCAGTAGTTGGGGAGTTCGAGGTAGTCGGTGGTGGGTTTGAGGTTGTGGGCGATGGGTTCGAAGTTGAAGATGGCTCCAGGGTGTCGGACGGAGATGGAGTGGGATCGTCGGTGACGGTGGGTGACGGTGAAGCCGAAGTTGGGGATGGCTCCGCGGGGTCGGAAGGTGCCGGGGAAGGCGGGTTCGAAGTAGTTGGCTCAGGCGATGGCGATGGCTCAGGCGATGGCGATGGCGATGGCGATGGCGATGGGTTTGCAGATGGCGTTTCGGATGCGGAAGACGTCACCGTTGATGTATCGGGATCCGACGAAGGCTCAGCGGTAGGCTCATCAGAGGTTGAGGGATCAGCCGCGGTGGGCGAGGTCGAGGGCGTTGCGTCGGCGGAGGTCGAACTGCTAGTCAGCGTGATCCCTCTCGCTACCTACGCATCGCGACCGCACATGTGAGGGGACAGGGATGTGTACAAGGAGGGGAGCACGGCGTCAATACCACGACTACGATCCAGGAAGTTCACACTCACGTATCGCTCCCTGTGAGGTCAGCCAGTGCCACTCCGGGGTACTCACCATCGCTACCATTGTTTTGCCGGACGACCAGACCTGCAGCGTTCGCGGGTTGGGACGCAGCCGGAGCAGCCAAGACACTCAGAACGGTCAGCGCTGTAATACCGGAGAGGCGCATCGTTGTTGCAGCGGCGAACGCCGGGTGTTAAGAAGAAGGGGATAAGCTGAAGGGGTGGGAAGTGCGTTCGGTGCTGATGAGTTGAGGCTTGCGAGCCGATCGCTTTTGTGTCGTTTCACTGCCGCGTCTTCGAGTTCTAGTCGAGATCGCGAGCAGTTAAGGGGAATACAGGTCGAAGTACAAGAAGACAAGAGTTGTAAGTCAGAACAAGAGATGCCAGAAGGAAGACGGACAGATGAGAGGTATGCACACTTTGAAGAGATCTCAAGGCAGTATCGAGGCAGTACACTCCTCGGGTACTCTCGCCGTCATACCAGAGCCCACTGTCGGTCCTCTTCCTCTCGCTCGGCTCTGTGCGATCACCTCCTTGGTCTTCGGGGGGGCTAGCGGGGCCTGACATTGCTCGTGTCTAGGGCGCGACGGGTGAGGAGAGGGGAGTCCCAGGGGACTGGGAGCAGTGGGTTGCACACGTACGTCTGCGGTACCCGTGAGGCTCGCAGAGACACCACTCTGGTCGTGCTGATGCGAGGCACGATACGTGATCTGTGAGAACTGTCGCCAGGCGGAGGAACATGTCGCTTCTGTCGCTAACGATGCATTCGCAGTGGGTCCTGGGAGAGCGCCTCTGCGCAGGGGAACAACGTTTCGGTTCAGGACAAGGTGCGCCGAGAATCCCAAGATTCAGCTCGCAAAGTCTCTCAGCCAGGTCCGCCAGGTCCATGTGCCTCGACGGAGATGCCATGATCTCTAACCCTGCTGGAATCGTTGCCGAGTGATAACCGCCTTGTTGTTTGCATGCGCATCGATGCATAGAGCGTTTGCTTACTTGCTGATAACTGTCTGTGCTTGTAGCGTACTCGGCCATGCAGGTGTGCACATCGATGGAGTGCAAGGGAGAGATAAAGTTTGCCCGGTCGTCGTGCTCTCGACCGTTGCGCGGGGTGCTGAATCTGATCTCTTACAAGATATTGCGAGACACAAGTGGGCTTTGCAATTTGCAGGGTCAGCCTCTCAGCAGGTCCCAAGGATGGGGTACAGCTCGCATTCACGCGATTTGCCCGCCCTGACGCAATTGTCCTTGGGATTTCATCTTGACCTCGTGCACGAGCGTGCATTGCAGTGAGCGCTGTCAGGCCGCGCCTCCTGAAATCCCAGCATCATCTGATTCTCACAGCCTCATGCCATCCCACACCCACCACTTATAACTCCCGTTCGACATTCATCGCGAGTGACTTCTGAGCAAGCACCTGCGTGGACACCACGTTCATTGGGATTCTGGCACAGGTGTCCGTGAATTGGACCTTGACGGTGGACCTTTGCGTCCGTGCTTCACTGCGCTCGCGGACGCCTAGTCTTGGCATCGCAGGCATATCTGAGCCAAAAGTTACACCTCCACTGATGTGTCAGCGGCGTCTAAGAGTAGAAACGCAGGATGACTTCATTCTTACGAGCGAGAACGCAGGGTCGCGAATCAAGGTTCAAGGGAGAGCAGAACAGATGAGCTCTTGAGCAGTCGCACATCTCTTCCTGCACAAGATGCATCCGCCAGAATGCACGGTGGCCACCTCACGTGCGTATCCCTACCCAGGGATGCAATCGTCGGACGCCGAGCACGGTGCGGTAGATGCCGCTTGTCGTCGTTGGTGATGTCAGGTGACTCCCAAGGGTGCGCACGAACGTCATGCACTGCACGTACCCTGGTGCGCCCCTGCTCGTGATCGCCGCGGCTGCAGTCGCATGACCATCTCTTGCTGCTGACTGGATATGACATCTCCGATGCCGGCTTCAGAGACGCAGGACAGAAGAGGACGATGTGGAGAGATGAACATTCGTAATCCTAGGCTGGAAAAAGAGACGGGTGATGGTGGGTCTTCATTGGACGTCGTGGTGTACTAGGTGTAAGCTGTACCTCGGCACGCCGTCACTTGTTCGTATGCTTGTCATCCTTCGCTGTATGAGACAATCTCACTCATCGCGATTCACGCGCTGATGACCAGAGGGGAGGAGGAAGGATGAACGGGCTAAGAAGGGGGAGGCGGGGAAAAGACAGGCGCGCTCCTGTCCGATAAGATACGGGCAATTGCCTCTTCAGGCAAGTCTCACATCTCCCGTCTTGATTCTATGACCCGTGAGGGTCTCCCGTGGTCCACATCTATGATCTATGAGGTGATGAGACAGAGATACACGGCAGTTAAGCCCTCCTCTAGCTCCTTTACTGCTGGACATGCTTGCGTCTCCGCACTGCTCAAGCAGGTATGCTAGGCAAAACTGGATCCCAAACCGTGTGAACAAGAAGGAAGGCAATGGGGCCAGGCCCTGCGCCCCGCCGGTCCGGAAGAGCCTGATCGCTAGCGATCAAGCTGACCGTCTGCGTAGATCCATGCCACGGCGGCGCCTTCTGTGTCTGGATCGTGATTATCGTGATATCCCTGCTTCGACTGCGCTCCATCTGGCTACGCTGGCGATCTGCCCATTGGACCCCCACCACGTTGCCGCATACGCACCGGACGCGGCACCTCCCCAAGTCGCAGTGAGCGCAGAATATCTAAAAAAGCACTACTGCATGTTGCAAGACGGTCGAGCAAAGCGATGCCGAAACGTGCTGAATGCATACTTTTACAGATCACAGCATGAATACCATCCGAATCAGAAGTCTGGGGCTATCGTCGTCGTGACTACAGAGCCCTTGCCCGAGGATACTTTTGCTTCTATAAACTCTTTCATGAGAAGCATACTTTGCTTTGCGTGCCGCGTATGCAGCGGTTGCTCAGTTGTTCATATGCGCGAGCAGCTCATCGAGCTCGGCGGGGACGAAAAAGTCCTCGAGACCAACGAACGGCTGGCTATCCGATGGACCCATCGCCGTGCCCAGGTCACCATTCAAGAACAACGGGAGCGGAGCGTCCTTGTTGATGCCGATACGCCCGTGCCCGTCGAGCACGGCCGGGTTCATATGATCGAACGCGTCGATCCATGCGGGCGGGATCGGTTCGGATCCACCAGGCGACGGGTCTGGTTTCGGCGGCAGGATATTCTCGCGGCGCGCCATGCGCATGATGAGGCGGAGCGAGCGGGCATAACGGCCGGCTGGCGTCCTCGCCAGGATCGCTGCAATCGCCTCGACGTCTTCGGCAACACGAGGAAGATCCAGTTCGTCTGGGAAGTAGCGCGCAATGCGGACCAGGAACGTCGCCGCAAACGCGATCGACACTTGTGTAAAGTGCGGGCTGTACACGAGGCCGGCAGTGTACTGGATGTCAGCGTACGGTGCTGGCTGATAGACTCACGAATCTTCCCCTAAGACAGATGTCAACGCAGCTGAGAGCATTGCGCATTGCACGCAGGGCCAGGGCACGCTTCTCCGTTGCCATTGCCTCAACGTCCGCAGCGCTCTGCACACCGCGCAACAGCTGCGAGTTGAGCAGCAACTCGGCCAGCTGTCGCTGCATAGTGACTGCCGTGTCAGCTTGGTGAAGCTACAGAAAGCTCACGAGATTCTCGAATGAAGCTTGCGTTCTCGCCACGCGAGATCAGGACCTGATCCCAGTGGTCCTCCCACGCGTCAAACTGCTCGTTGGCCCAGCGGAGGCGGGCAAGCGTTGCTGTATCGAGCGGCAAGTCCGGAGTCGCTGTCAACTCCACATGGAGGGGAGCTGTCGTGCGGTCAGCACATGGAGCAATTTGTCAGCGTTAGAATACGCACCGCGAATGGACAGGAGCTCGACAGCGTAGATGAGGCGAGCGTCCGAGTCCAGCGCAAGAGGGTGGTCCAACAGCAGGCGCGCACGGTGAATCGTCGCATCTTCGCGGACGATGGCAGGCCGTCCTAAGCCATAGGACATTTGATGCTCGAGGCGATACAACTGTGAGATTGTTAGAACTTGAGGACGATGAGAACATACGCAGAACCACACTCGAGCCTTCTCGACGAGCGCGCGCTCTCGCTCGAGCTCGGCGCCGCTCTTGCCAGCACCCATACCGGTCTGGAGCAACTCGTTGAATGCGCGGTTAAGGCCCAGGTCCATCGCAAGGCGCACCGCATGACCGGCCATAAGCCACCCATTGTCGTTGAATGCTGCGAGGAGAACTGAGGTGTGAGCTATGCCGCAGCCATCTCACTCACTGAGGGCTTTCACGTCCTCAACGCCTGCGCGCGATGCAGGCCGAATGAGCGTCTTCATGGCTATCATGTTAGCTGTTAACCTCATGCACGAGAACATACCCATTTTCTGCACAAGATCCAGACACGTCGCTTGCGCAGTACTTGGCAAGCGCCCGGCATCACGCACACGGGCTCCCACCAGCATGACGGCAGTCAACGAGAACGGGCTCTTGTTACGAAGGGCGAGGAAGTCGTCCCGGTCACGGATGTAGCACGACACGAAGTCCGACGAGCCTGAATAGAATCTGGAGTCAGCTCACTGCATGTGGAGAGGTCTAGCTCACATGTCAACGAGACTCGCGGCTTCGTCGGCGTGAATCAGTCCTCGCGTGACGGGGTCAGCGTCCTCGTCGTCGACCTTGCGACGCTTGCGCGGTCCATCTGGGGAGTGGTCGTCGAGGCCGTCCTTCCTGTCCGACTTCTGCTCGGCGCGCTCCATGCGCGACGCCATCTCGCTCATGAGACCCAGCGGGTTCGAAATCTTCCCCATGCCCAGCATGTCGCCGGCGAGAGGTGAGCCGGCCCGCGTTGGCGGGGTAGGTTCTCTGACAACACGTTCCGGACGCGGCGGTCCATGGTCATGGCCATGCTCCTGCGCTGGATGCCAGAAGCGCGGGGCGCGGGACGAAGTTCCGCTGTGCGCCGCTGCTAGGGAGTCAATAAATTGATCCAGCCCGTAGTTTACTCACGCGACCCGCGAATCTCTGGGCACACGGCAGACACGACATCCTGGAGCAAAGCCCGCATCGAGTGCATCTGCGCCTCGAGCGACTGCAGGCGGCTGTGGTGGTCAGCGCTGTCCACGGTGTTCAAACGATTGTCCCAGACGGGCGTGTCCCCGAAGCTTGCGACGCCTCGGACGCCTTCGATGCCCCAGAAGGAAGCGCAGCGCCATCCATCAGGCGCAGCGCGCGCCTCAGCCTCGGTGAACAAAAGGTCACTCACTCCTCGACGGCAGACGCCTCGGGCCTGCTCGGCTTCTCCATGACACATTCGACGCGGCTGGAGCGGCAGCGCTCACATGGCGGGTTCTCGGCGCCGATGCAGCGGATCTTGGCACGACGGCAGGCGTTCTAATGTCAGCGGAACGTTGAGGAAGATAGCATGATGAGCTCGATCGGACGCAGGCGAGCCAGACAGCCGCCAGCCGCCAGGATTGCGCGAGCAGTATCCAGGAAGCTCCAGCCGGACATAGTAGTTTCATGCCGTGCCGGACAAGGTAGGAAGAGAGATACGCACGCAAGCACCTGATGTCAGCCGAATGCATCCGATGATACTCACGGGTCACACGCGTGATAGCAGTGCGCTTCGAGTTGTCTTCCTCCTTAGGGGGCTTGCGCTGCGCCGCGTGCCGGGCATACACAGAAGAGGCGTCCATGTCGGGCGAGAGCGAATATATGCGGCCGGGGAAGGCGTGAGGGAAGGTGATGATCGGGGTAAGCGGCGGCTGAGCAACGGGCTATGGTGTAGCCCGGAGAAGCCAGCGCGTGAGGCAGCAAGCTGCCGGAGATCGCAATGCAGATCTCAAGAGGGAAGCCGGTATGCAGAAGCGAGGAACACCGAAACCGAGGGCGACGGAGGCCTTGACCGAGGAAGGCGAATAAAGTCGGCTGTACTGTCGTCCGGTCGGTGGATCAGTTCACGACTGGGCCGCTGGGGTGATCGCGGGGGAGAGCGGGATGCGGCGGAACGAACGCTGGGATACGAGACTGTAAGACGACCGCCTGCGTGTGCGAGTTGCTGGTTGAGCAGACGCAAAGTGCACGATAGGACGGAGTAAGCTTATGGAAGATTCAGGCCTGAGATCTGGCGATGTTAGAAGGGGGATGAATCGGGCGATCGGACTCGAATCGGGGCGTCCGAGACGGGGATAGAATCGTCAGGCGGTCGCTGAATCCAAGGCAGTCCAAGGCAGTCTGGGGAGACCGCCGAAGCAGCGCCGAGAGGATGGAGGGCGGGGGATTGAGTTGAAGAGTGATGCGTAAGATGTGTTGCTGGATGTCGGATCTGAGATGCATGCGCCTTGTACGGCCCGTACACCCGCAGAGTTGCGCCCGCAAAGCAGGATGCGCAGGAACGGCGGGTCGATTGCTGGCTGCAGGCGGCCAGGCGGCCAGGCGGCTCGGCGGCGGTAGGCGGTACGGCGGCTGATCCTGGTAATTCAATTGACACCCAGCCCGACCACTCAGCCATGGCTACGGGCTTCCTGACTCGCTTGCACAAAACGCAGACCTCCGCGCAAGAGCACCCACTCTCCAATCTGCCCAGTCACCCGCGCCGAGTGCTCCGGGCACGTGCTGCTATCTCGCTAACCCTCGTTCAACCACGCAGATGCGGTGGTGCCATCCAACTCGGCTCTTGTCCACTCGTCAAAGCCTAATCTCGCGCCCCGAGATCCATTACCAAACCGAGGCAGCGAGGCACCAGGCGGCACATCTGGCTGCTTGTGGGCGACTTTGCCTGCAGCAACGTGCAACGTTGCTTGCCAAGGGAGCAATCGCGCAGGGACCCTCGAATCCAGTTGCCCGCCTCTATGAGCAACAGCCGGGTGGCTTGGCTTGGCCTTTCCTGACCACCATACACAGACAATGGAAACTCCTCTGTGAGAGGCACACACTACGCCCCGCTCGTTGTGATAATTGCTGCATCTGTGATCATGGGGTCTAGAAGATCTAGAATCTGTATGTGATAGCCGCTGGCTATCTATGGGTACCACGGGAAGTACAAGGTACAGGAGAGCGTGAGCGTGTCGTATGTTTCGTGTCGTGTTGTGCCATGCTGTGGATCTTTTGCGCTCTGCTCAGTTTCATGGATTGACCGGTCCTTTAAGGTCTAATTCGCGCGCCCTACGCGCCCTTGGGCCGACCTTCCTTCTCTGCCTGGGCAGCCTTCTTGGCCTCGAGCACGGCCGCGTTGCGGCGCCTGTATCGGTCGAGGTTGTCGAGGCGCATGTACTTCTGGACATGCGTGCCCTCGCCGCGGACACCGAGATCCTCCTCGTGCGCCGGCGGAGTCCAGAGACCCTCGAACCCAGGCTCCTTGTCGGTCGCGATCATGGGGTGCGCCTCTGTGTTCAGGACATAGTTGTCGAGGCTGAGCAGCTCCGGATCGCTCTGCAGCAGGTAGTGGTACTTGAAGGTCTCCGCGAAAATAAAGCTCTCCATGTTGTTGCCCAGGATCTTCTCGGACTCATCCTTCGTCACGTCCCTGATGCTGCTGATGCCCGCGTGCGTCTTCGCGTGCGTCATCCAGTGCGTGAACATGTCCCACCCGATGTCTTGCCACTTCTTGTCGCCCGTCAGGCGGTACATGTAGAACACACTCTCGATGGTCTCGGGTCGGTTGATGTAGTGCCCGTTGCGGCGCTTCGAACCGACCGGGACACCCTTCCACTTGCGGTGGTATTTGACACCGGGCGCTCGCTGAACTTCGTCGGTGAGGTTGACAGGCGTATTGTCGTCGTTCCACAGGTACTGGCCCTGCCAGTTCTTGTGGACATAGGTCGCGTCCATCTCCTCGATCGGAAGCTTGAGAGGCGGACGGTAGGGCTTACCGTCGCCCGTGACGTTGACGTACTGCCCCTTCTCCGTGGGAGAGAAGAACTGCACGTTCTCCGGCTGGATGCCAAGAGGCGAGCTGGCGGCGAGCCAGTAGCATGTCGATGTGAAGCGCTCGCCATCGATCCGGTCCTGCGGGCGATCGAGCAGCTTGTCTCCGAGGCCCAACATGCCGCCAGCGAAGCATGTAAGATGCTCCGTCTCGACCTTCGGCGACCCATACTCATATTTGCCGATCGTGAACAAATCGCGGCCAGGGACATTCGGTATGTCGTAGAAGAGAACCTTGCGGGCGACATCAACCGAGTCGGCGTACAGACGGGCGTACTGCTTGGCAATCGCTGACGTCTCGCCCAGCAGCTTGACGGTCTTGATGAGGTACTCGTAGAACGAGTCCGCCATCGCGCCAAACGAGTATGACCCCTGAATCTTCGCGTCCGGCAGCGGGTCGGCGGCGAACGACATCGGGATCAGAGGAGGGAACTTGGTCCGCGGTGCGATGTTGTCCTCGAGGTAATCGGTGCAGCGCTGCGCGAGGTCGAACCGCTTCCGGTCGTTTGTCAGGAAGCCGAGGCGCATGAGCTCGAGAGTCATGCTGCCGACCTCAGCGATTGAGACAGAGTGCAACTTCAGCGCGCCGGTCTGATATCCGGGGTCCATGCGCGAGCCAGCTGGGAGACAAGAGTTCGTGTTGAAAGCACGTGAGAGCACTTCGGCAATCTCCACCGCGCGGTCAAGCATGAGCTTATCACCCGACAAGTCGTAGGCGCCGAGGAGACCACCAAGGTATCGAATGCCCGTCTCGAAGACGGGGATAGACGCAGCCTCGCGCGCGATCTGCCATGGCTGTCCCTTCTCGTCGAGCTCATCGGGCGGCGCAACGTAGCCCTGCGACCAGTCGGCACCCTTGACCCAGCGGAAGTTGAGCTGGTTGACATGTGACCGACACTGGTTGTACTCGTCGCTGAGGCCCATGACGAGCAGCGTATCGAGCGTGTCGACAATAGAAGCACCCCATCTGCTCGTCAGCTACAGTTGAACCGGCGCTTGAGGTACTCACCCGTTGAACGGATCATGATAGTCCTTTGTGACAGGCTTGACCTCGTCGTGTCCCCACGCGTGATCCTTGTACTTTTGCCACGCATAGACGAAACCACGCTTCACAGCGTTTCGACGAGCCTCGCGTGTCTTGCGCTGCGTTGCCGTCTCATAGTTGCCCTTCTTGAACCCGTCCCACTGGATCGGCTTCGCGTTGCCGTACGTCGGCTTCCATTCCTCCGGACCCTTCCACGTCTCCGAGTACGCACCCGGAAGGAGCTCGATCTGCCTGTGCTTCGCATTGTCCGGTGGCGCGACCGAGATGATCTTGTGAAGCTCCGCATTCGGGAACTCCCTCACCTCGGGTCGCTCGAGGAAGTCAGGCCCGACCTCTGGGAAGAAGCTGGCAGGATCCATGAGGTTATCGGGGTCTGGGACCATTGGGGCAGCCTCCGGTGTCAAAATGTTGGGGTAATAGTGGTCCCCGTTCTCATCGACGATGAACTCCGCCTCCACACCAGTGTACGACTCTATCGGCTTGGGCCTGGACTTGGCTGGTGGGGTCGTCGACAGCACCACCGCCACCGATGCTTCCACTGCCTCCCCAGCCCACGCCGGTGTCGTCGGGCGATACAACAATGCCTGGCGGCTGTTCTGGTCGCAGTGAATCGGAGTAGTAGTAGAGCAGGCCGAAGATCGTCAGGCCGACGAAGATGAGACGTGGCCGCCTAAGCCTCCGCCTCATGAACGCTCCGACGCCTCCTGTCGCGCCAACTGCCCCGCCGAGCTCTGGGTCGTAGCTGGCCATCTTGTCTTCCTTCGAGTAGTAGTCGTCACTCGACTCGTCGTCGGCACTGAGCTGGCCGCTGCGGTACGCAAAGGAAGAAGGATCGATGCGTGGAGTGCAGGATGAAGAACTGGGCGATGGAGATGCGGAGGAGGATGCTGACACGCCTACGCCCCGGCGTGAAGCTTTATGTCCGAGAGTAATGGTGGGAGGTGACGCTTGTCGCGGACGGGTGAAGTCAAACCTAAGCTAGTGGTCGTCGCGCTGGCCTGCTGGTCGCCTGAGCGGGGTAGGGGCTACGGAAAAATCAGTGGCGTCTGGCGTCGGCGGGCGGCGCGGGGCGGTGTATGGCGCCTTGTTCGCCTGCAAAGCAAAAGGGATGCGGAGAGTGTGGTGTGTGTCGGAGCCGACAGTAGGTGCGATGGGCTTGTGTGCACTTGCAAGGACGGATCTGTGCCAAGGAAAGTGGTCGAGCGGGGCTGGTGATTACCGTGTCAATCGGCGATCCTGAGCTAGCCGGATACGCAGACGGTCGCTATGGCACATGTCAATGAGGTGGAGATGGGGTGGAGGCCCGGAGAGCGCGGAGTGTGTGCCGAAGCACCGGCGTGCGCGGATGCGCGGCGCAGGTGCGGTAAGGTTGACATATGTCCACGACCAACCGGGGATCCAGGGCGCCGCCCCTGTCGTCGTGCATGTCGTGTTGTAACCTGGCCAGTGCATTGCACAGCTGGCAAGGATGGCCAACTGGCTCTGTCGTGGCCTCGTGGTAAGCCCAGAGCAACAGTCGTGTCACAACCGTTGCCAAGCCTTTCAGGATTCCAGGATAAGATAACTCCGGTTTCCACGAACAATGCGCAGTCGATCAAGCAGACACGCGGACACTTCGACGCCAGAACACCTCGCTCGGTCTGTCGCGCGCAAGGAGCCCCGGTGCTGGCACCGCATTAATTCTTGTCCACCGACTTCTCTGCCGGCCAATTGTCTCCAGCACACCCCAGTCAGGAAGCAGAACAAGCTAGGGGCCTCATGACATCCCCCATTAACACAATAAGTGGGCTACAGCCCTCAACCCGTCGCACCCATCCTCGGCCCCTACAGTGCTCGAAGCTTGCAGCGGGATGTAGGGAGACGGCACGTTCAGAGGAATTCGCAGCTCAACGTACTACCCGACGAGAATGCATATGTCTATACTAACCATTAGTTCGTTTTGCCCTTAGATGGGACTTCGTCTGATCCGGAAGCAGCTCCGTCGGCGTTGCTAGCCGCCTCCGTCTCAGCTCCTCCAACCTCCGCCACGGCCTCGTCCACTAGCCTGGTCTCCTCGACGACCATCTCCTTGACCTGGTCGACGAGGCCCTCAACCTCCTTCTCTACCATGACGCCGGATCCCTCAGAGTCAAGCTTGCTCGCTGGTCCAGAAGCCTCCTCGAAAAGACCCTGGTCCTCGATCGGGTCGGCAATAACCTGAGCATACTTAGGCTTGCCCTGCTCCTCAAGCTCTGATCGCCACTCCTTGACAACACCCTCAGCCTTTCCGGGGTTGTATGATCGCGCCATGAGAGCGGCTTCCGGGAGGCGGTCGGTCTTGGCGAGGAGGTCGATGCAGGAAGCGCTGTCGCCGAGCTGCAGGTAGGCAGCGAAGGCAATGTTGTTCTGCCCTTTTCGGCGGCCTGAGCAGCGAGCTTCTCGAGACCAGCGCGATCGGCGAGGGAGGTGTAGAGCAGGAGGAGAGCTGGGAGGTCCTTCGACTTCTCGAAAGCCTCCTTGGCGAGATCAAGCTGCCAGGCGGCAAGGGCCTTCTCACCGACGACCTTCCACTTAGACTCCGAGCCGGCCTCTGGAGAGGCGCGGACGAGCTCAAGAGCAGTTTCGAGGTCTCCGATGGAAACGGCAAGCTCGAACTTGTGGTCAGGGTCTGTCGCGACCGACAGGGCGAGCTCCTTGAGCTCCTGAGCCTCGAGGAATCGAGCGATGCGGTTGCGCTGGTCCGCAGGGATGGTGGGGAGAATCTCAGCGGCTCCTTCAAGGTCACCGCGGAGAATGGCCGACTGGTACTCAACGACGTTGAGCGAAAGGGCGTAGCTGTACAAGTTGAGGTCCTTGTCCGCCAGGAAGATGCGGTTGTGCGTAGGGAGGTAGCCAAGCAGGTAGACAGGCTGGTCAAAGTGGTTGATGACGCTCGTCTGGTCGCCAATCAGGTAGCTGAGACGGTTGTTGGTGTTCGTGTAAATGAAGCAGTCCCCGATCCAGCGGCACGTCTTGACAGTCTCCGGCACCTCGGCAATCAGGTCAAACGCCTCCTCCACACCCTCGTCGTCGATCGGCTCGCCCGACTCCAGGCGCTGCTGGTAGGCGTCCCGGTCGAAGCGAAGGACGAAGAGCGAGTCCTCGGCAGTGATGGCCACATACTCGCCCGAAGCGGACCACGAGACGTTGGTTGCGTCGACCTCAATGCGACGGACAACAGCTCCAGTCTCCCAGTCCCAGAACATGACAAATCCAGATCCGCGGGCAGCGAGGAGCGGTCCGCCATGGAGTCCCTCAACAGCCCATCCACCAGTCGACTTGATCAGACCTGCTCGCTCCTTGAAGTTTCGGTAGACGCGAATCTTCGACTTGCCCTCAAGCACCGCATAGGTGTTGGAATCCGAAGCCCAAGCAAAAGAGGTTCCGCTGCCGAACGCCTTGTTGCGCCAAGCGAGCGCAGTGTAAATGATGTACTCGCCATCGCCGCAGACCGTGACGAAACGTCCGTTCGGAGAATGCTGCAGGCTGGTAGGGTAGACCTCCGTCGTTCCGAGGTCACGGAATGAAACCGGCAACCGCTGGCCGTCCTCAACCTCGTCGCCCTCCTGACCGATGTGCGAGACGTTGGTGGTGAGAACCTCAGTGTTGCGGGCAAAGACAATTTTGCCAGAAGCGTCCATCGACACCGAAGGCTCGTCACGGCCAAGCTTCACGACCACAGCTCCTTCATCGAAACCGACGGCAACCTCGTTGCCCGTCTTGCGATAAGCAACACACCAAGCGCGCTCCAGACCGTAGTTGAGAGTGTTCTCGAGGCGGTAGGTGGACGAGTGCCAGATCTTGATAGTACCATCCTCGGAACCGGAGAGGATGATGGGCAGGGAAGGGTGGAAGATGGCGAAGGAGACGTTGGCAGTGTGAGACTCCAGCGTCTGAACACACGACTTGGCGTGGTAGTCCCAGATCTTCACAAGGCGGTCGTCTCCCGTGGTAACGATGTAGGGCTTGTCACCGCCGTGGTAGTAGTCGACATAGTTGACGCCCTTCTCGTGAGCCTCGAGGCTGAAGTTGGGAACGGAGCTGCCAAGCGACCAGACCTTGACGGTGTGGTCCAGACAAGCCGACGCGAAGGTTTGCGGGTCCTTGGGGTTAATGGCGAGCGCCATGATGTAGTGGGTGTGGCCCTCAAAGACCTGCACGCAACGCCATCCCTTCTCCCAGTCCCACGCCTTAATGGTCATGTCGTCACTGCCGGTGAGGACAAGGCTGAGAGTCGGGTGAACAGTAAGACAACGAATGTAGTCGGGATGAGCCTCAAACTGAGTAACCTTCTCGCCAGTAGACAAGTTGTACACGCGCAGCTGGAAGTCATCCGAACCAGAGACAAACTGATCGTCAGCCGTGAGCTGCAGTTGAGATACTAACCCAGTTCTTGCGGGCGATGTACTTGACGCAGCGAACAGGAACGTCCGTCACTTCGAAGGTCTTGATGTCGGTCTGAGTCTCATAGTTCCAGATCTTAACCTGGCCATTGCTGAAGCGCGTCAGCGTCGCGTCCGGTTACATTAACGTACTAGAGACCGCAGATGACATGGGGCTCGGTCGGGTGAAAGTCCACAGACTTGACCCTGTCAGACCGGGCAAGCAATTTCCGCTGGAGGGTGTTAGCAGACGCAGAGGGGGGCGACCAGAAACGCCTTGAATAATCACCTGGATGTCGAGAAGCATCGGCTAGGAGGACGTCAGCGAACAACGCAACTTCACGCGGAAATGGAGCAACGAACCATCTTGAAGCGTTTTCTCGACAGTCAACGGCGGGAGAGATGTAAAGCCGAGTGCCCTCTCTTGGTCAAACCGAGTTGAGAGAGGTAGTCGAGGAGTAGTAAGAGCTAGAGGTAGACGCAGTAGACCGTTGATGAGTCCGTCCACGTCGCGATGACTTCGAGCACTCCGAACCGCTGTGCTGGCACGTTGCGCGACTGACCCTGATACGGGATTTACCACGTCAGTATCACTCCACGTGGCCCCTCGCCTGCAATCGACATCTTTACATCCTTCTTGCACGGACGTAGGCGGGTTGTTCTGATGCATCTAGACGTGTCTGTCGCTGAGCTGCACCAGGTCAGTTGCGGAATGACAGACAAATGCAACAGATTTTATCATATGCGGAGGATGCTGGCATGACACCTGCTACTACCAAACGTCCTCCAGACATCGATAGTCAAGCCGTGCCCTATCAATGTCCAAAAGCCCTGCTACAACACCAATCTATGACGCGACATCCGCTACACGCTTAGTCGAGGTCCATGGCGTTCTCGCCAGAGGCGGGGGCGGCGGCCTGCTTGTTGCGGCGGGCCTTAGGAGCGCGGTCCTTGGGGGGGTTGGCGGTGCGCTTGTTGGCGCGCGAGAGGGCGGAAGCGCGAGCGACGGCAGCCTGTAGAGTCAGCGACCGATCACAACAGGAGTTGTAGTGATATGGAAATGTCCCTAGGCAGCACAGTTGCACCCGACTTCCTAGAATGGAGCTGCCGGGCCATGGAAAAGCCTTGGGAGTTTCACTTTCGCATTCCTCTTACACCCAACCTTCATGGGATATCCAAACGGATTCCGGCGAGTTCTAGACAGGTTGCGACGGCCATGATGACCGCTACGCGCTCTTCCAAGACTGAGAAGTACTCACCTGACGGAGGTCAGGGCGGAAGCCCTTGTGGGCGGTCTCGACAGCGGCAATCTTGTTGGCGCGACGAGGGCCGGTGGAGCGACGGAGGGTCGACTGGCGCTTGGTGGAAGCAACCTTGCCGCCGTCGGCCTGGACCTTGGTGACGGTGATGGAACCGTCAGGGCCGGCAGAGATGTCGATGACCTTGTTGTTGGCAAGGCCAGAGTACTTGCCGGAGTGGAGGTTGACAAGGTTGCCCTGCAACGTCAGCATGTCGTCCTGCCTTGTCCTTCCCGCAACCGATAGAGCTTTGAACACTGCCGATTTCCTGTGTGCCGTATACGTTCCCGGATGCCGTGCAACGAACGCCTCTACCGACAATCTCCCTTCCCGAGAATGTGCCAGAGCCATAGCATCCGCCTCTCCCAACCGACTCCTCTGGACAGCAATCTGCTCGCCAAAAGCCTGTCGCAAGCGCACGAGATTCCGCACAACATCCGCTCCCTCCGTCCGATCCAATCCATCGTGGTCGATCCGTCTGTTTCCACCCAAATTCGGTTCGAATCGTAGCTCTATCGGTCGCGTTCTCATCGATGACTAACCTTCTCAGCCGAGAAGATGGGGCCGTTGGCGGCCTTGTGCTGGAAGGAGTTCCACTTGCGAACGAGGAGCCACTGGAGGTCGGCCGACATTTTTGATGCTAGTTGAAGGTTGCAACTCAGTTCGTGGAATCCGTTGTGGTTGTTCGACGCAGTGCACGGGATGCAGTGCTGCAGTGAGAGTGCCACGTGGTGATCAAGTGCTCATCGTGCCTGGCACTTAACTCCGACAAACTGTTAACGCCAGGTTTCGCGATTTTCTACCCATGACGTCATTTGCTGCTGCCCACCAGCCGACTTTCATGGCTCTGAATGCTCTTCATTTGTGCGATGACCGTGTGGTGCAACAGGACTGGATTTTACATTGCCTTCCGATGTGCATAGTCTACTAATCGTACATGGGTTCACTGTCCGCCGAGCTTCTTGCCTAGGCTGCCTAGGCTCAGCTTGATCTTTTTCTCTGGGCTGTCACCATCGGTCGCATCTGCTGATGAGCTGGCCTCGCTCGTGGGCGCCTTGGACGAATCGCCCGCCTCTCCTGGAGGCTTCTTGCCCGCCAAAAGGTTGGCAAACGCGCCTTCCTCTTCATTCTCCTGCTCTTCGCGCTCCCGCTTTGCTCGCGCCTTGAGCATGACATCCGAGAGAGCGTCCTCTTCATGCCCGTTCTCCGCCGGAGGCGGCTGCTTCGGACTTTCGTCGGCGGAGCCCTCGCTGTCTGAGGCATCGTCATAGTCCAGACCGAGGCCACCCGCCTTAGAGGAAAGCTGTCGCTTGGAGGAAGGTCCAGCTTGCAGGAGCCGCTTACGCTTGGACGGCACCTGCGGGCTCCCTGACCCATCGGCATCGGCGTCTTCTTCATCGGACTGGATAAACCAAGCCTCCTCTTCCTCGGCAGCGGAGCGGGTCTTCTCCTGTTCAACGACCTGAGCCGGTGGCGGTGGTGGCGGCTCCTTGTACTGCTCCCATCGTGTTCGTAGGCCATGGGCGTAAGCCCTGACGAATGGTCGTTCAGCCAATCGCGTCATGATCGGTTCGTACTTGTCGAACATGTCCATGATGATCGGCTTCATGTTCTCCTGAGAACGTCAGTTCGGGAAACGACAATGGAGATCGATGTGGCGTACCTTTCGGATGAGTTCCAGGGTGTCCAGACACGCCGAACTCAACATGGTATCTCTGCTGGTTTCTCGGTCCACAAGGTCTAAGATGGCCTTGGTTACGCCGTTCTTAGCAAAGTTGCGATGGATGAAATGGTTGTTGGTCATGAGACACGATTTAATGAACCGCAAGGAGACTGGTGGTGAGCTGCGGCCGTGGTTCGCGGAACTAACAGTGACGAAGGGTCTTGTCGCTGGCGTAGACAAGCGAGCAGACCTTCTGAGCAAGAGGGTTTGACAACACGAAGTACTGAGACTTGTGGGCGTGCATCTGGATGCAATAAGACAAGAGATCGACGAGCAATCCGATCAGCGGCGCCTGTTCCGGGGTTAACGTAGGCGGACCTGTCTATCAGTTTGAGCCGCAGGAAAATTACACACCCGACAAGTCCTTCAGCTCAGGTAGCGCAGACACTGGGGCGAACAACTGTGCAGCGCACAGATCGTAAAAGTATTGCGTGAAGGTTTCGACAACAGGCATTTCTTTGACGCGAGCGAACTGCTTTACGGTCAGCTCATCCTTGAACCAGAAACTCACTTCATTCTCTTGGCCACCCTCCAGTAACGTCTTGAGCGACTCGATCATCTGCTGCATCAATCCCTGATCCCGGGTGCTCTGAAGCAGGCTGATGACCTCGAGAACAAGAGTTCTTCGCGAGATCTCCTCTTCTCGGAGAACATGCAGACGGACCGCATTGACATCGTGCTCCACGGCCAGAGTGAGGATCTCAGCGCCAGCATGTAAAATGACGGCTTCCCTCTGGCGGAAAGCCCATTCACACGCGAACAACAGACCCCGATCCAAAAGCGTTCGATAGAGCGCAAGACGGTTCGCCAACTGCAAGCCTTTGCCCATGACCATGAGCTGGTGGAGGAACACGACGAGATCACGCTTCTTGGCGTCATTTCCACCCTCATCATCAGTTCGGAAATCGACAAACAAATCGTGAAGGAGTTGCTCGTCCGATTGAATGTAGGTCGTGATGTCCACCTGGTTGAAGAACACGAAACTGTTCAGAATACCGAACGTCGGGTCGTCCAGCAATCTCGCAAGGACCACGTCCTTGAGGTACAGAAGTCGAGAGGTCTGGTGGATCTTGTTCCTGATAGACTCGTCCTTGATCTCGACCACTTGACGGAATTTTGAGTACTGCCGGAAGAATGCGCGATATGACGCCTTGAGAGTGGGAAACTCTGGATCGTCTGCTCCATCAGCTCGGTGAGCAAGCACATTACTTACACTCAAGCATTCCCAGGACCCCCATGAAGATGTCATCCTGAAGGATATACTCGAAGATACCATTGTCGTTGAACATGACTGCGAGGGTTAGTATCCGCAGCCCTGGGTCCCAAACATGAAACCCACGGATAGTTTGCATCAACGAGCACAGGGCATGCAGATCGTTGATGCTCTCCAGGTCCTCTGCTTGATTCAGAACGCCAATGAGCTGTTTGATGTAGTGTTCTCCGATGATATGTTCCACGGCTCGCTCCCGACCAGCGGCAGACTTGGCCTGCATGCGCAACCACATCTCGTGGTCCCTGCTCGTTAGCGCTTCACTCGGCTGGCTCCACTTACTTGATGTTTGCAAGAGTAGGCTGTTGCCACTCATCCCTGGGCATTCCACCCAGCTGAGGGGTCGAGGAACCAAGTAACGGAGAGGTAGCCAGGGGCGAAGATGACGAAGCCATGGCCATCTTCTGATCGTCACCTGGGGATTAGTGGCGATGACTCGGCAGAAATCTCACCGAACTGATTGCTCAAATGTTTCTGAACCTCAACGATAAACTGCCAGATATCGTCGCAGCCCTCAACATCTTGGAAGGACAGCGCTATGTCCTGCTGAGTCGTGTGATCGGTCCAGACAATCAGAGTACCTGTTCCGGACGTCAGCATCGCCTCTGGTCCAATGCTCCGAAGCGCGTACGCACCCTGCTGGCGGTCGTACTTCTCCTCCTTGGACACACGCGTATTTAACAGCAAGTCGTCCTTGAGAAATCCTCCAGGTCCCTCCGCGCCTTCAGCGTGTCGGATTTCCGGCGGGGGATCTTCCGCCTCGACGATAAGCAGAGCAACATCATTGTGGTCGTCGTAAACACCCTTGCAATGTCCCGTCCCCCGATCGACCCAGGCCTGATCCCTAAGCTCGTATACCTGGAGATGTAAGCTGAGTAGATGACGAGAGGCTCACCTTGACGCGCTTGCCACCGCCCTGCTCTCCTTCAGCAAGTAACATGTCCTCCCCGTAGTCGCCAGCTACATCCGCCTGCACGTCCACGACGTCGGCCATCGCATCGTCGCCACTCGAGTCCGGATCATCAAACGATTGACCGCCTGACTCGCTGTGAGTTTCTCTGCGTTCTGGCTCCACTTCGTCGGACAACGCGTGACTCGACGAGTGCGTAGATTCAAGGTCGGCCATCCGCAGAGTAGTCGAGGCTGGCACTGATCCGGACGAGGAATCTACGCCGATTCGGGGATTTCAGCGAGAGAGGTCGCAACAGTGAGGTTGCCCGTAGTCGGAATCCTCTATGTCGACGTTGCAGAGGCGAATCAGAGAAGGTTAGGTGTGGATATCTCGAGATCGAGGAGAATAAACAAATGAGCTCTGGTGGAATGAGTGTCCCACTCTCCGCGACTCTCAGTGGCGACCGGAGCGGAAGCAATCTCGCGTTGCAGCACCACACAAGCTGTGACACCATATTATGTTGTTGTTCCAAGACTTCATCCTCCCCTTTGTCCTGCATCCAAGATTCTACGGTCGCGACAACCCGTTAATGCTTTCCTACAGCCCGGAAAAGCGATAGCAACGGCCATTCTTTGGTGTACTTCAGCAACATCCTCGCGGGCCCTCGACGGCGCCGCGCTTCGATTCCCAAATGGCTGCCGCTAAACGCAGTCTTTCGTCATCCTCACATCACCCGAATCACCAATCCTCCGCTAAGCGACCACGACTGGTCTCCGACGAAGGGTCACAAGGCAACAGGAGCCTTTGGTCAGGTCTCGCTTTTGTGAAGGATAGTGTCGACTGGATGTTGGGGCGACGTGAGTAGCTATGTGGATCTTAGACAGTGCGGGACTAATCATGTAGGCAAGCCAACGCGGCCGAGCCCTCACGTTCGGCGGACGAACGGAACGGCATCAGCGGTTGGACTTCAACTGGGCATTTCCAGGAATGGCGGCGTGATCGCTGCTCCTAATGGACGTACATCTAGCGAGGCGGTCGTGCTATCTGACGATGACGGCGATATTTCCATTGATTTCGAGCGCGAGGAGCAGCGAAGACAACACATGTCTGAGGCTCGAAGGCATCTCAACGACCACGCCCGGACGCTGGGAGGAGAAACACCGGAGAGCATCCACCCACTGCTGCCTCAGCCGCTGTTCACTTCATCCTTTGACTCTCCCCGATCGTCAGTCGAGAGCGCGCCGACATCTCCAGTGCCTACCGGGGAATCAAGGGTGCCCAACCGACCAGACGTGGGGTACTCGAAGCCGCGACGCGAGTACAAGTTTGTTCGCTCCCGATCCAGCTCCAGCAATCTGTCGAGTCCGTCTTCGTCGCCGCCGCGCAGCCCTCGCCGCTCCTCGAGCAAAACCTACCGCTATCGAAATGAGAAGAATGAGTCTGCGCAGCTTGTGATGCTGGACAAGTACATACGGGAGAACCCCGACCAGAGCGCTCCAATGAAGCGGGTCAGGGAAGAGCTCCTGCGGGAAAGGGAACAGCATCGCTATGCCGGTGAGTGAGCGTTCGTGCAGCGCACACTGACAGAGCAGCCAGCACGAGCTCCGCGGATCTCAGCAAGACCTTGAGGAACCTCAAGCTGGATAACCGGAAGACGTTTGATGAAGCCATCGAAGCACGACGGGAAGAGGTACGCACGCCCTGAGCAGGAGGCAATGAGACTGACGTAGTAGTTCAAGCCCCAGCCCCTTCCGCGGAAACGAGACCGTCTCCAGCCCCCGCCCCTTCAGCATGTCAAGAGTAGTGTGCTGGAGAAGTTCAAGCGGGAAGAGGAAGAGAAGGAGAAAGCGATCCGGGCACGTCTTCGTCCGCGAGTACCGAAAGACGTTACTCCTGAGCAGAATGAAATCGTAAGTCCGCCAGTCGCAACAATGTTCCGCTAACACGAGCAGGTACGACAGCGCCTTGCCGATCCAAACTTCAAGTCGGACACTGTCGACGCCAAGGCCCTCCGGACGCTGAAGCCCGGGACATGGCTGAACGATGAAATCATCAACTTCTACGTTGACGCGCTCCGTGCGCGGGCAGACAAGGAGGGCAAGAAGATTGCTGTCGGCAACTCGTTCTTCTACCAGAAGCTCAGCGGACAGGGATACGCGGGCGTGAAGCGATGGGGCCGGACAGTGAGTGCACAGATCCCTAGCTTGACTAACGGGCGCAGCGCAAGATCCCGGAGAAGGATCTGTTCGTGATCCCCGTCCATGTGCAGGGATGCCACTGGACGTGCGCGTGCATCAACTTCAAGAAGAAGCGCATCGAGTACTACGACTCGATGGCCGATCACGGGTTCCGCCACGAGGTGTTTGAGGTGAGCTGACGTGTTTTGGACTCAACTGACGACCAGAATCTGCGCATGTACCTGAAGGAGGAGTGGAAGACTAGACTAGACAAGGAGTTCGACTTTACAGGCTGGCAGGACGTGTACAGCAGCGTGAGTTTCCGCTGAGCCCATCCGAACTGACATCCAGAAAACCCCTCAGCAGAACAACGGGTCCGACTGTGGTGTATTCGCGTGCCAGACGATGGAGGCACTCGCGCGCGGCAAGGACTTGACTGCCAAGGATCAGTTCGAGTTTGGCGCGGGCGACATGCCGTTCTTTAGAAAGCTGATGATTGTGGAGATTGCGTCGGGCGAGCTCGCGAGCCGCGTTTGGTCGTAGGGGTCGTAGGAGTCGCAGCAGTCGTTGCTCTGTACAAAAAGATGTAATACATACCAAAAGTGACAAGAGATATGAGACACCACGTCCACTAACCCCGTCTAGTGTTTTACTTGGGCGCAGCCGCTGGGGCAGGACGGCCAGCACCAGCAGCAGCACGACGCTGGGCAGGGTGCTGCGGGTTGCGGTTACCACCGCTGAAGAGCCAGCCGGTAATGGTCTGTGTCAGGCCCGCAGCCATCATGGAGAAAATGACCCAGGACCACACGGGGAGGTTCTTGGTATACTCCCCAATCTTCTTCCACCCCTCGATGTACTTCTCGACGAGATGGGCACTGTTGTCAGCTACAATCTCGCTCCCAACTTACCGCTCGCCGTCGACGGGGTTGTAGGGGGACTTCCAGGGACGGATGTTCTTCCAGTGGCCGTCCTTGATGAGCTTGTACATCTTCTCGCCCTCGGCGGGGAAGGGCGGGAAGCTGAGAAAGCGGAGCTCCTTCTTGCCGTTGTTCTCGGAGACGAAGACGAGGTAGGGCGGCTTGGTGATGAGCCAGCGCGTGCATGTCGCCCAGTCATTGTAGTAGTCGAGACGGCCAAACTTGAAGTGCTCAATCTCAGCCTTGGCGTCGCCCTCTGCAGCGGCAGCGTCCTTCGCAAAGCGCTTCGTCACGTTCGCGTGCGCCTCCGTGAAGGCAGTCGCGAGGAAGTCGGCGTCGCGGCCATGACTGCAAGTTAGCTAGAAAGCCCGGAGCACTTGAGCTTGGTACTCACACGACGATAACCCAAACATCGTCACCCGGCGACGCGAGCAGCTCCTCAGAGTTGGCGTCCGTGATGCGCACAACACCGTCAGCCTCGTCCTTCTTCGCGCGCTCTTCGTAGTCGACAGGAATGACACCGCCATTGATGTACGCCTTGATGATGCGCGTGACCGTGTTCTTGATGCCGCCCTCAGCGGCAGGCTCGCTGGCAGCGGGCGCCCTGGTGGTTAGCGATAATAACAAGTCGCAAAGCGCCGGTTACTCACTCGGCGTCAGCGGCGCCAGTGGCGGCCTGCACAAGGGCGAGGAGGCAGCCCAGGTAGAGAATCAGCGAGAACCAGCGACTCATAGTGGGCGGGTGGATGTTACGATGCAAAAGAGAACAGTGGGGGAGATATCGCCAGGCGATCTAAATATGGCGAGCTGGCCGCTTGCCACCTGGCTGGCTGGCCTTGGCTTGCCGGTCCAGCGACCGCCCAAAGGCATCTCGGAGGGCGGGCCCGTGGTGGCCCCACATGGGCAGCGCCAACCAGCAGTGGGATGGGCCCCCAGGGTCGCGATAGTCGCCGTGTCGCCGTCCTTGCCGGTCTACGACCCTTCGACGACCGGGCGGAACCAGATTAGACAGCTGGCGTCACGTGACTCACGATTGTTATGCTTATCGTTCCTGAGCCTGTTTTAGCCAGAAGCGACACGTCCCCGCTGACTGTTCCAAGTCATGGGCCTTTCCTTCGGATCCGTCCCTCATCCGCGGATGCCAGAACACGTTTATGCCGGCCGTATCATTGCGAGTCCGTATCGGGATTCCTCTGCACGTTTACAATGCATCAAGGGCAGTGCATCCTGCACCGGTGCGCGACATTATCAGCGGGCTAAGCGACGGAAGCGACGCTATATCACTTGGCAGTGCGCCGTTGCCAAGAAAGCTGTGCCCTTAGGAGCCAGGCACGGCTCAGCACAGTCAGAGCGCTGAGGCCGTTGCCACCCAGATAGCCAGTGACCGGCCGGCCGGTGTCCGGGTGTCAGGCGTGTCAGCTCTGAACTCTGGTGCCCTGGTGCCCCGACGGCGGCGGCGCGGCGGCTCAGCCCCGGTGGCCCCGTGACACTTGAGATTCTCGGAATGTTCAGCCTCAACTCGACTCGCCTTACGCCTTGTGTCGCGCCTCTGCGCCTCTGCTCACCTGCTTTAGAACGCTACCACTCTGGGCGACGGGGCGTTCTGCGCGTACGGCCGTCGCCCTCCCGAATGATGCTCGATGCAGAAACTATATATACTTGTCCGCCGGCACGGACACTCGCATTCTCACACAATAACCAACAAACATGTCCTCCTCTATTGCACCCTCCTACAACCACGCTACCAACAACTCGCCGCCTGCTCTGCAGTACGACGACAACGAGCTTCACCGCTATGTCACTGATGACGGGCCCAGCCACTCCAAGGCCCCAGTCGACCGCGGTGTCATTCCCCCTCAGCCTGCCCTCATCGTAAGCTGGAGTGTTAGTTGCGAAGCTGACAAGCAGACCGTTCAGCCCCTACGTAAAGCCGACATGCAGCCTTCCTACGCCCAGGGTGAGCCCTTCTAGAGATCGATAGACGTCAACTGACACCGCAGATCTTGGTTCTGGAACTGTCACTCACGGCTTCTACGGATCTATGATGACCGGCATCGGAGCCTGCATCGGAGCGGTGAGTGCACTCTGGCCGTACACGGCAGCGAAGCCGTGGGGCTGAAGGCCCTAATGACCGCTGCCGCGCGAATCGTTATGGCGCTGCGACCACCACGGCGATTACCTGCCTGATAGGACAGCGGCCCGTTTGCGAACATGTACTGACTTCCCCAGCTCGGACAGTTCCCTTGTTGCCCTCTGCCCAACCCGTACAAGGAGGTGAAGCAGGGCTCCGTCGGTCTGATCTCCCGCTTCGGTGAGTTGCGCTCACGCCACTGTAACTGACACCCCAGGTCAGTTCTACAAGTCTGTTGACCCCGGTCTCGTGCAGGTCAACGTCTGCTCGGAGGACATCCGCATGGTCGACGTCAAGATCCAGCTCACGACCGTCCCGCCCCAGACGGTGCAGACGAAGGACAACGTCTCCGTCATTGTCGACTCTGTCATCTCGTGGCACATTGTCTCGCCCTACCGCGCCGCCTTCGGTATCAACAACCTGACCATGGCACTTGTCGAGCGTGCGCAGACAACTCTGCGCCAAGTCGTCGGTGGGCGCGTCCTGCAGTCCGTCATTTCGGACCGTGAGGGCCTTGCGCAAGAGGTCGCCGAGATCATCGAGACGACGGCCGAGAAGTGGGGCGTCAGCATCGAGTCCATCCTCCTCAAGGACATCAACTTCTCCGTCGAGCTGCAGCAGTCTCTCTCGTCTGCCGCCACCCAGAAGCGTATTGGAGAGTCCAAGGTCATTGCTGCGCGCGCCGAGGTCGACGCCGCCAAGCTCATGCGCCAGGGTAAGCTTTCTGATCTATGTGGGAGCTAACGCTGCAGCTGCCGACATCCTCGCCTCGCCCGCCGCTATGCAGATCCGCCAGCTCGAGGCGCTCCAGGCCATGGCCCGCACGAGCGGAAGCAAGGGTACGTTATGCTCCGATGCTAGTGACGAGGATCTGTCTCACCGAGCCGCGGCATGTGGCGCCTCCGCGGAGGCCGTCACGGCGTAGAAGCTCGTCACTACGGCCAGATCCATGCTGCGATTTCAAGAGCTGACACTGCACAGTCGTTTTCGTCCCCATGAACCTCGGCGTAATGGGCGCCGGTGGCGAGATGAACCAGCAGCTGATCGCCTCGGTCCAGGACGCCGGCGACGGACAAGGGCACGGGCACGAGTCGGGCGCCTCGCGCGCCGGCCTGCTCAACTCGATGGCTTCGATGTAAGCCCCAGACGAGTCGACGTGACCAACGGCTCCGGTCCTCCGAGACCGTGAGAACGCCAAACGCCAGAAAGAACAGCCCGAAATGAGCGTGAATTGTGCCAATCCTAAAGTTTCCCATTAATCTGCGCCACGTATGGCCTACTACGGCCCTCGCCTGGTTCGTTAGTTGTACATATTTTCCTCTTCGCCCAACTGTATCACCTACCTCTTGTCGCTTTGATTAACGCCTGATCGCCAATAATCCCTGCTAAACTGGAAAACAACCTAAGCTACAGTTGTCATGCATTCGTTACAAACTGGAGAACTACTGCCCTTCCTTCTTCTCGGCCTGCATTGCGTCCACGGCACGGAGCAGATCGACATCGAGCGGCACCTTCTCCCCCAGCCAGGTGCCATTGGTGGTGTGATCCTTCACATCGTCGCCCGTGTTGGGGTGGATTAGGACAGAACACGGCCCGCGGTTCTGGACAAACCACGACATGAGCGCGCCAAGCTGCAGAGGGTTGAACACGTTCACCTCGAACATGGGGATCGGGTGGGGACCGAGCGGCTTATCGAAGAACTGGCGTCAGGTCCGAGATGCATTAAAGGACTTACGCGGTACACGCGCAGCTCTGGGAACTCGCGGCGCACGGCCTCGTACAGCTCCTGTGCATACTTGACGTGGTTCGGGTTCAGAGGCTAATGTGTCAACAATTATGGTCAGTGTGGAGGCCCGCATCCGAAGCCTGGTGGAGGCCGCATCCGAAGTTTCCGGCGGAACAGGACTAGAACTCGGTGTTGACAAAGCACGCCTTGGCGACGAAACTCACGAGATGGTAGACGTGGAAGTCCCACCAGGGCTTCTCGCCGCTTCCCTCCTTCTCGCCCTTGTAGAGAGCTTCATAGTGGTGCGAACGTCCCTCGCGCGGAGGGTTGTACACGCTCTTGCCATCGCCGTTAGGACAGGGCTCATATGAGAGCTCCGTCTTGTCCGGGTTCGAGGTCTGCGGCGACCCAAGCTTGGGGAAGTACGGCTTCAGGGCTGCAAAGCGGTCGGCCATGGTGCGCGTCGCTCTGAGGAGGGTCGGAGTGGAGTAATGCACGTTGGGTGACGGGATGACGGCGGAAATTTGAACAGTTGATCGGGGTCAATGTTGGCTCCGAGGTCTAGTCACGGAAGAACCGTGAGGGTGGTGCGGCGATGTGCCACCAGAGAGAGAGGTGTGCGTGTGGTGCGGTCGGGATGTGCACGTTGGCACGGTGGAGTGGGTGGAATGCGAGTGTTAGTGTGAGAGCAAAGAGCAACGTAGAAAGCACAGGGTGGCCCGAGATAAAGGTAACCCAGAAGGTGGCCATGTACTTGAGCCGAAGTTTGAGGGCCTTGGTGAGCATGACTCTCAGGACTGTCACGAGTCCGCACCGTGACGGAATTTAATGGCATACGCGTGATCCCGCCGGGTCTGGGCGCGCCGGGCAGTGCTGGTCAGTACCTGGTGCAGAACCGTCAGCCAGACGCCGCCCAGCCAGACACTCAGAATGACGTCACCACGCGGTACCTGAGCAGGATGGCACTGACTCTTGCTGCCGTTTGTGCTTCTCGTTTACAGGTCCTCACGAGCACCGCACTCAATCTTATCAGCACTTCAGCCGTTCATCCTCTGCCGCACGCGGTCACTTTGTCACTCTTCAACTCCTAGGTTCGTGGACGCAATCGTTTACGAAGATGGAGCAGAAGGAAAAGAACGTCCAAAGGGTTCAACCTGTGAAACCCCCCCTCTCACACAGCCAGCCAGCCCACTAATTAATGCGAACAGCGTTACCTCGCCACCTCGCGTCACTTACACTGCTCCACTCAATTCGACGAGGACTACACACATACTCTCACCCTGTACTTAACTCGCACACGCAAACAGACTCACTCTCTTCTACCTTTTCCCTTTTGCTTGCTGCTCACTTTCTCGCCACCGTAACTCGATTCACAACGACTGCGCTGTTCGAACAAGCCAACCTTCCCCGCTCGGACCTCTGCGTTTCGTTCGCAACGGCTAGACCTTTTCCCCAGGACACGCCACCAGTAACGATTCCCCGCTACCGTGTTTGGTTTCATCCTTCAGCTTTAGTGCCTTGTCGAATAGATGGATTTCGACATCGTCCCGGTGAGTGTTATCGACGTCGAACACAACAGTGACAGTTCAACTAACGAGCGCAGTTCGAGGACATTGTTTGGGGCCCAAGGATTGGGGGCGGCAGCTTCGGCTCTGTTTACAGAGGTAGGTTCACAGTTGCTCCGTTCATTATGGCCGCCGGGAAGGCGCGGTGGCTTACGTACCCTAGGCCAATACCTCGGCATCGATATAGCTATCAAGGAGATTCATTCCTCGACGCAATACGATGTGAGTGACCTTCGACGGCATCACTGACAAGCAGGTTCGCAAATACTTTGAGCGCGAGTGGAGAATCATGCGGGAGTGTCGCCACCCAAACATCGTCCTGTTCCTGGGACTGTGCAAGGAACCTGGGGCCAACGGGCGTGTCTTGTGAGTCGATCGATCAACAACACCCGCGATAGCCGTCCGCCCGTACCTGAAAGCTTACATGCAGCATTTGCTCCGAGTATGTCGACGGCGGAAACCTCCGAGCATTGATCCGCGCGAAGGACAAGCCGTTCCCATGGCACCTCCGGTTAAAGTACTGCCTGGACCTCACGAAAGCACTGGCATACCTGCATTCGCGTAACTGTCTTCACCGCGACCTGAAGGGCGAAAACCTGTTGTTGACAGACAACGGGTCCCTGAAGGTGACTGACTTCGGCTTTGCACGTATTGCGTCAAGAAATGTCGACGAGATGAGACACATGACCTACTGCGGAACAGACGTAAGGTGTCACTCGCGGCTACGCTAACATGGCTTAGGGCTACATGTCTCCCGAGATTATCATGGGCGAAGACTTCGACTTGCCGACCGACATCTACTCGATGGGCATCATTTTCCTGGAGCTGTGCACGCGCATCCTGATCAGCTCCAAGATTTACCACCCCGAGACCAAGAAGAAGCCGCCGGTCTTCGTGCCGGATCGCAACGAGCTGCTTAAGCACTTGGACACCGGCTGCCCGCTCGAGTTCTTCGAATTGGCCTTGCACTGCTTGAGCTTTACCGCTGCAGACAGACCAGTCGTTACCGAGGTTTTGCACCGGCTGGAGGTAATGTACGCTTCGTGCGTATCACGGATGGACGGGGGCGATGAGCCGATGGCAGTGGAACAGTCCACGTCGCCGACTTCACCAACGTCGCCGGGGCAGATCAGGAAAGGCAAACGGCGGGCGATGCCGATTTTTGATCATGAGGGCTCCTCTGAGCGGGCCGAGAAGGAGGTCGAGATGGAAATTGGTGGATTCTCGGACTCCTCCTCGGACTCGGACGAAGACGAGGAGCCCCGGAGGGGGCGTCAGCGCGAGCAGAAGCACATCCAGACCATCGCGAACAAGCACGTTCGTATCGAAGGAGATGGGGCCATTCGGCGGCGTAAGACCCGAAGGAGAACAGTCACCCAGGAGTGGCTCGACGCTCAAACCCGAACACGGAGCTCGTCGCCGTCCGTTAGGTCAAGCAACCGTGACTATGTGCACGCCGAAAGCAGCACTGCGAGCGAAGAGACGGCTCGCCAGGGCTTGCTCGATAGCCCCGTATCGGCAGGAACGACAGCAGCGGCGACGGCGTTGACAACCGTCTCCTCACCTGTCGACATTACAATGCCTTGTGCTTACCCTCCGTCACCTCCCGAGGAGACTTGCTCGACCTTCACCATCCGAGGCGCAGCGGAGCCCATCGCTGCCCCTCCCACACCAGCCAGTCCGCCAGCTGACTCCCCTCGCCCGCTGCGGCCTCCACCTGGTCCCCTCCGTTCCCCGCCTCCAGCCCCCATCCAGGTGCCCCACAGCCCCCAGTCATTGGTCACCGATCTTCCCTCTCCGGAGACGCCACAATCTCCCCAGTTTCCCCAGCCTCTCCAGCTGCAACAGTCACTTGCACCTCTACAGCGAAGACAGTCTGCCAGAGACAACAGCACGCCAAAGTCTCCTACCCTGCCTGCCCGGAATTTGATCCAGCACAAGTTCACAATCTCGGCCAAGAGCTCGACGACGATGGCGGCCGTGCTTCAAGGCACAAAGCGCATCCCGTCGACGCTGATTTCGGCCTCGCCGAACTGGGCCAATATCTTCTACTCATCGTCCAGTAGCCGCAACAAGTGCAAGGTCTGCGCGAAGAAGCTCGGCCTCAACTACCTGCAGTGCAACGACTGCCATGCGCTGATCCACACCAAGTGCAAGTCGGTCGAGTACAATTTTTTGTGCACGTCGTTCCCCGCGCAGCAGCTTGAACCCGATCCATAGGTACCTTTCCGCAATCACGTCACGACCGACCGAAGACGAGGAGACTCTCGAGGAGAGAACAACGTGGCAGTAACGATCAGAGACGACAGACTCGTGGACGCGACCCAGCTCTTCTCATTCTCCTTCTCCGCCACACACGTATTTCCTTTCACGCACACAGCATCTGATGAATCTTGACGCGATCGGACACTCTATCAATGATTCATACGACACGACACTTGACGGACGATGAAACGATCAGACATACCTTGCAACTCCACCTTCCTCACGTTCATACCGCCCGTTCATCACTTCCCCACATCCGAGATTCCCACTGCCAGCTATGATATGCATGCTCCTGGACATAACACGCACCTCGCTGCTTATCTCTACTTCTTCGTATAACGGTTCTAAACATCTAACTTGGCGTTCTCCCTAGTCCAAGCTCTGCTCAAGCAGCCATCCACCGTCGACGACAAGGTTGCAGCCCGTCATGAAACGGTTGCAGACTGCCGCAAGCACAGCCTGTGCATGGTCGGTCGCCTGGCCCGCGCGTGCAAGCGGCGTGCCCATGGTCTTCCGGAAGTACTCGCGCTCGCTAGCGTCGCTCGAGTCGGTGGTGAACTTGGTCATGCCCTGTCTGTCAGTTGCGTCGCTTTTACGTCGCTCAGGCTCGCTGGGGTGTTGTCGCACATGCCAGCAGCCAGTGACGTACCGAGGGGAAGTAACCAGGGTTGATGGAGTTCACGCGCACGCCGAGATCGAGGCGCGCAAACTCACAGGCGAGCTGGTTCGTCAACGAGATAGTCGCGGCCCTGGTCGTTAGCCTTTCATTCAACGGTGCCCATACCCCTCCGCAGAACGGAGAGTGAGGCTCCGGTGACTCACTTGCTCGCATTGTAGTTGAACTGTCCCTTCTGGCTCGTGTACGTGATGCCGCTCATGCTGGCAATGTTGAGGATGCTGCCCGGCTCGCCCCACGGCTCCTTCGACGCAGACAGGAGAGGCAGGAACGCCCACGCGGTGAAGTAGTAAGACGCCGTGTTGATCTGATACGTCTGCAGGAAGCGGTCCATCTCTTCGTTCTCGAACATTTCCTTCGAGAGCGCCTCTGGCGTCTGCTCCACGTTGATGTTCGGTTTAGGCATGGAGACACCGTGGTTGTTGATCAGGACGTTCAGCTGCTTCTCCTTGGCGGAGACGGCCTTGACGAGCTCTAACGAACGTCAGCCGACATATGCTGGGGCAAGATGTACTCACTCTGAATGCCATCCTTCGTCGAACAGTCCGCTTCGACGGGGATGATCTCTCCCTTGCCTGAGGTCGGCTTGCCGAGCTCAGCAGCCTTCTTGAGCACCTCGCCGCGGCGTCCGGAGATATACACGCGAGCGCCGTTCTCGGCGAGCGTAGCTGCCGCAACGAGACCGAGGCCAGTGCCGCCGCCGGTCACTACCATCAGCACTCTCCCTAACCCTGTGACGCACCTACAGCGACCCATCCGTCCACGTTGAAGAGGTTGTCCACCTTGAGCTTGCCGCCCTGGACTTGGGAGATGAGCTCGGTCTCGCCAGCAGACTTGTCGTTCTCGTCGACGGGCATTGTGTCGTAGTGAGTAAGTGTGAAATGGAGTGTTCAGCAGCTAAACTCGGATTTGTTGAGATAGCCTGGAGGGTCCAGAGCTTCGGTCAGTCACATTGCTGCGAGAGAGGAGCCATGGCCTGACTCCGAGCTCCGATCGTACGTCATGCCTGTAATTACCGACGGTTGGCGCCGGCATCTCGGCCCACCCAGTCAGGAACCGGTGTATAGGCTGTTTCGGCTGTACCAACAGGCTATCACCTCGGTGCGACAATGATGCCAGACCCCAGCTCCGCGCTGCTGGCGTCTGGGAGCAGCGGTGGGTACTTCCGGCTTCGGAATCCCCTGGATCCCTGCATGCATGGCATAGCGTGGGCAGAAAGTAGAGAGCCCGTGAGGCGGTCGTCGCCCAGCCGCGTGGTTATCGTGCGCAATTCACTAGCACCTTCGCTGCTATTGGTCCAGCTTCACGTCCATCAGCGTGAAGAACACAGGTGTGCAAGCGTTAGCAAAGCGTGAGCGAATTGAGATATGTACGAACGACAGTTGGAATGGGAGGGTCATGAGAAAGGGAGGGACTTTGCAACAGAGGTTGAGACCTTCATTGCTGTCCCAATTTGGAGGCACACCTTCTGAAGCGGCGCTCTGAGTTGCCATTCTTGCGTAGCTGTTGATACATGATGTTACACTGCTCTATCGTCTACACTGGGCTCAGGCGGTCTGCTGCTGCGGTTGACCCGATTCGCGCGCCATGGCTTCCTTGACGGCTCCTTCGAACTGCTCGATTTCCCACTGGATCCGCTCTTCCCTGCCAACGAGCACGGCACGCTTCTTCTTGAGCACCTCTACTCGCTTGGCAGCGTAATCGCGTGCGTCGGCGTTGGAAAGCGGGAGATGAATGTCGAGGCCGAGGTCGAGGGTTACGGTCGATGTTGATGGGCTGGCGTCCGTTGGCTTCCTATCACGGCGAATTGAAGCACTCCTTGCTTCACAGAGAATTGGGGAGCCATGAAACACTCACACTGCAGTGTCGACCCAGATGCCTGCTCCGAGTTCGCTGGCACCTTCACCGGACACGCCCTCTAGCCGCTTCAGGCCCTTGACGACCTGCTCGCTGTCTGTCAGCTTCGTCATCTGTCAGCTTCGTCATGCCATGACCTAAGCGACTCACTACTCGAGAATGTCATTGTCCATAGCGGCCACAGCCTCCTTAGCCGCCTGTAGAGCCGGTCTCAGTTGCCGGAGGTGAGCGTTGTAGGCTGCTGATGACATGTTGGGTGAGGAAGAGCGAAGCGGAAATGCAAGGGGGGAGATGCAGCGTGTTTGCGTCGATCTAGTAATTCGGGAGTCTCGATGCTACCTGCGCTTTGTGTGCTGCCCTGTCGTCGACGCTGTTGTTGGTTCGCGACGGACAAGAATTTCAGCGGAGCGAGTGGCAAGAGTTGCACTCAGAGGTAGAGTTGCGTCACTTGATTAGATAGCTCCATGCATTCCAGCTTACTTGAACGCGCGTAATCTTTCCCAATGGCCAGTAAGGGAACGCAATACCACTTCGACAATACCGATTAGGAGAGATGGATAATGAGCGTGCAGCGCCACTGGGCCTAATGCCGAAAACCCGACCCAGTCAGCAAGGCTGCAATGGTCGCTCCGTCGCTGGGTCAGGCGCGGAGGTCTGAAGTCGCTGCCAGCTGAGTTGAACGAGTGCATCCCACACCACACCAGCGCCGCCATGTCGTACCCCAAGCCGCTCAACACCCCGTACCCCCTGATCGATGCCGACCCGCACGTCAAGCGCGTGATCAGCTACATGCGGCCCACGGACTACGCCATCTGGGGCGGAGCGACCTTCGCCGCGCCTGCCGCCCTCAACTTCTGGGAGCGGATCGACCCCTCCAAGTCGGCCGGATACAGCCTCCGGAACGCTGGACGGCTCGCCACCGTTGTCGGCTTTGTCGGCGGCTTCCTCCTCGCCTACCAGAGCTCTGCGCGTGAGTTCGACAATCAGCAATGAGAAGGGCATGGGAGATATGGAGCCAGCACAAGACGCGCGCGAACCGGACGAGACCGAGGTCGCGGTTTGAGCGGTGGTCGCGCCTCTCGAAATCAATCGCGCGCTCCTTGGACGCGAGTGCGATCACTATCAGAGGCGAGACGGAATCAGCGCCGGAGAAGACGACAGTACACTAGTGACCGAACTCTCCGGCTGTGTATATCAAGCGCCAGGTGTCTGTCTTGTGGCTGAGCTCCGGTCGACCCTGGGTGTCCGCAATCTCTGACTGGACCGGCCTTCCTCTCCTTCTGCGTCTTAAGACGGGTTCAAAGCTGACCTACAGAGCGTTTCCTCGGTTTCAAGGAGAACGAGCGCGAGCAGGAGATGGACATGGAGGAGATGACCAAGCGCGCCAAGCAGGGCCTTCCTCTCTACGGTGAGAGCGACCTCACCCCTTACATGCAGGGTGTTGCTGCTCGCAACTCGACCTACTCCGTCTTCAAGATTCAGGCTATCCCTTGGTGAGTAGCATGCGGAACGTCCCCTATTGCGGGCGACTTCAATTGATCGTCGACGGACGTATCGCTAGCCGTCCACCAGTTCCACTCTTCCAAGCTCTTGCGACGACGGCGACAGCTAACCACCAGGTTCAACTTCGTCAACCACCCGTACCACGGTGTCGATGTTGCCAAGTACTACAAGGCCGCTGGTGTTCCTGTCCCCAGCGCCAACTAGATTTGGGGTCACTAATTAGATAAAACTACAAACAAACAAATCGCAAAACTCAACTTTCACACATATAGTGAATGACGATGTATAACATGCATAGGCCGATGCTCCGAGAGTTCGGTCGAGTCAGGCTTCGCCGGTAAAGGAGGAAATGCTACAATGGGGGAAAATAAACGGCAATGGACAGATGATGTGATGTGCTATGTGGAGGCTGACGTTGATGGAGTTGCTGAGGGACTTGATGTAGTAGTTGGGTCTGCACTTTCAGTGGAAGGGGGCGAGGCCGTCTTCTCGACAGCTGTTATCGTCAGTCAACATCCCGCGGAGGAGCCAAGCCACTCACCTTCGGTACGGCATGAGGGACAGGAGTTTCGACCGGCGCTGAGCCAGTGGTCAACGCATTCCTTGTGGAACGCGTGACGACACTTCAGCACTCGGCAGTCATCTTCGGCTTCGTAGTCGCTGAGGCAGATCTGCGAGTCAGTGGAAGATCCGAAGTAGGCGTTGTGACAACTCACCATACACCTCTCGGCGCTGGCATCAAGAACCTTGCCATCACTGACAAGGGCGGGAAGCTCGGAACCGAGAACGACTTGCAAACCGGAGCGCTCGATCTCTTCGGCGGTTGCGGTGGGCGGCTTGGCTGGCCCGAGGAGCTCCGAGACCAGCTGGAGGTCCTCATCACTGAGAGGTCCACCGCTGATAAGAGCGGGAATGGCTAGCACGGGGTGTGACTGAGGATAGTTGCCACCGATGACGTAGATTAGATAGGTGTTCAAGGGGGCGGGTGAGCGAGTTTCGCGTCGGGCAGTGAAGCGATCAAGGACACGTTCACGCAAAGTGCGACGCTCGCCACTCAGTGAGGGGCTGACGGGCACTGCCTGGGAAGTCTCGCGCTCCAAATCCCGGTCGAACTGCGGTGTCTCCTCGTCCATCATTTCAGAGACAGAAGGGACCTGCCCATCTAAGAAGGGGAAGCTCGGGTGTCCGACAAGATCTTCCGTTGTCATGCCAGGGCCGTGGCTGATAGACCTGACACCGACGAAGATGGAAGGAACCACGGCGTCTTCCTCTTCCTGATCCTGCTGGTCGCTGTTGTGAACTGTGGGGAACAGATGCGCGCGGAAGAAGTTGAGTCGACGCGGTAATCCGTCGGTTCCACCCGACACGCCAAGTGATCGCTCCGCGGAGTCCGGTTGAATCTGGCCAGCCTGGTGGTGGAACGTCGGAATCGGCGGGTCAGGACGATCTGAAGCACCTGGATTCGAGGTAGCTTCGTCCCCGTTTTCAGCATCTGAGGCTTCAGATTCAGGTCTAGGTTCAGATTCGGGAACCGCGGGCGAGGAAGTCGGGGCGGCATCCGCTGCAATCACGTCTTCTGCAGTCTCCACCTGTTCCTCTGGAGCAACAGCGTAAGCGCGGACGGCCTGGATCAGGTCCTCTTGGAGTGTTTGGAGGAACTGCTGGAACTCTGCAGGAACGTTATTCCCGGTCGGTGCATCACCGGATGCGGCCTCTGCAAACCGGCGATTGTCGCGCAACACAGTTCGAAGGTAATCTCCCAATGCAGATTCGACTGTCGGGGCTGCACGATTACGCTGGGGTCGAAGGCGGTCGATAATCGTGTGCATTGCATTCTGGGCAGTGGACCGGGAAGGCTGCTGGGGAAGACTCTCCGGAGACAGAAGTGTAGTTGCAGTTGCAGCGGCAGCGACGCTTTCAAAGTCAGCGGATTAAACCAGAAGCCACTTACGTCAAAAGGTTCCCTATCATGCGGGCCTGTTGATCCAGAGAGGGAACATCGACCCGACGTTCAGGACGACCGGAGGCATCTACGTTTGCGTGGGTCTGTGCGAGGCCTTGTATGACGAGCACTGCGCCAACGGGTATACGGGTTGATTCTGACTCTTCGCTGGGTGGAGCAGGCTGAGTAGTGCTCGGTGTCGTATTTTCTTGCGGCTCGCTAGGTTCGGTGAGATCCTCGCTGCTTGAGGGCGTCGCAAAACCCATGATTGCGCTTAGACGGTGTGACAGACCACGAGCCGGTGGTGGCGGCGCCGACCGTGTCGAAGATGCAGCGGTCGAGACCGCGCTAGGTGTCGAGCCTGTGGACAAGGGAGGCGTTGGCGGCGGCGGCGCTAAATGAGTCCTACTCGTTGCCTGCTGTTGCATCTCCCGTCGATGCCGAAGGCGAGAGAACAAGCCGCTGCCCGGATACGTTGAAGCTGGTTGAGGTCGCCATTCGGGACCGAGCGCGTCACGAATAGTCGAAATCGTACGTAATCGATCGCTCAGGATCTCATCCGTAGGCGAACGAGGAGGCTCTTCTGTGAAGGCCGACTGCAGATGGGTAGAGGTGGTTGGCTGTTGGGAAGGCTGTTGGGAAGGCCCAGCAGAAGTCGTGTCATCGAGTAGGGCGTTCAGGCGCTGACTCGGTTGAGACTGGCCCCCTTCATCGTGACCTCCTAGGTATGGACCGTCAAAAGCGGGTTCATCCTCCATGCTCCCGTCATCTTCAGCCCCTCCTACACGTCTCCTTTTGGGTCCCGGTCGGGCAGGGGTACTCTGATACGAGTTGGAGCGCTCGCGTTTGGCTCGGTCAGCTTCATCTCTGCGGATGAAGCTCGATATACGACGACGCAGACCGACGCGTCGAGGAGGATCTTCAGGCGGTTCTTGACCTCGGCTGGGTTGAGATTGTGAGGCACCCATGGCCTGGGGTTGGAAGAAGAGAAAGAGGAGGAAGGAAGGTGAGTTGCAGCTGTATCGGTGAAAGATGAAACTTGGGCGATGACAGGGTGATGTGGGCGGGCCGGGTCGACTAGATGATGCTGTCTCAGGCGTCGACAATGGCCAACCCCGTTGGAAAAAAGAACGGCCTAGGTGGGCCCCCGATGTAGCGCTGTTGATACAGTGATGTGAAGCGAGGGGAAAGAATGAGTGATGGCGATAAGGGAGGGATAGAGAATGATGATGCGTGATCGCTGATGACTTGGGCAAGCGGTCCAAGTCGTGTGGGACGTACGTGCGGAGGCAGATACAGCCTTCCCTGCACAGCAACGTCGTTTGCCACTCAAAGTTCAGTGAGGGTCGGTGGGCACCACACCACCACGCGTTCCTTGCAACCCAGAAGGGCTACTTCAGCAGGCAGTAACGCGGTGAAGCCAAAGTCTGCTAATTCTCTGCAGCGACCAGACCTAGCGATGATTAGCGCATCTGAACTGGTAACTGGTGATCGGCACCTGTTATTGCTAGGTGGGCCGCGCAGAGATCCTAATACGGTTCAGCTGATGATCAAGATCGGTTCGAGAGGGACCATGCTGCCTGACTCCAGCGCGACAGAGACTCTTTGCTGCCCCATTGATGTTAGTCTGATATGTTTGCATCTGGTGAAACCCACACGTATAGCCTGGACCTCACTCGATTGCAATGCACATTGCTCAGTGCACACGAAAGCACGCCTTACGCCTTCTCACGCAAATTGAGCTCTGACACATGTGCCACCGATCAACCGCACCATCATCGTTCAACAATTCCCTTCATATGAAGTACAAAGATTCCAACCTAACGATCCGAGTCTAGTGTAATGATACAACGATGCTGAGTGATGAAGATGCAGGCTAGATCACTGACCAGCCTCACAGACGAGGTACGATGCCTGATGGGTCTTGCCGCTGGCCAAGATGAGAGCGGTGGCGGGGTCACCCACAGTCTTGCGAAGCTCGGCTCCGACAGTGGGGTTCTGTCCACGTTCGGCAAGAATCTCCGACAGCTCACGTTCGTGGCTCAGCATGGCGCGACGACGACCACGACCCACAACGACAAGCAGAGGTCGCCACATGGGCTGGTCCTTCGACATGGCCAGGTCGGTCTCGGCCGTACGAACCGCCTCCCTCAGAGGGTGCGAAGACGAGCGCTCGACGAAGTTGATACGAGGGAGGGCGTCGTCGGCGATAGCTCCGTCCGTAGTGGTGTAGTACTCCCACGCAATGTTGTCGGCCGTGCCCGAAACGGTGCGGCTCTGCTCGTCGAGCTTTGCTCCGCCGACAGTCAGCTGGTTGCTCAGGAGCGCAGCCTGGTGAGCCTTGACCTCCTCCGAGATATTCTTGTCCTTCATGTCCACAGTCTCTGCGTCAGACTCGTCCAGGTCACCGTGATGAACCCTGACGATGGTGGCAGTGACATTGGCGTGGTGGCAGAACTGGATGACGAGGCGAAGAGCGAGACGGTCGTCGGGGCCACCGAAGAAGGGGAAGAAGATGTGCTGTCCAAACCCGGGAGTGAAGGTGGCGGCCACACCACCGAAGCCACGGTCGATGAAGACGGCGACATCGGCGTGACACCTGGTGAACACATTGCGGATGAAATGCGTGTACATCGGGGAACCGTCAGCAGCGAAGATGCCGTCAAAGGGAGTCGGAGGTGCGGCGGAGGAAGGCGAAGCGATCGATGCTCCATCGGCAGCCGTGTTTACCAGCGCGTTGTTGCTGACATTGGGCACTGTCCAGGGAATGATAACGAGCTCGGAGCCAAGCTCCTCGGTGTAATCGGCGACGGCGTTCGAGTATCCCTCCTGGCCAATGACGGAGATATGGGGCTCAACGTCAATTCCGCGGAGGCGACCGAATTGACGGAAAAGCTGCAGGGCGTCGTCGGAAAGCAGAAGTTGATCCTTCTCGGCGGACTGCATGACGGAGAACGTACGACCGGTGAGCTCAATGAGCTTGAGAGCGTCGATGTGAACAGCTTCGCGGGCGTCGGCAACAGCCATGGGCGGCGGGGGCGGGAGGCTCGCGTCGCCGTTCGAGTTGGTTCGCGACAGCTGTCCCTTACCCTCGGTGATGTCACTCTCCTGGCTTTCAGACTTGGCAGGAGGAGCCGCGATCTTGGCGGTAACACCAGGGTTCATGGTGTTGGTGACAGGTTCAAGCATCTGCGTGATGAACATGGTCGCCGCGAGGTGCTCAATGCGTTGAAGGACGACGAGAAGGCGCGAAGTGTATTCGCGACCGCCCGCCGCACCTCCAGACGAGCGAAGGAAGGCGTTCCGAGAGGCCTGATTCCTGGCCCGGTCGCCATTCGGGCCTCCTTGAGCATTGTTCTTCGGTTTCGCGCTCAACCTCTCATGGTAGCGCTTGGGATAGATGGCGAGAGTGCCCGGGGTCGTGATAACCGTCAGGAAGACGGCAACGAGGACAAGCATCGAGAACAGCTCTTGATTGATGATACCCACTTGCAGACCAACGTTGAGCACAATCAGCTCGACGAGACCCTTACAAGACATGAGCATACCAATAGCTCCAGATTCGCGCCAGGTGTAACCGCAAAGCTTGGCGACGCCAGCGCAGCCAAAGAACTTGCCGACGAATCCGATGACAGTGAGGAGGATGATGTAGCCCCAAATCTTGCCCGTGTCCAGGGCTGCCAGGTTGGTGTTGAGTCCGGACAGCACGAAGTAGATTGGAAGGAAGAGCATGGTGACCAGATCATCAATTCGCTCCGTGATGGCAATCGCAAAACCGCCCTCGTGGGGGATGATGAGACCAGCGAGGAAGCCACCAAAGATGGGGTGCACACCGATGATGCTCGTGACGAAGGCCGACGCGAACACGATCAGAAGCGTGATAGTCATGATCATTGGTGTCGGGCCGTTCTCCAGGGAGCCACTGCGACGGACGAGCCAGTAGTAAGCCTTGCGAATCGGCCAGAGCAGAATGATCGACCAGCCGACGGCACAGAGGAGAATGTAGACCGCGTTCACTCCGCTGCCGGCGGTAGTGAGCGCGAGGGTCAGGGCGAGGAGAACCCAGCCCACGACATCGTTGCCGACGCCAGCAGCCAGGACGATGACTCCAACCTGGGTGTCGAGGAGCTTGGTGGCCGTCAGGATACGACAAAGCACCGGGAAAGCGGTAATGGACATCGAGACACAGATGAAGAGGACAAAGTGACCGAATTCGTTGGACTGATCCGTGAAGTTGTGATAGATGGGCACAGCAACAGCGGCACCCAGACCGAACGGGATGATCATTCCAGCGATAGAGATCAGCGCCGAGTTGCGTCCGTTGCGCTTCATGACGGCAGGGTCGACCTCGAGACCAACGACGAAGAGGAACAGCACGAGACCGACCGTCGACACCAGGTTCAAATACGAGACCGACTGCTTCGGGAAGATGTTCTCCGTGAAGCCTGGGATGCGACCAAAGGCCGTGGGGCCCAGGAGGATACCTCCAATGACCTCGGCGATGACTTTAGGCTGCTGGATCCATTTGAAACACCATCCAAGGCCTTGCGTGAAGGTGATGATGATGAAGAGCTGGACGATGAAGAGCGTGATGGGCTGGGCACGGTCAGTAGGCTATCTTACGCTTGGACCTACGTTTGACGGGTCAAACTTGACGGGGTTGTCACCGTTGATCACATTGGACTTGCACGGGTGTCAGCATACGTGGAAAGCGGTCAGCAAGATGGGGTTCCTCACTGAGATGTCGCGCGATTTGAGCACGATGTGATGGAGTACCTCCGACATGTCGAAGAGCGAGGCAGAGCTGTTGCTGCTCGGGGGAAGAGGGCGATGGAGAGAGGCCGACGAAAGCTCGAGAGGAAAGGATGGGAAGACGAGGAAGAAGAGCGAGGTCGCGGGTTAAGAGTCGAACGGTGAGCTGAGACAGGTAAGCGACTGTCATCTCTGGATCTCTGGTGCGTCCTGGCGCAAGCGCGGCAGAGGCGATGGCTCGGCGGCTGGAAGGAAGCACGAGAGTGATCAGATGACTGCAAGACTGTGTTTAGATCAGGGGACGTGCCCAAAGACAGATCAACGCGAGGCATTCTGTCCCAGGTGCGCCAACAACGTGCCAAGGAGCGACTGAGAGAGCCTGAGCCGAAAGAGTCACGTACCGTATTCACGTCGCCCTGTGGCTCCAAGGAACGGCGAACGGTCGTGGTGCACTGAATGCACTGCGGATGGACGATGCAACAAGGGGTCCGCGTTTCCGAAGCGTCTGGAGGCGATGTGAAAGCGCGACGTTGCTCGGGTGGCGATGTCGACTGAGAATTAGATGCGATACTCGGCGGGACAAAAGGCAAGGGGTGATGGTACTGATCGCCGTGGACGCGGGATCACTTTCCGACCAGTGGCGATAACAAGGTTGGGACTGTGATAGGTTGACGGAGCAGCTGTGTTTTTGGCCCCGACTTGGCGAAGTGATGGCCCCACAACCTGTGCGATTGGCGATGAAAGATGCGTTGGGGAGGAGAGTGATGGATATGCATGCATCTCGATCTGTCGTCTGACCTCTTATGAATGCTGGGTGACCGTCTATCCAATCCGTCACGAATGATGTGACGGAGAAGGGTGTAACGAACAGAGTGCCGTGCCCCTTAACTCTCCGATGGCGCTCGCTTGGGCCCCCTCCTTCCGGACCTAGCACCACCTGTGCCGAGCAAGAATCGTCTCAGAAGTTACGCTGCCTCTCTCTTGGCCGAGGTAGGTCGTCACCTTTGCCTTCGTAAGACACCCGGCTCCTCCCCAGATGCAGACAGAATATGCCTGTCTGCGCCTCCATGTGGGTTCTAGGTCGGAGGCGTCGTTAAGCTCGTTCACTTTTGAAAGCAACAAAGGACGAGGCGGGCGACCTGGTCGCTACAGAGGCATCAATTGTGAACGATACCCGCGTGTGAGTGCTGCGACATTGGACGGCTGCGGGTTGCCGCGACTTATCACCTAAGCGTAGCTTCACCAGTTGGACCTCAACTCACGAACCCACTGTACGTGCCGCCAACTTGTTTCGTCCTTCGTCTCGAGGGTGGCCCTAATGCATGGGCCCTCCGTGGCTCCGCTGTCTTTGTCATTGCCCCTCACACACGTCGCCAAAAGGTGCCTCACGCGTCTCAGGCGATTTCAAGGATCAATGGCCTGCTATTGGCATCCCATTCACCCGATCTCTTTGGTGGCTTGATTCCTGCTCCGAACCTGATGCCGCCGGTAAGTCTGTCCCATGGTTGGCGGAATGGCGGCATGATACCACGGGGCCATCTGAAGTGGCGTAGGTCTGCGCGGTCCTGCGCGCACAATGCACCGCCTCGTTTTAGAGACTACATGATCGGCACCGGTTACTCCTCAGCGGGGTCGCGAGACACCTTTTATCACATTGCAGTCAGATAGTCAGATGCACATGTGGTGCTCGCAAGGTGGGGGAGCTTCTGATGTGGACGTGCAGGCGTGCTGAGGGCGGTTCACTGCCCGACTGACAAGTGTGCAAGGCACACATCTGTGCAACGCCGGTTACGATACGCGGTGCCGTGCCCCAGGCCCCAATCGGATCGATCTACTGGATTCCTCTGGGCTAGCTTTGGGTCTCGGGCGTGTCACGACTACCCTGTTCCGATCACGGCTGGCAACTTGGTTGTTGCGGCATCGATAACAGCGCGAGACCAGCGCGGACGGACGCAGGGCATAGAGTCTCTCCTCGAGATGCTAAGCGACTCATGCCTCGATCTCACGTTCTCTGTCTGATCGTTCAACACCATCGTTGCGCAGTTCTGACTGGCCTGCTGTAAACTCACTAGTACCTGCAGCTGAACTCAGAGGATACTACTCTGAATGAAAGAGCTCTCCGAAGTTCTCCTCTCGACCGTCCGACGCATGTCCGCCTGGGCTCGAGTTTGTCGCCTCTGGAGCCCGTCACAGTCAGATCCATAGCTGACCATGAACATGCTCGTTGTTCATCTCAGGATCACGGGCTCGTTATAAAGCTCACCTGTAGACTCGGCTGAGATAGTCACTGGCACGTGACTGGAGCTGCCGGAGATCCGCCAACCTCCGCGTGCCGCCCCCATCAGGCACGCACGCGTAGCGTGTAGATAGACAAGACGCCTTGACCGCCGCCTAACGGAGCGAGTGTGCTCAACGAACGGAGCAACAACAAACCAGAGTGTGCACACTCGGTCTCTGTTTCAGCATCTTTCTGACTCTTTCTCTTTCACTCGTTCGTCATCTCGACTCCACCGTCTTCACTCCACGTCGATTAGCGACCCGGTACCCCGAGCAGTGACCAGCAACCATGTCCGCCCCGTCCTCGGAGAAGCCTTCGGATGTCAAGGCTGTGATCAAGAGTGTGGACAGTGAGTTGCGGACGTGCGCGAAATGTTTAGGGAGTGGCCCAGTGGCAATTCACAAAGCTTGCTGCTGCTCTCGAAGCCGGCGCACCCTCGAAAGAACCAACTGCACACAACTAGCGCAGTGGACTGCGGGCCAGACTTGCGGAACTGGGGAAGAGTAGCAGCCTGCAACAGCCCCCCTGTTCATTCTATTGCCGGAGGGCCACCAATTCTATGACAGAGGCGATGTAGCTGACACCAGTGTCTGAGGAAATGCAGGAGACCGCGACGCAGATGGCCGTCACTGCGCTCGAGAAGTACGCCGTCGAGAAGGACGTCGCCATGTACATCAAGAAGGAGTTTGACAGGTTGTACAACACGACCTGGCACTGCGTCGTTGGAAAGCAGTACGTGTTATTCGCCTCCTTTGCTCCATGCCGGTGCTGACTTCGCTCTCAGCTTCGGATCCTTCGTCACCCACGGTGAGTGACCACGCTCGTGGTGCGACAGAGGGCACCCAGGTTTGGGCGTCCTTTGTGTTTTTGGCACCCACCACGTCAAGACCAGGCTAACATGCAGAGACGAAGAACTTTATCTACTTCTACATTGGCCAGATTGCCATTCTGCTGTGGAAGACCTCGTGATCAATGATCGATCCATCATAGCCAACTCTAGACCGACTTCGCATCATCATTAGTCACCTTTGTTTCCTTCATTCGTTAAAACTCCACCGCAGGCGTGGTTTAGGGCTCATACAATGCAATCAGTTGTTGAACACATATAACATCCTATAAATGACATCCAGAGCAAGCGCCCAAGTCTAATAACAAGTAGTGGAAGTGGAGGGCTCTAAGGTTTGGAGGAAACCGGGGCTGCATGCGCCCGGCCAAGCAAACTTGCTTGTATTCAGTGTGAGGTGAGCGGATATGACAACATCGGGACTATGTCCTCGACAGGTTCTGATACTGAGTGGTAGTCGTCTCGTACTCCTTGACAAACAGACGCTTCTGCTCCTTAATCATCCACCTGTTCGTTAGCTGCCGCTAGACGAAAATCACCTACTTCATAATGTCGTTGATGTACTCGCGCAGAATGTTGAGAGACTCGGTGTCAATGTTGGTATAGGCGATGAAGGGTCCAAAGTTGACTGCCATTAATACGCGACTATGTGGGGTTGGACTCACCGAACAGGCGCAACAGGTGCTCGGCACCGTAGATCTCGCTCATGGGTCGGTCCCCGGCTGACCTCTTTTGCTCAACATACTGCGCACGTTCGAAGCGGTACAGCAAATTGTTACCCAGAGCCTTGTCGAAGTAGAGATTTATGCCGGCAATGATCTCGTCCAGAAGAGCAGTTGATCGTCTGTGTGTCAGACGCAAAAGCAACGTCGCACTTACGGGGAGCGCTCCTTCTTTGTGGACTGCACATACGCCCTGTACTCATCGAGTAGGTTGCGAACGTTCGGTTTGCGAGGAAGAGTGACCAACTGGTTGTTCTTTGTAACGTTCTCCCAATCATCGACAAGCTGAAGCTTGAGCACCTGAGGAATGACGATCTTCACCTCGGGACGCTTCAAAAATTCAGCCTCCTGGTGTCATTAGCGGCCGTGGTTATCCCTCACACTCACCGTGTCCAACCCAGCGTCGCGCGTACGCTTCCTGCTGCTCTCTCCCTTCTTCCCCTTTGCGTCCTTGCCCTTGCCGAGAGGTGCCAGCGCTTCGGCAGCCGCTGCCGCCACCGGTCGATTCTTCTTAGTCTGCGCCTCCAGGAGCGCACGACGCTTAGCAAAGCCAGCCTCGTTCAACTTGAGCAACCGCATCTCGGGTACCCATTCATCCCAACTGAACGTTAGTCAGCTCAGATCATCAGGAAGACTGCCCGTGCACGGATCGACGGCGACCACCCGATCTCATCCAAACTCACGTCTGTTTCCATCCCTTGTAGTGAATGAAGTAATGGGGGCCAGTCGTCCCCAGAAGCGTGTTTGACTCGTTCCAGTTCTCGGCGAGGAGGATCTGAGCGCAAAAATCCGAAAATAGAGGAAATTATAGATGGGCAGAGGTACATGTCAGCATCCAGTCCGCACTGCGCAACGTTTGGCCACCTGAACACTTGGATATCGTGGTGACAACATCAAGGATCGTTTTAATGGTACTCACACGAGCTTCGTACAGGAGGGGCCCGTGGTATGCAAGAACATACTCGTCCGTCGTGAACTGGTTCGGCTGGTGGTTGGGATTCTGGCTATTGCTGGCAGCCATCGTGGAGTCGGCAGATGAGGAAGCTGTTGAGAAAGTTGTGACGGATACAGGAGATCCTTCTGCATTGGTGAGCATGTGCATGAGTGGGCTGCGTGGGTGCGGCCGGCCGTTGAGTGTATGCGGCACTCACTTGTTTGGGGCACTCGTCGCTTCAGAGAGAGTTGAAGACGTCCCAAATCTCTTCCGAGGTTCGCTACTCTGGGAATGGGACGGTAGATGCCAGCTCTCTTATCGACCTAGCGAATGACACCTAGTTGAGATCGGTCGTGGACAAGCAAGTGCGACGGATTGATATTGTTGTTGCCGAGCACGTAGTGATCGGACTCCCTAACTTCGGTAAAGCTCCGTCTTGGCTTGGGATGTACTTCGAACTCGTGGGCTACCGTTAGCATACGAGCCAGCGGGGCCGCCTTTGCTGAGGTCGACGGCAGCTGGGTCGGCAACGTACAGGATGGACACCACACCCGTCAGTATCGCGATCAGTAGTCTGGAGGAAGGAGGAGAGAATCGAAGGTGAGGCCGGCGGACCCTAATTTGCAGACACGATCTCATGTTTTGCCCTGGCTTGCACCACGTGTGGAAACCTACTGCTTCATATGGGAGGCGCATTTAACTTTTGGCCATCGAACCTTTTGCTGCCGACACGCGATGATAGTCACCCAGCCAAACGGAGAGGCTGGTCATCGAAGAGTAACTCGCCTTCACTTCTTTCGTCCTCCACTGCACAAAACTCAGCGATCTTCCCACCAGGTCTGCGCTGACTACCTAGTGTCTCACACGACGATTTTTCGCGAGTGACGCGGCAGGGCAGATCAGCTTTTGTCTGTTCACGCAGACTTGGCTCGGGTGAGTGTCAGCTGAGGGTTCTGGGCCCATTGTCCATTTCTTCGCCCTCCTGGCATCAATCCAATCATGCATCACCGCCTCGACGCATGATGCAGCTATTGCTATGCAAAAAGTGCTGGAGAAAGTGCGAAGAAATCGAGGCGAGGAAAATCACAGCGCTATAAAGGAGAGCATTGTGCTGACATCATTTGTGTGTTGCCACTCGATCTTACCTGAATCGCGCCTTTCTCTTCGACAGAGACGTTGACTGCGACACCACTCTACTTGCACTGTCACCCGTTCGCTGGTCAGCGGTTCAGAAGTCGACGATGAACGGAGTAGCCGGTCCTAAGGCGCCCGTGGTATGTGTGATCCCTCGAGGTCATTTCACCTGATGCTGATATCTCTCTCACGATGTGTCCCATGGACCTGTTGTTCGCACGTTTTCCTTCCGCTCGCAGGGCAAGTACGGCCAGCCGATTGTGCCAGATCTGGCTGTGCGACACTTGTGCCCCAATTGTCGTACCGACCCTCCCAACATCATCGAGGAGTACAGTCATGGCGATCTCGTGAGTTCGCGAGGCATTTCCTTACTGATAAACAGGTCTGCGGCGACTGTGGAACAATTTTGGGTGATCGCATCGTCGATACCCGCAGCGAGTGTAAGTGGCTTTGCTTTGAGTGGCACTGACGGCGCAGGGCGTGTATGTACTGTGACCCAGACGGTAAACTGACCTCAGACTTTCGCTGGTGATGAAGGTGGTGACGACCCCTCCCGTGTCGGAGGTCCAAGCAACCCTTTGCTGGGGCATGCTCCGCTGGAGACGAGCATCTCCGGCCGCGACGGTCGCACGGGCATGTCGCGTGATCTGCAGCGTGCTCAGAACCGAGCGAATCAGCAGGCTACCGCTACTGCTTCTGGCACCCGCTCCACTCCCGCCCAGCTGCAGGCGGCTTTCTCTCGCATCAACGAAGTCTGTGACTCGATGCAACTGCCTCGCTCCATCGCAGAGCGTGCCCAACACGCCTACGTCATCGGCGACGAACAGAGCGTGTCGAAGGGCAAGCACCCCGACACTATCATTGCCGCGTGCGTGCTCTTCGCGTGTCGTGCCGCCGGCGCCGCCCGTTCGTTCCGTGAGGTTGGGAAGGCTGTCAAGGTACCGAAAGCCGATCTTGGGAAAGTGTTCAACGAGCTGCGCATGGTCGTCATGGCGGAACAGCAGCGTCGCGGAATCTCGCAACCGCAGGGTTTCAGCAGCGCCAGCGAGTCGACTGAGGGAATGCTCGGACGATTCTGTAATTACCTGGATCTGGGCAACACGATCTTCAACGCTTCGAAACATATCGCAGTGACGGCCGTGAAGAAATCCTGCATCGATGGCCGCAGTCCGCTGTCGATCGCTGCCGGCGTTCTCTTCTTCACCTGCATCCTCTTCGAGAACTCTAGTACCCCGAAGGAAATCTCCGGCGTTGCTGGAGTTTCAGAGTCTACGATCAAGTTGTGAGTACCACCATGAGTTCTGGGATTGTTATGCATGATCATCTGACACTGCACAGGATCACGAAGAAGATTGCCGAAGACGTAGACAAGGTTATTCGACCGGAATGGGTGAGTAACTTACTGAAAAACGTTGCCCTTGTGCATCGCTCACTGTACCAGAAGACTCAGTACCCGGACGGCTACCGCAACCTGGCATCTCTGGGGAAAGCTAAGGAGAAGTCGTCGAGGTCCGCCACGCCGAGCCAGCCAGCGGCAGACAAGGAGAAGAAGGCCAAGGACGAGGCGAAGGAAAACGGGTCCAAGCTCAAGAATGGAACGACTGCCAATGGCGATTCAAACGGAAACGAAGCCTCGAAGAAAGAGGATGTCAAGGGCGACTCGAAGGCGGACACCCCGGAGGTCATTGTTGTCTGAGGCGGCATCAGAATCTTACCCCCACGATGTTTCCATTGTTTCTCGCTTTCGGGTGACAGTGTGAACTCTCATGGGACGCGCATCGCATTTCCATATCAAAGCAGGTTTTGCGGTCCCTTGATCTCGCCATTCCCGCTTTCATTTGAGATGGCCGATCCCCTCTCGACTCCGCGCCACCGTTTCCGCTCACAATCTCGGCCCCTCCACCCCATCCTCTGCATCTTCCGTGTGGATGTGGCGCAACTCTGTGCCCCAGCCCCGGCCTGACTGTGCCCTGTTGAGTACGCGCAGCTGGCACTACGATAGTGATAGCTTAGAGACACAGAATCCTTACGAAAAATCAAAAGTTAGATCAGTAAAAAAATGCAAATAAGACCAGAAAAACTTCGTTTGCTCTTGACCAGACTTGCGACCCAGGAGGAGGCAAGGCTCTGTGGTATTCGGTAGGACAGAGCAGCGCGTCGAGCGGCAGCCCGCATCCATTGCATTGTCACCAGGGGCGCCATTCACAAGCACCTATGTCCACAGCTACTGACCATGTCGCGCGCGGTACACATCATCAGATTTCCATGTGCTTCCTTACTAACGAGAGAAGCGAAAGTGCAACCTCGGTTGGTCAGGTCCGCAATCCACATGGCCAGGACGGGCGACCTGGGCCAAGCGCATGTTCACTATCATGCTTGGCAGGCTCAATGGTGACCGTCGGTAGCTGGCAGCCCACATGCACCCTATGTAACCTGACACTCAACAATAGGTCTGAGGGATGATGGAATGATGGTATTTCAACGGGCTCGCGGATCTGGCGGATATGATTGTACCGCAAGCTAAGGCAGCTAGCGTGTCGAACATTGCTTCAGCCCTTTAAAAGGTCCAGACCGTTTGAAGCTGATTAACCCTCGATTGAATCATTACTTGAGTGGGCGAAAGAGAAGACGATGTGGGATCTTGTAACACCTGTCCAGGTGATGTCTCAAGCGTGGGTGCGGAGCCCGAGCACGCACTGAGGGCATGGTGGCATGGTGCCAAAATCATGTCGCGCGTGTTCTGGTCCTGAGGCCCTGGTTCCTAGGCTGGGTCAGGAAGGACAGGCACTCTCCTTGACGTCATTGACGTTCCTCGGCCAGCGTGCCGGGCGGCATGGTGGCAAGCCGCATAGACGCGGGCATCGCCCGCATCGCCCGCATCGCCCGCATCGTCCAGTATGGGCGGGCATACGGGCATGGACGCCGTCCTGTACACTTGTGACCGGCCAAGCGGAGAGAATGAGCGGACAAGGTCACATTCTAAGCGCGCGTACCGCCTGACGTCAGTCTGTCACCTCTAGACGTCGTGCGTCCCTTGTACAATCCCGCAACATTTGCCTCTTGGACAACTGGACCATGGGACACAGGCTCGCAGGCTCGCAAGCTAACAGCGGTAGCCGCTGTGTGTTACAGAATCGAGCAGTGGGTCCACTTCATCCATTTACTTTGCCCACGCTTCAACTCGCCTTGGGCTCCCGCACGCGACATCGCATGGAACACAGCGGAGCAGCACCAGCTTGCGGAAATGTTAAGAGTCGTAGAACCCACTTCGCCAAGAAGCCATCACTGCATGGTCTGTAGGGACACGGCCGTCATGGTAATGAATCAATTCTCCCCATTATGCAGCCACCCGCCGTAGAGCAGGTATGACGGATCGCAGAACGCCAGTGGCGTCAACGACTTTAGGCAGAATGGACACATCCATTGTTGAATACCGATGTTCCGAACGACGAAATCCAGACCACGGCCAGTTGCTTCGCTGGATGCTTGATGGCCTCATGCGATTGTTCAACCCGCACGAGATTACAGCGCACCCCACTTCCCCACAGCTATTTTCATTCCTCAGAACAGCATGACCTGAGCAAACTCCTGAACGGTGCCCCTCCCTGCTCCGCCCTTATAGCGTGCTTCCCCACGTCCCCACTCTCCCAGGCGTCTAAGCTCTTTAGCCGCGGCGTATGATGTGTTCTGGCGTTCATGCGTCTCGAGCTCCTTTGGCCAGTTGAATGCTCTAACGTTTGAAGTCCAACCGCTCACTGGTGTGCAGGTTAGTCGCAGTTTGACGTCACGGGTTGGCAACGGCACGGACACTTATCGTCTTAAACAGGGCCTTGAGGCCTTGAGGTTGTTCCATTACACTTTTCTTCTGGTCTAAAGCCCATTTCATGGCCATCAGGGAAGTGCGGAAACGCGTCGCAGCTTCGCTCTTCACTTCGTATCGGGCTGATTGAGTGTGATCTCTGAATAGCGCACCGTGTACCCCGCTATGCCCGGTGTCTCGAGTCGGATGTGCAGCTGCCCTGCAAAAGTCTCGGAGGACGTCCACCCAGCCCTGCGCGAAGGTACGAGGGGGCGCCCTCTTTGTTTTGCTTGCTATCGCCTTCAGGTGCTCTAGCTACGCTCCAAGATCTATGTGGTCCAAAACTCGACGAACCCACGAAACAGGATGTCAAAAACCCATGTCTTGTAACCTGCACACGTCTCGCATGATCGCACAGGCTCTGACTCTGCTACGCATCGAGGGTACGCCCCTACTCTGCAAGTTTGCGTGAATGCCCATTCAGTACAATGTAGCTCGTGCTCCATTCACAGGCATGCTGACAGACATGTGCCATGTGCTGGGGATTTCGGTCGCGATCCAGCTCACCACTGCCACTGGATTGCGGGTTTCTGCATTCCGGTATCAGGGAGCTTACTAGTGTCTGCCAAGCGCCTTCCGGTACTGGGGCCTTGATCGATGTGGCTTGGTGCTCGGCTTCACGAACGAGCGGCCTGGGCCGTAGAGACTTGCGACTCTTGAAAGTGCCAATACCTGGGCCAAGCGAAATGGGAAATGAGCTTCACGAGGTATGCGGTTCCTCGACCTGAACCTTGCTTGCTACTCCGGCCGTCTCGCAACAAGTACCCACTTTGCGCCAGACCGCACAGGAAGTCTATGCTGGCCACTGTAAACGCGCACCTTACCCTAACCGAGCGTGCCTTCCAGACGATGCAAATCAAATCGGCAGCGCGATTTTTAGAGATCATGTGAATGGAAGACGACCGAGGAGTGACAGCATGCGGACATTAGCATCGTCAGCTGGGTGCTGAGGACCCTAGCGAAGTTGCGGATCTGGCGCATGATGACTTCCGACTCTTAGTCGACATGCTCCGGGTTCCCTTGACTAAGTCTCAGGCTTCAGGCTTCCCCTGGTCCCCAAACCGAGATATGTAGCCCACCAGATCTGGACATCCCGACGAAATCTAGCTGCACTTCCGGAATTGCGGCGTTGGTACGCGAGGGTGCGCTAAACCTTTTGGACGCACGGCTTGTCGGCATCCTCGCCCCACTTGACCAGCTGCTCTTCCTTCCCTTCAGGTTCTGCTCAAGAGCCGCTGCGCCTCACCGGGACAGGAAGCTAGATAAGAGCAAATGATGGCCGGATGTCGTGAAAGCCGGGAAACAATGTCCAATCGCAGAGGCTGGTTGTAAAACTTGCATTCCTCTGTGTCGTCACTGTGCGCCCATTCATGCTCACCTGCTGTACAAACCCGCCTGGCTCTCCTGTAACCCTGTGTTCACGTCTCTGACTCGCAAGGGGGCGGCTTGGACCGCTTTGATCAAGGCGTCTGGACTCGCCGATTCCCCACCGTTTCCTGTCCGCGAGGCAACCGGAGGGCCCTTGATCACAGCTGCTTAGCTCGCTTCTGACGGATAATGAATATGCAGTCGCAGTCACCCCGCCATCTGCTTGGTTTGTTTGTGTGAGCAGTGGGGCTGCGGTGGCCGTCTTCAAAGATCTCGCTGAACAGCGGAGGCACCAGGAGGAGCGCTGTTGCCTCACTCGCGAGTGCCACGTCCACCTACCGACTCCTCACGCCTTGCGTCCTGCGGCGCTGGAGCTCACTGCGTTCAGCTGAACCTACGGCTGGCTTGATGCGAGGCCCTTCCACAGCTCCACTGCCCTTAGAGAGAAATATCCTGGCATGAAACAAGCAGGCGTTCAGTTGCGCAGGCAGTTTCAAGAACAATAAAGCAGCCCAAAGATAACATCGCGTTATCTACTGCGACACGGTGCACGATTCTCACGCCGCTTGGTATTCCTGCGTCTTCCCCGTGTCAAAAACACGAGGCAAACGCTCGGGCCGCATGATTAGTGCTCAGCACTGCGAACTGACGACAGAGCGCCCAGAGCTTTGCGGCCGTACCATCTGCGCCCTGGGGTACTACCCCATCTGATCTTCTGAACGCCTTGCCGCGGTTGTCCGCCCACAGACGAGCTTCCAGCCTGTCTCATGCAGCCCAGATTCCGCAGTCTGCCGACTGCAGCTCTGCTACTCTAGCTGCACTCCGCTTGGCTGACGCACCTTGACATTCACGGGGTTCCCGGAGAGTCGCGATTTGAGTTGCCTCGGGGGAAGAAATAACAAACGGACTGAACCGGAAGAACCGCTGAGTACCTGGGCGACCCGGAACTAGACGTTTGCACCGATTCGCCCATCTCGCCTGAGCAAGCCTCCAGGAGGACTGGAGGCGCGAGTCTGGACATCCCGCCCGCCGGCCAGGACTGGACTTTCGACGCGTTCTGGAGGCTGTCTGCCTGGCACCAGAGTTGTGCAGCGTAACATGGCGCAGAGCGCGAGGCATGGCCGGGGAGCGAAGGTCTCTGATTAGAGATTGGGATATTAACCCTTAGCAGCTTTAGGTCAGGGTCATCATCCCTCAAGGGCTCCAGGGCCTTATCCTTCCCCATACCCTTGACGCACCCGGGCGCTACGTCATACGTCATAGGACTTATGGCCAAGGAACGGCCTGGTCGATTACAAGTTACCACAAACAGCTCTCGTCGCACCGTCTCCTCGTCTCGTGACCGCAGCACAGCTCAAGCAGGCCGCACGCCGCGCGTGATATCTGCATCACACTTCAACGTCCTCCCACCACCCTGCGCGCGAGAGCGAGAGAAACGAGCGAACGAGCGCGAGGCCACCGAGCAACAGTCTGGATCGGGCCCACAAACCCAGGAGCACAACTTGAAGCCACCTTCCCCTCCCCAGCTGCGTTTCCGCGTTGCTGCTCTCTCCAGGCTCTACGCCTCATCCCTGCCTGTCCGTCCATCCGTCTGCGTCCTACCCTTGTTTCGCAGCGCAGACTGCTCACCTGGCCAGACGAGGCATTACACACCGGGGCTGCGCACCTGCAGAGCGCTTTGCACTGTGTCAACTCGCGGGGACACTGCAACTCTTTAGTACACTCCCTCCCCCGAGTGCAATCTGTAACTGCATCGTCTTCCATAACCAACACGTTAGCATCACTCCCGCCTTCCACGCCCGCTGCCGAATAGCCTCTCGCCACCACTTGAACATCGCTTGTTATCTCAACAACTCTGCTCGCTTCCTCGTTGATACCGAGGACCGGTCTTGAGCTTCCCGACTGCGACCGCACTACGTTGCCACCCAATCGAACGCTGCACCCGCCCCGCCAGGTACCTCGCGTCCCAAATCAAAAATCACTGTCCCACCGACACTAGTCTGAGCCTCGACCACTCCGTCATCTGCATAGTGACTACCCTTGCCCCTACCGCCAGTCGGCTGAACCCCTCTCTTAAGCACTAGCAGCTACCGACCTGTTTCTGTTCTCAACACTCTCACAATGGGTGGAGATCATAAGTGTCCAGTAAGTACTGCTGCACTTCCGGGACGACAGCGGCGGAAAAGCTTCGGAGCATGCACTGACTTCATCTCAGCTGTGCTCGGCCACCTTTACGCGGCCACAGCATGTTGGTCGCCACCTGCGCGCCCACACTGGTGACAGACCTTACGCGTGCAAGGAGTGCCCCCTCCGCTTCGCCCGCAGTGATCTTCTGTCACGACACGTAAACAAGGCCCACCCTAAGCCCAACGGACAACAGCCCGATAAGAATGAGAAGAAGTCGCGGCGTAAGTCGAGCGCGAACTCGGCATCGTCCGTCGGAGGTCGACCTTCCATGCCCATACAACCTCCTCCCATGGCTGGACTGAACCCCACTCTCGCGGGTGTCTCGGCGCAGCGACCGAGTCAGCCTGAACCGACGCCGTATCAGGCCCAGCGCATGTACCCCAACCACCCCCTCCTTCAACAGAACAACAACGCTTGGATCCCACGCATGGACATGAACGGAGATCCTAACGCCATGGCCTTCGGCCCTGCTGGTGGAATACCGGATGGGAAGGGGGGCTTGCTTGACCCCTCTCTCGCGTTCATGTCTTATGGCATGCCCATGCAGGGCGTCCCCGGCCAGGAAAACCAACTCTACAACGTTGGACCAGGCGGTGTGATGGCCATGCAGAGCAACATGGGATATGAAATCCCGGTCAAGAAGCGTGCCTGCGATCAGTGTAACCACTCGAAGGTCCGCTGCGATTTCGCTGAGCCGTGCGGTAAGTCAAATGATGACACTTTTCCGGGTAACCGCAGCTAATAATCTTCAGCGCGCTGTGCCCATCGTTCCATCCAATGCACCTACGCCAAACCCCAGAAGGCTCGCTCGGCCGCCTTCACAATGACGAGCCCCCAAACGAGTGTCATGAACCGCTCCCCACCGTCAGGGCCGCAGGAGTCAACTGGACCCCAACCAGTGCCTGGAAGCAACTCAGCGGCCTGGGAGGCGAAGATGGCAGCCGCCCAGCAATTTTCGCAGGCATCCGCCATGGCCCAGATGCAGCAGTCACCTATACCTGCTGGCATCGAGCTCACTCCCGCGCTGACGAACTCGACAAGTCCAACCGGATCCTCTGAGGATGCTGCTCTTGGCAGCACTGCTGGCTCCAATGGCGGCTGGATGATCAATGCTGCCAACTCTGGCACTGGTCTTGACCTCCAGCTGAACGGCTACAGTGGAAATGCCTTCCAGGAACCTCAGTCTTTCGACCAGGCATCTGTCTCGAGCTCTTACACCGACGGTTCTGGGGTCCACTGGAGGAACCCCTTCAATTCCTCGGCTGTCGACGACGACGAGCTGTCTTCCAATGCCAGTGTGTCTGACCCTAAGGAGAAGGAGCACGAGAGGCGCCCGTCCAGCACTTCTGCCGTCTGGGCGAACTCTTTCGACCAGCTGAAGCTCGACGACCAACAGTTCAACGTCGATCCCGCTGCCATGAACGACTTCCAGTACCACTCCCCGCACCGCAACAGCTCCCTGCCAAGCGACGCGCCTCCGACATTCAGCCGTCAGCAGAGTGGAAACGATTTCTGGAAGCTCTTCCTCGACCCCATGGCTCTCGCCACACCTGACCGGATCAACGACGGGGAGCAGTTCGTGACCGTGGAAACCCCTCGTGGTCTTAGCAAGTCGAACTCAATGCCTGATCTCACGACGCCCACGACGGCTACCGCCACTATGTCGTCCTTCCCTCAAATTAAGGATGGACAGGTACTTCCCCACCCGCAGTCCAACAACCGCCCCAAGCCTGTTGACGACGAGGCTATGCTCAAGTGGAAGGACCACATCCAGCAGCGCCATGCTTCTTTCAGCATGCACCTTGGCCCTAAGTCCAATGGCTTGCCGCCCAGGGAGTTGACCAACCCCTCTTTTGCCTCGTCTAGGCTTAACCGGCCCTCTGCCAACCCTCTGCTCATGTGTACTACTTTGCTTGAGCAGACTCTGGCTCCTGAGCGCATGCCTTCGTTTGGCACGCCAACGCCAGGGTACGATGCCATCCGGGCGCCGTCGAAGCTGCCACTTTCGCACCTGGCCGCGGAGCGTCCTACGTACAAGCGCCAAGCTAGCCAGACGCTTACTCAGGACACTCAGAAGCGTGCCACTTTCATGACGGGTCCCAACGATGAGGCAAACAGCTCTACCGCCTCATCTCGCCGTTCTTCGGAAGGATTACAGCAGTCGCTCATGCCCGTCCAGGTGCAGCTTCCCCATCGCCGTTCCGTGCCGTTCACCACACCCTTCCAGCCCATTCCCACCGTGACCGACCCTCAACGTGCGGCATAAGGAAGGTATGAAGGGGATATAACAGCCGAGGCCCCTCGGCTGTCGGGTAGCTGGATTGCCACTCTCAGTCATCCGGCGACCTCATACCTCATACTTCCGAGCATTGCGATGTGACCCTTCCGCAAATCCAGAACACAGAAAATCTCGAAAAATCATCACAATTCGCAGCCAATAATGACATGTTGGCACGCCTATGGCTTCCTGATGGAACGTCATACGATATGCGGCTTGCGACACGCACATTCCTCTTCTTGTACCTTTGCCCCCCCACCAAGAACAGCGCTTCAGCATACCCCTACGACGTCATCTTATTGCACTGGTTGCAACGCCTTCTGACGATCGTCTTCGAGGTGCATTCCTACTCTTTGAATCGAACCCAGCCTCCCCCGATCTTGACCCCGATCTTGACCCCGATCTTGTTTCGCCTCGGTCCGCCCTGCCTTCCCCGACCCGTCCTCCGACCTTGCCCTTGTTGGGCACCGCCTAAAAATATAATCCGATCGGAGCTCTATAACGAATATCTGTCTCACCCTGTATCAACGCTTTCAGATTGTATTGCCGTGGAAAGGCCGACGACCCCGACGCCATCGAGTAATATCAACCTCTCTTCCCCCTCCAGTAGAGTAGCGCTGCAAGCGCGGCCTGTCGATCGCCGTAGAGCAGGAACTACGGCAGTAGTGGACGGCCGTCGCGATTGTGAAAAGTAACTAGCTTCGTAGCTTCTTGTACAGTGTCCATAGATGTGATGATCTTCTTGCTCAACCGTGCGTCCAGCGACCAAACCCACCATTACATCGTCTTGCAGTCACTACTCGAAGCTGCTCGCTGCTCACGACTCATATCACTGAGTGCCACGCCCCGCCACCGGAATGAAGTGTGCATTGATCGCATCAACCCTAGCGCAACGTGACTGTGCGGCGCGGAGGGGATTCAGGGTGTCTTGCCCGGAGGTACTGCCCGGAGGTACGAGTGATTTAGCGGGGATGGGAAGTTGGGTGCGGGGACCGAGGGGTGAGAACCATCAGTGTTCGTGGGAACACCGCGCCGCAGATGATCATCATAGCTGCGGCGAGCTCGAATACTTACCTCGTGATCGTGCAGACCGGTGTCGAAGCTTGTCAGTAGTGCAGTCAGCATAAGGGTGCACGCGTGCAATGGGCACAAGCAGCAGGGCACCGTGACCTGTCAGAGCCGGGGCAAGGCGATCCAGTCCCGTTCCGCACGCAGGCAGATTATGAGAGCACCGGATGTACAAACATGAAGCGCATGACGCACAAGCACTGTTCCCCGTGTCAGTGACATCCCAAACGTGGGCAGACCGGGCAATTCACGAAAACGGTGCAGACCGCCGATGGTCCAGCTGACATCGTGCATTTCCGACACTGTTGCCTTGGCAGCCTGTGCGTCCTTCAGTGACGTAAAACGGTGCCTGAGGCACACCTATTTATGCAGGACATGCAAGATGCAGGATCATGCGACACACAGCAAGGCACTGGGGTAGCCCGCAGTGCCTGCAGTCATCCTGACCTCGTACCTAACCGACAGTGTGATCGGGCGTTCTGACAACATTCGACACAGGACTTGGTACACATGACATCCGACTATGACGCACGACCTTGGGCAGTGCCGCCTCGAGCCGGCAGGTGCCGCGTGCCAAGTTGCCGATACAACGCCCGCACTTGTGCAATATAGTGCTCATGTGCAACGCACAACGTGTAGATTGCCGCGGCTGTCAGAATAAGAACAGCTTTAGCTCTGCTCGGACACGAGTATAGAAAGTGCTGCGCAACGGCGCGCCACACCCTAATGACCCTTATACCCTGCTTGGGTTCATGATCGGAGTGTCCGTCTCGGTGTTGACGCCAAATGCGGGGAACAGCGAAACACAAGTGCGGAGTGACGGCGTCAAGTGCGCGCGGGTCAGGCTCGGGCTCGCGCGGAACACGCCGCAATCGTTGGCAACACGCAATCCATCCCCACGAGCTTGCAATATGCAACACGATGATCTCATAGTGAGGGCGGGAGAGAGGGCGTGCATACCGCGCTGCCATGAGCAGAGCCCGGGATGCCGCCGTTGGCAGATTAGCGCCGTGCCGCAACGCGACTCGGCGTGCCGCTGTACCACGGCCCGTGTGGCTTAGCCCATGAGTCACGATGGATACTCCGACACTACACACAATCGGTCTTGTGCAATTGAAGCACGCGGCGCGCGGCTCCACGCCGGACATGTGGCACGCGCTACCGCCTCGGTCCGATCGTCTCCGAGCGTAGCGCACTGGACAGCCACGGCTGTCGAGCATGGGCCGTAGATGGTCTCACTTCCGCCGCTAGTGAAGACGCTACCACAGATCCATGCCAAGTTGCCACACCTTGTCCATGTTCCATCACTGGAAGCGCAAAGTAGATTCCTGTAGACTGGTGCAGGTGCATCAGCTTCGACTCACATGGGTCGCGATGATCGTGGATCTGAGTCTAGATGGAACAAGTTGAGATTCCGCCCCTCCCCCCCCCAAGAGCACAAAGCGGTAAGGACCGCAAGCTCGTTGTCAGGCTCCACATGCTGCGATTGCGTCCTGGACAGGGCTGTGAGAAGTCAGCGTGACGAACGCATGAATGGGACGAGTGCCGCACGTCACAATGTCACAGGTCTTGCTGACCTTGCGCACAGATGCCAGGCGAAACAAAAAGAACAAGCATAACAAAGGGGCATTGTTCGGATCCCACAGTCCCACGGCTTCTGTGCCGTCACATTGCCTGTGCGTAGGCGCGTAGGGCAACGGGTTGTCCTGAATCTGACATTGGCGCCGCCCGAAACTTGACTTGGCCAACGGCGTGTCAGCGTCAAGTGTCGGCGACGGTCTCAGGAGAAGCTGGGTGCCGAACAAGACGCGGCCTGGTGACTAACCGTGAAACCGCAGTCGTCTGGGCAAGGTGGAGGGCCAGATAAATCTCCGAACATTTCCTCTCCCACGATTAGCACTCCCACGGTCAGCTCTACTGACACGCGAGAACCACGAGTCGTCGATCACGACCGTCTGCGAAGTCTCGAGATTAGGAATCGCGATCAAAATAATCGACTATCTTATCAACTCTGACAACATGAGGGGGACGCTGGCTCTGCTCCAGCGGCGGGGCATCCCGCACCAGCTCGCCCACCAGGGGAAACTCAGCTATACATTTCGAGACCTGAAGAGTGAACTTCTGTTCCCCTTGCGTCCGCTGACAGCCAGACAGCCAGCTCGAGACGCCGCCGCACATCCTCCTCAATGTGCCGTTGTTCGCGCAGCCGAGAGACGTCCGCCGGGCTTGCATGGATGTGAACGCTATTGACTCACGGGTGAACATTGGTCACAGTAAGTAGTCTGTCTAGCTACCCAAGGGCCGCTGGGCACTAAGCTGATCGCAGTCACGGCCTATCCCCTCGGTGCGCCCCGGGAAGCCTCCATGACGACACAATACCACATCTCCCTCCCGAACCCGCAAGCTGCGAAGCACGCGCATCACACGCTCCTCAGCTACCCGCCATTTGCGCAACCGCGCACTTGGGACGAGCAAGATACCGAGCCGTTCGTGACCTTTACGCCGTACTCGGCGACAGAGTGGGCCGGGAAGTTGCTGGAGCGGTCATTCAAGTCGGCTGCCGCACGCTACGCCGGCTCCATGCAGACGGCCGAGGAGGACCGACGGTCGTTCGACCGCATCACGCCCCGCTGGGCTATCAGCAGTGCTGGGAAGCGGGTGCTGCTGCGCGGACTGCCCGCTAAGGTTGCACCGAGAGAAGTCGTGTCCATGTTCAAGGACTTTGACGTGCAGCTGCCAGACGTCACGAAGCTGCCGCCGAGCCCTTGGGCTAACGAGTCGACGTGGGCTGTCCAGCTGGGTACGGTTGAGGAGGCTCACAGGGCGGCGCGGCTGTTCAATGCCAAGTACTTCCTGGACAGCGTGTTTGACGATCGGTATCCGATGCGCTGCCAGGTCGCGTGGTAGAGGGAAGGAAGAAAGGTGACACTTTAGATTCGTAAATATATCATTACATGCATTCTGCTCTGTACATTACTGCTTCTTGCCGTCTAGTCGCGCTTCAGAGGGGCAACGAGAAGGAAGGTGCGCTCTCCCCTTCCGTCTCCGAGGGGCGGGACCTCGTTGATCTCAACTCCCTCGGGGAGCTTGAACTCTCCTCCGAGGAGATCATCCGTCTTCCTGCCCTTGTTCATGACAATGTACATCTCCAGGCTGTCTCCGACCTCGATGTGACGTTCCGTCGCGCTCGTGAAGGAGTCGAGGACGATGGAGATGACGGTGCCGAGAGGGAGGTTGCCGGGGATGGGGCGGGGAACTCCGGGAGGGAACGTTTGGTTCCTGAAGTAGATCTGGTTGTCGAGGAAGGGCTGGATCAGACTCTGCGCGGCACCGGCGGCACGACACGCCTCACGCTCGTACGAACCGACGGGGTCGAAAGAGTAGACCGCGCCAGTGCCGTCCTCCTCGATTCCGCCGAGAATGTTGTACACGTAGTACGGGAAGAATCGGCGTCCGTACAGCATCGTCTGGATCATGCGCGCAATCGACTTGATCGACATCTGCTTGTGGTGGTTCGCCTCGTACCACTCCAGCCGCTGCTTCACGCGCTTGTAGAAGTTGTTACCATCAGCCGCGAAGCCGTTCGTCGCAAGAACGACCTTGTCGGTGCTGCCGCGTCAGTTGACGAGCCACAGCCAGCGGAGTCGAGTCGTCCTTACTCACAGCTGGAACACCTTCTTGGCATAACGGGTCTGAATGTTGTATCCCTGCGACTGTCTGGTGTCGCCTGCGATCACACTGAAGTCGGCACCGGCAATGGCCAGAATCGAACCTCCGTTGTCCTCGTACGGGTTGAACGAGCTGGCGTCAGTCGACTGTTCGCTCTGAGATGCTCACTGTTGAATCGGAGCGCTAGTGGGCGCCGCGACAGGCGCAGGAGGGGCCGTGAAGAGGGCCATGGTCGACGATGTTGTTATCAAGCAGTCGTCGGTTCAGCGACTTACTGCATCAACGTCAGTGAACGCGCGTCGACACTGACGACGGTGAGGTGCGTCAGACCACGTGGCGGAAATACGGTTTGTGGCACCGGGTTGCGCCGTGGGTGTCTTGGGACTGAAGATCGTCTAGGGTTGTTTTGTTTTCGTCCTTTGTTAATGATCAGTCTTCTTTACCTATTGTCAACTCCAACGGCCGACAATGACTAGCACAACATGGACCACTTGCGAGCACAGCACGCACAGCATGTACCAGCTGTGGTGCGAGCGCGACAGACACATAACGACGGCAACGACGGCGATGGTTCTTGCCACTGACCCATTCCCAACACAGACTTCGCCATGAGTGAAAGCGCTCACTGCAGCCCACCAGCATCGCACCTCCCGTTCGGTGGTGCATCCTCACAGACAAGCCTTCCAGATGGATTGCGTCCCTTCCTAGGCCTCGGGCCCCGTATGCTGCTCACCACAATCTCCCCCGCCCTCCTACCCCTCATGTTCACCGTGGTGCACCTGATCGCAACCCGAAGTAGTACAGAGAAGCTGGCCGCAACCCTGAAAGACAATGTCATGGCCGCCTGCAACGGGATCGCGAGCGGAGCGGGCAGCCTCCAAGCGATTCCTCGCTACTTGGCTATGCAGACCAACAGGGAGGTCCTCCGGGCCACGCGAGCTACTGTGATGGCTGCGGGCGAGGTGCTGATGGTGTGTCTGACGATCATCGAAAAGGTTATCGGATTTATCATCGACATGTACCGTAGCTTACTGCTGTGTACCATCCAGCTGGTAGTGCACACAGCCATGGCTATCATCATTGGGGCTATCGATTTGGTGAGTGAGCCTGCGCCATGGCGGCTGACAAGTCTGCAGGTCAAGGAAGGCATCGGCAGCATCAGCAGTACAATCCAGTCCGCTATTCAGAAGCTTGTCGAAGTGCTTAATGATCTGCCTCTCGTCAATTTCTCTATCCCAAAGCTCCCATCCCTTGACGACCTCGAAGAGAAACTTGTGCCTTCGTCTATCCAGAACAGCGTGCGCGAGTTTAACGCGTCGTTGCCAACCTTGAACGACTTCCGGAATTTGACGGACACCTTGCTCGCCGTTCCATTTGACAAGCTGAGGAAGGAGATCAACGAAACGCGCTGGGAGATTGCGAATAACCTCAACGACTCTCTCTTCCCGGTGCCGTCATTGAAGCAGCTTGGCTCCGAAGACGGCAAAGCTCTGCAGAAGGAGCTGTGTGGAGACCTCGACACATCTGTCATCGACGATACGGCCAAGGCCCTTTACAATCTCGGAACAGCAGGCATCGTTGCCCTCTGCCTGATTATCGTCTTCGGCTTCGCAGCACTCGCCCTCTGGCAATGGTTGGAGTGGAAGGCGATCACTGCGAGTGTAGAAGTCATCGAGAGCAACGGTGTCCGAGACCCTTGGACAGTCGTCGCCATCGTTGAGCATCCGGTGATGGAGCAACGGGTTCAGCCTCTCCTCGATCGATGGACTTTGACCCCTCGAACAAGGAACAACATCCGCTGGTTCAGTGAGTTGAGTGCCTTCACGCGATAGCTAACATGGCAGTTTCCTATCTCGCACACCCTACATGCCTTGCACTACTGTTTATGTCCGTGGTTGGTCTCATCGTCATTCAAGCTCAGACCGCTGCGCTCCACGCGCTGGAGAGACAAGCCCGGTCCGACGCGAGTTCGTTCGTTGCAGCCTCCTCGAAGCAGCTCGTGGACAAACTGAACGGAGCCTACCTGAACGCGTCAAGGGAGTATGCCGTAGGCCTCAACAAAGCCCTGGCCTCCGTGGAAGACGACATCAACAACCGAATGTTCGGGCACTGGATCAACACAACATCGCTGCAGCTGAACGAGACGGTTGTCGAATTCTACGCCGACATCGAAAGCTTCCTGACCAAGGCACTGAACAACACGTTCCTGCACGACCCCATGCAGGAGTTTCTGCGCTGCGTGCTCGGTGACAAAGTTGATGCGCTCGAGAAAAGCTTGAAGTGGGTCTCGGAACATGCGGCTGTGAACTTGTCTCTCGTCCCCGACGTTGTTCTCATGCTTTCGCCCAGCGCGATGGAGGAGTTGGCCTCTCCCGTCGCCGCCGCAGCCGTAGGAGCGCCGAATGGGGATGACGGAGGTGCTCTGGGGCAGCTCATCGACCACTTCGAAAGTGCCCTGGCAGCTGAGAGGGCCATGTACGCCATCCTGCTTGGTGTGTACGGCGCCTTAGTCCTCATCGGTCTGTCCATCGTTGCGTGGCACTCTGGGCTGAAGGATCGCTATAAGGGCTGGCGCGCACTCCGAGGAACGCCTGAAGAGTCGTCCTTTGACAACCGTCCGCCGACTCGTACCCCGCCGTCGAACGAAGGCTCGTTCCTCGACATGGACACGCAGGAGAAGGGCAGGGTCGCTCGTCGTGGCTCCAGCGATAGCCTCGCTGCTTTCGCTGCTCCTGGCTCAACGTTCTTCCGCCTCCCTCGATCACCACAACGAACGCCGTCACCGATACTGTTAAACCCGGCGCCTCGTAACGACTCGCGGACACCCTCGTTCGCGGATCCGGAGGGAAAGGAGTGCGTCCGAGAAGAGGGTTCGGGGCTCTGGGTCGATCGTGCAGGTCGTTCCGGCTTCCGCGGGGCACGACTCGGGTTCATGCGCAACCGCGGTATCAGAGGACTAGCCATCAGCAGGCCAGCTCCCCTCGGTCCGATTTCTGCGACAACGCCGCAGTCGGTACCGCGTTCGCCGTCGCCTCGACTGCCCCTGCCGCCCTGCATCGAGACTGAGCCGGTCCTGGAAAGGAAGTCTCGGGCCCTGCCTCCGCCGCCGCGACAAGTGACGCCCGTCGAGCGCCACGACGCCGTTGACGAACTTCCCACGCCCGTCCGCACTTCTGATCCCTTCAGCGACGCCCAGGCTCCGAAGCCGTCTCCGCAAGCCCTGTAATTGACTCTCAACCAGAGAACACTGCCTCGTGTTTCCTTGTTCTGTCCCAGTGATGTATGTACATGCAATGTATTCTCAAGTGCGAAGAAACTCTATGGGGTATAGTCCAGGATACTGTCCAATGTCTAGCATCGGCGGTCGATGCCCTTGCGCGCCTCCTCCTCACGGTATTCAAACATGACCTGCACTGCGATAAAGAGACAGGCAATGTTGAACAGCAGCGTCAGAATGCCGGACCCGGTGCCCAGCAGCATGCTGATGAGGTACTTGACGCCGTCGAGGCCGAGCACAAAGCCGACCAGGTTCGCCGTCATCATGAGGAGGACGTTGAGCGCGCCGCCGAACGCCGCTACGTGCCGGTACCACCACTTTTGGCCGTATTTCGACGCCGGGACAAGGGCGCGGCCAACAAGCTCCGGGACAACGAAGCCAGCAACCAGCCAGCCCCACGCGAGCAATTGCCACGAGAGGTCGTGCCAGAGCGCGACAAAGGTGAAAACAAGGACAGTGGAGAGGAACACCCGCTTCGCACCACCAAGGGGAACGTAGATGTACCGCACAGTCCAGAGGTTGTAGGAGCGGTGCCATGAGCGCCAGAAGCCGAGCGTCGAGTAGTTGTTGGCAACACAGCGCACCATATTCTCGGGCGGGTCGACGCCGTCAAGAAGCGCCCAAAGTCGGAAGAAACGCCAGGGGATGAGGAGCTGGGATGTCAGCTCGAACGGATTTACTCAGCTGCACTTACCTTCAGCCACACAATGACAAGGTTCCAGAAGCCGATCATGGACAGGTCGGCAGCAGACGCGCCCTGCCACGCTTGCGTCTTCTGCATGGCCGTCACATACATGGTGTGAAGAATAGATTCAAGGGTGAGCATGCAGCCAGCGAAACGGACAAGATACGAGACCCGCTCCCTAGGCGTGATCTCGACTGGATGCCGCAGCTGCCACATGAAGTCGTTGAAGGTCATAATGGGACCAGCGATGTAGGTGGGAGGGTAAAGAATGTAGGCAATGTAATAAAGGAAGTTGTACTCCTCTTCGGGATGCGAGGCCTTGACGCGGTCACGATACTCTGTGGGCGCCGTTGTTGGTGGGACGGCGCGCCAGTGGTAGTCGAGCGCAAAGGAGATGATGCGGAGCACAGAGAAGTTGAAGCTGACCTCCCACGAGAGCATGCCGTCCATCGAATCCAGCGCCCCGAGGCTGTCATGGAGGAGGCTGAAGCGGTAGCCATCGAATTTCCGGCTCAACAGGAGCAGACCCATGTTCACGCAGATGACCACGCCGGGCCACAGCTTCTCCAGCGTCGCAGGCTTCTTAGCTTTCGCAGCGAAGTAGTTCACTGCCAGGATGGCGAGAATCTTGAGGACACTCCAGCCGTGCAGGCCAAACAGCATGCCGACAGCAAAGACCGAGATAAAGATCGCCCGCGCTGGCGCCGAGGTGTACCCCAGTCGGCGGAGGAGGTGCGAAGGCACCAGGTAACCGAGGGCTAGCAGCGATAACGTGCCGATGTTGCTGCGGAACGTCCTGAACTGGACGTCGCTAACATCGACTCTTCGTCCGTACAGCCAACCCGGAGATAGAAGATAAGCGTAGGACAAGTAGTTGGGATTCTTGTCTGCTTGTCAGCTTCTGAGCTCTCCGCACCACTCACAGCTACTCAGTCGGATAGGGATATAGATCATGATCGGGACAACGATCAGGAAGATGAGGTAGTAGAAGTAGAACTCGGGAGTCCACCATCGTGGCTTTGGCGGCTCATCCGTCGACTTGCGTTCGCACCCCGGCACAGTGATCGTGAAGTCGATAATGTTGGCCTTGTGAGGCTGGGAGCGTTGGTGGACAGCGGTCGGGCTCGCGCCCGACTTGTCGTTGTGCGTTGGCATCATCTTCTTGGGTGATGAAGTGTGAGAAGTGGAAGACGGCTTCGGTCAGCGATTGCGACTTCGCAATTTAAAGTGCGTATAGTCCTTCCGCGTTCGCAAGTCATCGGTCGCCGAGCACCGAGAGTATGTGCACACATGGTGACAATGCGTTGTGCAGTTTTGGCGTGTACGCTAGCGGTCTTGGGACTGCGGGGCAGACCGACTCACCCTGGCTCGGCGCATGATAGTTTAGCAACGCCTAGCGCTCATTACGCGTCGCGGTGTTCGTTATGGGGTATACAATGAGGAGGATAGTGAATGGATAAAGTGGAAGGAAGATAGTCCTCGTAAGGACACGAGACGCGATCCACGACAGATCCCACTTCCGGCGAGCCGCGCCAGCCGGTGAGACGAGCCCGTGCGCAAGCACCTGTGGTGGATGGTTTCCCAGATAGCCGGACCTGACCCATCACATTGCCCTGAATCAGGCGCGATTGTCGTTGCGCCCTCGACACCGTGCCTGATGTGCCGCGTCCGCTTTATAGACAGGCAAGCGCCCCTCGCTTCCGAGCTCAAATGCGAGGACTCCTTTCTTTTGGGCGTGATGGCCGAGCGGTCTAAGGCGGCGTCTTTAGGTACGGAGTTATCTACGGCGTTCTTCGGGCGTGGGTTCGAATCCCACTCACGTCACTGACAGTGTCTTCCTTTTTCGAAATGATGCAGTCTGCCGGAGAGAGGAGCTCCGAGAGTAAAGTGAATGGTGATGGTGTCGATGGCGTAGAGAAGTCGGTTGCGTCGCGTTTCACTAGCGTGTGTTTGACCCTCAGACAATGAGGAGGGGCGCAAGCCTGATGTGGGTGTTTGCGATGCGGCTAAGTGCGCCCCCGTCCACTCTGTCTGCATTGGCCCGCGCGGGCCCGGAGTGGCTAGAGCTATCCCTATGCTTGCAGGCTTCAGGCTATGACAGCATGTCAGTGAATCGAAGCTACAGTCTACTTGCAGCTGAGGCGTCGCTGAGCACTGAGAGGTCCAGAGATGTCAACCAACCGAATATCATCTGCAGCCCACACGCATAGTGGACGTTCTTCCCGCTGGGAGCCCCAGACAGCAGGGTGTATGGCTTTGTGCTGTCAGACCTCTGTGATCTCAGGCATGCAGGGCTTTCCTCCGACACCAAGACCGGGTCGCCGACGGTTGACTGCGTCTTCCCCTCCTTTAGTCAGGTTGATGAAGGGCTCACATTACGGACGCAGAACCTATGCGCTCGGACCTGTAAGCAGGGTACCATCAGCGTCCGAATACGCAGAGCCTGCGTATAGAACGTTAACAGAGAGCAAGAGGCATGCATGAAGGTGCCATACGTCCACCTTCCAGTGGCAGTGGTGGACGTTCGTGCCGACCCGCCTACGTCAGAGTTGAGAGCCCCTCGGTAAATCACGTGGTTTCATTGAGATCGCCGAACGACGAACGACATCGTCCAGCACTTTCGTCAGTGTCGTCACCTTGGTTTTTCACACCCCTTTCACCGACCATTCGACCATGAACCGCTCACCAGGAGAGGCCTTTTCGCGACTTGCGCAGCAGCTGAACGCAGAGCCTGCGTATAGAACGTTAACAGAGAGCAAGAGGCATGCATGAAGGTGCCATACGTCCACCTTCCAGTGGCAGTGGTGGACGTTCGTGCCGACCCGCCTACGTCAGAGTTGAGAGCCCCTCGGTAAATCACGTGGTTTCATTGAGATCGCCGAACGACGAACGACATCGTCCAGCACTTTCGTCAGTGTCGTCACCTTGGTTTTTCACACCCCTTTCACCGACCATTCGACCATGAACCGCTCACCAGGAGAGGCCTTTCCGCGACTTGCGCAGCAGCTGAACCGCGCCCGCCAGCAGGCGTCGCGCGCCGGCGGTGGCGGCGGCGGCCGCGGCGGCGGTAACGGACAGGGAGCCGCGACGGGCGGCGGTCTCCTGATGGCCCTTGTGCTCGGCGGTCTTGCCGTCAACGCCTCGATCTACAACGTTGACGGTGGTCACCGTGCTATCCTCTACTCTAGGCTTGGCGGTATCCAGGACAAGATCTACGGAGAGGGTACCCACTTCAAGGTAACTAACGGCTTTTCGGAGTATGAGCTAATGAAATCAGATCCCTTGGGTCGAGACTCCGATCGACTACGATGTTCGTGCCAAGCCGAGAAACATCGGCTCGCTTACGGGCACCAAGGACCTGCAGATGGTGAGGGACGCCGGACATCGCGGCAAGCTAACGATCAGGTCAACATTACCTGCCGTGTCCTCTCGCGACCGGACCAGAAGCAGCTTCCCACCATGTACGTTGCCAGGGAACTGGCATGGCTGACACTAGTTACCGCACTCTCGGCACCGACTACGATGAGCGTGTTCTTCCCTCGATTGTGAACGAGATCCTGAAGTCTGTCGTTGCGCAGTTCAATGCCTCCCAGCTCATCACGCAGCGTGAGATGGTCTCGCGTCTTGTCCGTGACAACCTGACTGTTCGTGCGCGGCGCTTCAACCTGATCCTCGACGATGTGTCGATCACGCACGTTGCATTCTCTCCCGAGTTCACGCACGCCGTCGAGGCCAAGCAGGTCGCGCAGCAGGTTGCCCAGCGTGCCGCGTTCCAGGTAGACCAGGCTATCCAGGAGAAGCAGTCGATCATTGTCCGCGCGCAGGGAGAGGCCAAGGGTGCCGAGCTCATCGGCAAGGCTGTCCAGAACAACAAGGGATTCCTGGAGCTCCGCCGCCTCGAGGCCGCCCGCGAGATTGCCAATGTCCTCCAGCAGAGCCCGAACAAGCTCATGCTCGACTCGGGCTCGCTCCTCCTCGACGTCACCGACGACAAGGTGCTTCAGGGCAAGGACGGCAAGAACTAGGGGCGTATCTAGCTTGCAGCATCGGGGAAAGAAGTATCGATGTATTAATACACCACTTTTCAGCGTGGAAGATGCAGAGGACAGTGCATAGTGGTACAACAGGGCTACAGAGGGCTAACGTAATGAAACTAGTGGTTGTGGCCGGTGTGATCGTCGGCGTCGCAGCCAGTCGCACCACGCCGCCCAGCGGTGGCGAGACAGCCCTCCACGACCTGGAGCAGGTGCCTGTTCTCAAGAGCAGCCTGAACACGCTCCTTGTCGTTCAGCTGCTTGTTGACAGCATGCTCGGACTGGTGCGTGCCTTCCTTGATGCGGAGGTCAACGCGGTAGCGAGAAGGCAGAGCGCGAAGCAGACGCACGCGGAGAGAAAGGCCTGAAGTTAGCTGAAGCCCGTTCAAAAGCTAGATCTAGGAGTATTGACCGCTGCACTTACCGATCAGCGTGCTCATGGAGCAGTGCGGGATTGTAGGAGTAAGATACACGAGCACGCGGTTGCCGCGCACATGGACGTCCTCGGGCGAGACGACGCGGAGCTGCTCGAGCGACACGGGATGCTCGGGGTCGGTGACGGAGCGTATAAGGTCTGCTGTCAGCTTGTCCACCTGATGCAAGAAGCTGTTCGAACTTACCGAAGACTTCCTGGGAGTCAATCTCTTCCCTCTCCTCATCGGAGGGCTGAAGGGGGTCCTCGAATGCGTCGGCCCACAGCCCCTCCTCTCGCCCAGTTCCAGCCGTGGCGTAGATCTCGGGCGCGGCGTTGTCGAGTTCTCTCGGCATGTTGGTGTTCTCGTGAAGAGCAAGTGTGTTAAAGTGACTTGTCGAATGCAGCGGCGAAGACGTCAGAAGTTGAGTTACCGGCTATGGATGACTCATGTGGAGGTCGCCTGGTCGCCTTGTCTCAGGTTGAGGGACGGGAGCAAACTGGAGAGTCAAGCCTCACAAGCTCGCCTAGACGGTATGCACAGATGCGAGCCTGTGCCTGCAGTATCCAGCCAATGACCCAGCCAATGACCAGGCATCCGCCACGGTGCGCCCGGAAAGCCCCGAGCTAACCCCGAATGAGCTCTTGCTTTCGCCCACTACACCACTCATCACCATGTCCGAGGAGAAGTGAGTTCAGCTCGCGCAGCGCACGCAGCGCGCCCCCGACGTGCCGACGACACCGGCGTAGCCATGCATGCGCTCGAAGTGCTAGGAGAAAGGAGGAAATGCTGACGTTTCGCAGGACCTACACCGTGAGTTTAAGACTGACAACCGGAGGAATATGATTGGAAGGGATCGACGCTCGCATTGTTGCAGCTGCAGCACTCAATCGACTTCGCCCCGCGACGAACGCTTGCTGACGCCCGACTAGCTGCAGACTGCCGGCTTCGAGTGAGTTATCAGCTACATTGCACTGAACACAGCTAACTTTCCAGCGCCCGGTTCCCCAACCAGAACCAGACCAAGCACTGGTGAGATTCGGAGCAACTCTGCGCCTCCTGAGAATCGATAGCTGACCCTCGACTTTTTCTTCGATCGCGACACACGTACGCTTGCTTCACACACGAAACACATATCACGCTACTACTCGAACCGTTCACACGATACAGCTGGGTGAGTTCTGCTACTGGTCGGGATGCGTGTGGCTTGCACAAGGACAGACTTTTCGGGTGATCGGACGGAGCGAGGCATTTCGCGCTCTTCCGAATGATCCGACGTCACCGGTTTGCGACTCGTCCGCCATGCCCAAGCCATGTCAACCCAACCCAACCCGACCCCGTTCCTCGATCATGTCTTGCTGACAATCAGCAAAACTTCGTTGACTTCCACAAGTGTGTCAACGCCAAGGGCGAGGACTTCCAGCCTTGCCAGCAGTTCAAGCGCGCCTACATGGCCCTCTGCCCCAGTGAGTATAGCAGCTATGGGTTGCAGCGCAAAGCGCAGAGCACTGATACTCTACAGACGAGTGGACCAACAAGTGGGACGAGCAGCTCGAGAACGGCACCTTCCCCGCCTCGGTTGAGCCTTAAGCAGATCTTCGCAAAACAACATAGGTGCTAGTCCCGTAGCAAAAAGCAGCATGAATGTTTCGCAAAAGGTTCAATCTGCCCCCCTTTGCGGGCTTGTGGTGTTGTCAGAGCGTGTCAGCAGCGCAACAGGGGTATTGGTTGCCCCACGGCAAGGTCCTTATGAGACGCTTGACCAGCTTATGTCATGACATGAGAGCCGTACGGTACACTACAATGCTCCACCCACCGAAGCCACCATCGACTACAGCGCTCCTCTCACACTCTCCTCTCTCAATACGAGACTCGTGATGTATAAGTAATGCGCATGTCCCTAACGTCTTTCGCGCCTTCGCTCCTCGGGCTTAAAACTACAGTCCGGCGCCGGCGCCAGCGGTTCCAAAGGCTTAGGCCTCTTCCTCTTCAACGAAGATCTCCTGGTACTTCTCCAGGATGGTCTCGATGGCCTATATGCGTTAGCTGGTGCAGGATAGAAAGCTGAGAGATAAACTCACCTTGCACTGGAAGTTCATGTGCTCCAGGTTCAAGCCTCCCTCCTCTGGCGGGGCGCCGAGCAACGTCGGACCAAACACAATCGAAAGGTTGGAAGCCGACATTTGGTTCACACCTTCCTTGCGGCGGATGCGGTCCAGATGACCCATGAAGTACTTCAGAGTGGCGTAGTTGGGGTCTGGCAGCTCGTTCACCTGTTCGTGCAGTCGGATGTGTCGTAAACGGTCATTGTCGTACCTAGCAGCCTCGATAAAGCCATGGTATAGGCCGTACGTCAGCAGCGGCTCCGGCAGCTCCCGGAACCAGAGCTTCAGTGCGCCAGACACGACATTGATGTCCGAGGTCCACTGCTCGTCCATAACGTCAACGCTATCGATGTCCTTGTCGAGGGCATTCTTGAGCGCTTGAACTTTGCTGGTCGTGCCGGACAAGCGGTAGATACCCATGGACTCAAGACCGTACGCTTCGATCGCCTCTGCGCACTTCTTAACGATCTTTGGCACCTCCGTTCCATCGCGCTGCAATTGGTCGCCGAGATCAACTCCGAACGTTGCCCCTGTGGAAGCGGGAATGGAGTTGCTCGAGTAGTAATCGTTCTGTGGCGGCGATGTCACAGCGACAGCGCTGCCGTTCGGCGGAGGCACGGGGTTAGTCTGGACATTGGTAGGGCCCGAAATGACAGGACCACCCGGTGCCGACGTCGACGCCTGCACGTGCGGCGGTAATGTCGGGTTCTGTCGTCAGTCACCGTCCGTGTAGCAATTACTTACGAAGTTCTCGTCATACGGCCCCTCGCGACGCGGTCCCTTGGGGATGTTGCGCGCCACTGCGTAGTTCTGCATGTACGCCTTGAAGTCGCTGCGATTGTCGATGCTCTCGAACACTTGCTTCAGGCTCAGTCCGTCTTCGGGCGTGGGCGGACAGAGAATGGAACCTTCACCGACGACAGTCGACTCGTACATGAACGCATACCGTGTGAGGTGGTACTGGATTCCGAGATCGAGCTCATCGGCACAGTCCTTCAGTAACTACCGGTCTGTCAGCTCATCACTCATCGCTCCCCGATCTCTCTCTCTCTCTCAACACTCACCCGCACGATCTTGGGCAGCTGTTGGCTGAAGTACTCCTGTCGCAGCGCTTGGCTCTCCAAAACAGCCTTGCGGAACGCCTCGCTGGCACCCGCCATGCGCTGCCGGACATCGTCTTCGTGGCGCTGCATCTGGGCGGGGTTCTTGCCCTTGAACAAGCCCTTGGTCATTGCTTTGCCGATACGGTTCTTATTCGCGCTAGTACCGTTGCCAGCTGTGTGGTTGGCAGCGTTGGCATTGCGCATACCCGCGTCGCGATAGCTCTCTCCCTCCTTGGCTACCAGAATACGCTCGAGCTCCTCGGCCGTCGCATCGAACCTCGCTTTGGCCTTGTCCATGACCGTTTCGGAGTCTTGAAGTATGGCTTGGAAACGCGCGCCGTTATCCTTGTGAATCTTGCGCTGCTTTTCACCTTCCCTCGCCAGCGATGCGAGCTCCTCGCTCATTTCCCCGAGCCGCTGAGCAAACCTAATCCTGTTCTGGGCGAGTTGCTCCTGCATGCGGAGCGATTGCTGGTATGACTGCACGAATGACCTGAAAGGAGGTTAGCCGAGGGTCTGGCTCTTCAGTTCAATGTTTGAACTCACCCCGCCTTGCAATCCATCTTGCTGTAGACCTCGATTGCTTGCCTCGCCATATCACCCAATCCTCGCGCATACTTCTCCTCCACTTCTGACCGTTGACGAAAGAAGCCAGAGATTTGCTGCTGCGTTAGCTGACCGGACGGCAAACGGCATGACTGTTGCCTCACCTTGCACGATGCGACGGATTGCTTTATCCTGTCCCCGAGTAGAGGAAGAGCACACTAATTCGTCAGCACAGCTTCTCAGCCCGCACTGCATCGCACTCACGTCCATGTCACACAGCCCATTAACGATGCCTTCGTCAAACCCTACGGGGCCATCCACTTCTTTACCTTCTAAACGACTGGCCGAGCTGGAAGACATGCGCCGTCCGTTCCTGTAGGCGAACGCGTTCGCCGTCGTAGTCGACGATGGGGCCTCGGTGGAGACAGTGCTGACTGCGGTCGTAGACTGCGAGGCGGATCCGGCATTCATGACTGTGGACGCCCCGGAGGGATGAGAGGAGTGTTGTGATGAATCTGTGTCGCGCGTTAGCTTCGTCGTACGAACTCGAGCCACCCGCGTGCACTTACAGTGAGGTCTGTTGTTGCGTGCAAACGAGTACCCGTTCTCCGAAGGGTCATGTGGAGAGTTGAGGTCGCGCGGAGACTCTGAGTAGTTGTAAGCCTCCATGGCAGCAGGTGCCGCTGAGGAGGGCACGTAGACGAAGTTGGATCAACAATGGAGGGAAGGCGGGTTGGTGATTGTATGAGTCGTAAGAAGTGCCGTCGGCAAACCGGACGAAAGCGCAACGGCAGCGATTCTGAGCGTTGGGGCAGGACTCGGTGACGGCGGCAGCGACGGTTGAATGGGGTGGAGTTGATGAGCAAGTGAGAAGAGTGTGAATGGGCGTGGAAAGGGAGTTAAGGAGATGGAGAAAGGCAGCGAACGACGTCGGAGGGGGTGTCTTGGATGGCGGATGCGCAGGTGCATCGAACCAGTGTAAGTAGTATCAAGACTAAGCGCAGGTAATGTGTTTGTTTTGAAGTACTAATGAGTTGCTAATGGGGGCACAGCCAAGGATTAATGACAATTGAGACCTATTTGTCGACGAAAGCGGTACGTGGTACATGGCATGGCACATGCAGTTTCCAGTATGCTGCATGTCTGAGGAGTGCTGGGCGTGTCCTGAGTGCCCGCCTGGCAGGCAGTCTTCCTTCATGGCTGGTGTTGCGTGTCACAGTCCCATCGTCTGACCCCTGGCCACGCCCCTGACTGCCTGAACACGACGTACCACACCTACCGTCTTGGTGCTGTGGCCCAGGACACAGGATCGCAGGACGGGGGCCCCCTCCGCTCCTTCCAGCTGGCGGCGTGCCAGCGCCATCGTGTCTGTGGGTTGCTTCCGCCCCCCAAATCACCTTCTGAGTGAACCCTCCGCGCACTTCGTTCCGTCTGTTCTTCGCCTGGGACCCTGGACCTGAGCGCGTTGCCGCTGGAACGGCCAATCTCCCGACAGCCGCCATAATAGCCCGTTCCATCACCACGTCGCACAGTCAGCGCTCCCGGAGGCCCCGGAACGAGATCTTGGTCGTTGTCTGCTTGCTCTCTGGACTTGCATTCTCAATTACAAGGCAACAATTCGGTCTCAAATTGTCTTTGCCTCACCGTCCATTCTTCTCACGCTGCTTCCAATGAGGTGCGGGAATGGATCAACAAGGTCGGCTGCGCAGGTCGTGGCCGTGCTGCCAGATGCCAGACCCGTTCAGGCCTTGTCGGCGCGCTTCCTAAGCGGCCTTCTGGCCTTTGACCTCTTTCCCAAAACAAGCTTCGGGGTGCTTTTCGAGACGTTCCGCGCCCGTCCAGGCCATGCCCCTGTCTTCCGCAATCACTTGTCGCACAAAGGTCCGTTGGGACGCATAACGGGCTCAACTTTTCCCTGCCGTGATCCCGTGAGCTGACTGGGTCAAGCTGGGAACCTCTCCGTCGTGTTGCGTATAACACGCTTCCCGTATCTCTCTATACGCCCCCTTTTCGCGGTTGGTGGGTGGTTAAGCCTCCCCTCATGGTCGCTGGACACTGGCTGGATCGACCGCTCCTTCAGCAGCGACGCTCTATGGTGCCATGCCGGAATCCAGCGTCCACAACTATCCTCTTAGAACGGTTTGTCTAAGTCTAGTAGTGGGTGGAAGACTCGTGGGGACACTAATGCATTGAACAGGGGGAATTCGACGTTGCTCAAAAGCCACTATGGTGGATTCGACCGGTCCGGTATACGGCATGAACAGCCGGCAAAGTGAAATTGGCTATCCGGAGAGAGCTTCACATCACACTTCTCCCATCTACACATTCTTCATCCATGCGCGCAATTTACGCCGCCCTCGCTCTTCCTCTCCTTTTCAGGCTGCTCCGTGCACGCCGAGGACCTACTCGTGAGCAGCTCCTTCCCCCCAGTGAGGAACGAGTGGTGCTTCTCGGCGCTTCGTCTGGTATTGGAAAGGAACTGGCGCTCGTCTACGCAAAGCGTGGCGCCAAGATGTGAGTACTTTAGTGCTCTGTGCAAAAGCGTGGTCTGACAAAGCATATAGCTGTCTCGTTGCTCGCCGAGCAGATGTTCTCGCCAAGGTACGGGACGAGTGCGTTGCGCAAGGTCTCAACCCGGCTCGCATCATCACCGTTCCGGCCGACGTCACACAGGCCGCCGACCTCGTCAAGGTTCGCGATGAGGTTGTGAAAGGTGAGCATAGCTAGATTTTACGACAACTGACAAGGCAGCCTGGGATGGCTTCGATACTCTTCACATCCTCGCGGGCGTACCCTCCACGCGTACCTTGCTCAAGCTTGCCGGCGTCGAGCTTGTCGCTGACCCGAGCGACAAGTCCGCTAAACCGCGATTGATCCCAAAGTCCGAGATTGGAGATCTTCCTCCATCAGACATCCCCACTGTTGAGGGCCTTGACAAGCTGGCTGTGGAAGCGCGTGCCGCCTCTGACATCAATTTTGTCGGCACCGTTCTCGCTCTTGCTACATTCGTGAGTTGCCTTCGTGTGGATGTCGACTGACTTCAAAAGCTTCCTCTGCTCGCCTCCTCCTCAAAATCCCCTGCTGTTCACCACCTGTCTTCTGTCGCGGCTTCCATTGCTGCGCCATCCCGATGCATCTACTCAGCAACGAAGGGCGCCGCTCTTGCCGCTGTGGAGGCTGCTCGTGCTGAGTGCGAGGGCATGGGCGTCCGGTTCTTTTGTGAGTCACTGCGTGTGTGGATGTGAGACTGATATCAGCCCTTCTTCCGGGCACCATCGACAATGATTTCCGTACTAAGACGGCCATCTCGCAGACGGGCGGCAACTGCGAAGTACACAACGGAGTTGACGCGACCTGGGGCGAGAAGCTGTTGCTGAAGCAGGAGACGGTTGTCGACACTATTATCCAGCAACTGGCTCTCCCTCCCAACCCCAGCCCGACCATTCCCTACCCTCCTTTTAACTGGTTCTCCTCACTGAACACTCCTCCCGCATCGAAGCTGTGGCTGCCATGGCAGTACAAGATGGGCACCTTGCTCAACTACACTCCCGCTGGATACCTGTACGTCGAGCCAAACGCGCGTGAGAAGTACGGTCTGCGCAAGTGAATGGCTATCAAGTGTATAATATAGATGTAGGATCAACGCCGCCAATGTCCACTATATACGCACTCTGTTGTGCATGGTATGCGGACGCGGTAGCCAAGGTCAGTAAGGTTTGGTGGAAAGTAGCATGTCGTTCCTTGCCGGAGCTTAATTACGTCACGACGCGTTGCGTGAGGGTGACCGAGTGACCAAGTCCCGAGTGTTTCAGATGGCTGTTCGAACGTTTGAGGTTTCTGCTGCCCGCTGTTGTGTACCAGTCATGCATCAAAAAGTCACGGTGTGTGCGCAATAACCAAGTGACAAGCATGAGAAGGAACACTACTGTATGCACGTTCGCTAGAAGGCCTAAACACTGGCTGCACGCCACTCCGACGCGCCCGCACGCAACCCCGCTGAGCGATCGGGACGTTGACGTTGAATTGCATTAAGCCCGAGTGCCGAGTGTCAACAGTCCACCCTCCCGAGACCACTAGCGCTATCATCTGCTCAATGCTCGGCCTGATGGCTCACGCACAAGCATGCAGATATGCAGACAAGCGATGGAGAGGCCAGAGCACAGCTTGACAGGGTGAACCTCCTTTACACAGCGACAGTAGCGCCCCTCACGCCTGCGCCCCACCCTTCCGCTCTGACCGGCAAGCGTTCCTTGGGCACAGACCATTGTGTTGCCGCACAAAGAATTGCGGAATAGACCAAGCTCTCGTTCTGACACTGTCTCCATCGATTTCTTCCATCTGCCGGTCTGTCACTCACTGTGCACAGCGGCCAGACCATCGGAGCAGTCGCGTCGGCGCGTCTCAACTCATACTCTCTTAGCTCTAGCTCACAGGTACGTTTCACCTTCCCTGTCCAGCAGACCCGGCGCTGGTGGGTTCAGCGACCGGGTGGCGTCACGCTAGATTGACAAGGGGCGTGTTCGATCAACATTGAGACCTTGCGTCCTTGCAGCTTGCGGCTTGTCACTCTCGACTGCACGCCAGCATTTGTTTGCAGTTGCTCACTTCCTCAGCTGAACCACGATTCCGCTATTGCACTTCCTTCTGCCTATCGAGCTATGAGCAGTGAGCTGTCGATAACTGCATCGACAACTGCCAAGACGACCAGCACTACAACCAAGACTATGGCCTCCACCGTGGCTACATCTACTGCGACGTTCAGCCGGTGAGTCTCGCGGACCGCGCATTCTTCTAGCGTCAGATTCAGAGCGCTGACCCATAAGCACTGGACGTAGTACGTCCACGTCGCGAGCAAACCTGGCCCGCCTCCCTAGCCTGAAGCAGCTCAGCGATCGTCTTGGGCCCAAGGAGAACGAGAAGGTCGAGAAGGAGAAGGAAGCGAAGGAAGAGGAGAAGAGAGACAAGGAGCAGCAGAAACCCGCCCTCAGCGAGATCACGACGATCACCACCAACGTTCCCATCGCTGCGCCTACCCCCGTCGTTGGCTCACGCCTGAAGCTCCCGGCCAGCGCCGTTGCTCGCGCCAATCTGTCCCCCGACGGGTCCAGGACGAAGAAAGAGGGTCAGGTGCAGAAGTCATCCTCCGAGAAGACCGTGAAGGCCTCGCAGGACGGCAAGCAAGCTGGGTCTCAGCCGCTGAGCAAGTCTATCTCAAGCACTGCAGAGCCCCTTGCGCCGACTAAGACCCCCGAGCCCGCTGCCGACGCCTCCGCCGCCGGGTCGCAAGTCACTATTCACGAAGTCAAGGCCTCTGATGAGGGCGATCAGCAGGATGAGTTGCCCGCCGCCCCGGCCGACGCAACGGATAGCAGTGCCGCTAGCAACGGGGAGAAGAAGGAGAACGATGACTGCAAGGACGACACGCAGGTCAAGGACAATCAGGGGAAGCCCGACGCTCATCGCACTGTTCGTGCCTTGGGTATGGGACGCCCTGGAGTGCCCTCAACGCCGCCTCCCCGCAGCGACTCGGTGGTGCCCGATATCGTCGTGCAGTCATCAACCCCAGGCAAGGGTGAAGTCTCTGAGGAGACCGAGAAGCGTGCTGCGGACGCCCTCGCCGCCGGCCAGCACCCTCTTGCCCACTCATGGTAAGTCACAGCGCAGATCCCCACTAATGCCAGGACGCTCTACTATGACTCCAAGACATACAAGCCTGAGCCCTCCAAGAAGAAGGCGGATCTGTTGAACCCTTGGGAGGCTTCGCTTCTTCACGTGGGCACGTTCGACACCGTCGAGGGCTTTGCGCGTCACATGAACAACATCCGCCTCCCGAGCGGCCTCGGAAAGGGCGCCAACTACCATCTGTTCAAGGATGGCATCAAGCCGCTGTGGGAGGACCCTGCGAACAAGAACGGTGGCAAGTGGGTCATGCTCGTGCGCGGCCAGCAATCTCTCATCGACTCAATCTGGTCTAACCTCTGCATGGCGCTCGTCGGACAGGTCCTAGACCCGTTGAACAGCGTGTGCGGGATCGTCGTCTCGGCACGCCCCAAGATGGACCGCGTCCAGGTCTGGACCCGTGGCCGTGACGACTACCCTGCCTTGAATGCCCTCGCCAACCGCATCATGTCGGCCATGGCCCTCGAGCCCCGTGAACTGGACGGGATCTCGCTGGAGTTTAACGTGAGTTTCCACGCCTGACGCACGCTGACCTTAGTCGAACAAGCCCGGAGACAACATCAACGACAGCAAGCTGCTCCGCATCACGCCCAACACCCGATCCGCCTCCGTCGCCAGCTTACCGACCGATAGTCCCCGCCCGCGCAACAATCGCCTGCCTAGCACGCCGGTCAATGGCTCGCCCGTGATGATGAACGCGTCCATGCCGCTGCCGTCCCCTGTGCCCCGAGGCGTGTCGAGCAGCTTGCCCCTGCGTCGCACCAGCTCGGGCCCCGGCGCCAACCCCGGGAACAGCAACCCATTCGCGGGTCCTCTGGGTGTCGTTCGCGGTAGTCGACTTGGAAACGCGACAAACTAAGAGCTTCGATTTTTGAGATTGGCATGTGACCGCGTCCGCCGATATCCGTATGTTGTTTATACCGAAAAGGAGACCTTTCAACTCCTTCCGTCATCTGTACATTTCGCCTTGTAAGAATTCCAGTACCAGTAGCGCACACACGATGCATGCGCGTTGTAGTCGAGCCGCGGTTGTGTAACTAATGGTGTATAGTGAGGAAGTTGAAACCATTGAGAGCGCTGTCAGGGTCGCCGGTCTGTCCAGCAAGTGCCACACGGCGGCGTTAGATTATGGAGTCACCGTTCACCCTGGCGCGCACTATGGTGCGTTGACCGCACTTGTCTGCGCGTGCGTCTCTGAAGCAGTGTCGTCAGATCCATCCGCCCTCATCTAATCGTATTCATCCACACAATCTCGACGCTCTCAGCGGTTATCTGGTCCACCTGTTCGGCTCGGCTTGCATCGCTTCACGGCCACCGACTCCGCCCTCCCACTCTCCTTCACTCGTAACTCGACAACTCCATCTCAAGGCCCTCCAGGGGCGATTCCTGGATAATGTACGGCAGTCGCGCCTTCGGTCCGGGCGGACGAGGCGACATGGCATCGCGCTCCTCTCAGATGGGGAACAACCAGCTCGGCTCTAGTCAACTCGGCGCCGGCCAGCTGAGCTCGAGCCAGCTCAGCAACCAGAGCGGAGGTGGCAATGGCGGCGCCGGCGGGGCTGGCCCTCCTCTGCTGCTCGACAATCTTGCTCAGCATCTCAACAATCCCCCCGCGCCTTCCAACCCGCCTCCTTCTTCTCAGGCCAACTTTCCGCCTCCTCCCGGCGTTCCCGGAGGCGGCAACACACCCGCGCCTGGCACTGGCAAGCTGCTGCTGCTGCCCAACGGCAACCCTCCGCCCGCCGGGAGTGAGGAGGAGAAGATTTACCACCTCATCACCGAGCTGTTGGACCCCGAGACGCGCGAGACGGCGTTACTCGAGCTGAGCAAGAAGCGTGAGATGTACGAGGACCTCGCACTCGTGCTCTGGGGAGGATTCGGCATCATGAGCAGCCTGCTTCTCGAGATCGTCAACGTGTACCCGTCGCTCTCGCCCCCCGTCCTGACGGCGCACGCATCAAATCGCGTCTGCAACGCTCTCGCGCTCCTGCAGTGCGTTGCGAGCCACTCGGAGACTCGCAGCCTGTTCCTTAACGCGCACATCCCGCTCTTCCTCTACCCGTTCCTCAACACGACGTCCAAGACGAGACCTTTCGAGTACCTGCGTCTCACGTCCCTCGGCGTTATCGGCGCGCTGGTCAAGCAGAACGACAACTCGGACGTCATCAACTTCCTGCTCTCGACCGAGATCATCCCCCTGTGTCTCCGCATCATGGAGACCGGGTCCGAGCTGTCCAAGACGGTCGCCATCTTCATTGTTCAGAAGATCCTCCTCGACGACCTTGGCCTGCAGTACATCTGCCAAACGTACGAGCGATTCTACGCCGTTGGCGCCGTTCTCTCTAACATGGTGTCGGCGCTCGTCGAGACGCAGGCCGTCCGTCTCCTCAAGCATGTTGTCAGGTGCTACCTGCGCATGAGCGACAACCCCCGCGCCCGCGAGGCTCTCCGCGCATGCCTCCCTGAGCCGCTTCGCGATGGCACCTTCGCCGGCCTCCTCAAGGGCGATCTCGTCACCAAGAGATGCCTGCAGACCCTGCTCGTGAACCTCAACGAGCGTTCCGAGTGAGCCCCGACCTATCAAGCTTATTAATCAACCGTCGCGGACGTCGAACAATCATCAATCAACCTCCGAGCACACCCAATCTCCAGTGTATTTTGTCAACCACGCCACCATTTCGCCATAGAGCAATATAAATCAAGAATACAACAACAAGCCATAACGCTGGCGGCGTCCGATCGACCCCGCCGAGCGATACCCAGCAAATACGTCCTTCCCTCTTCGTTTCTAGCATTTCCACGTCTTCTTGCAGGCGTTGTACGCACCGAGTCACCCAATCATCAACCACCAGCATACGTCCACAACCTGTTTGCGCAAACACTACATGTCAAAGAAAGAAGAAAACAACAAAACGAAAACATACGAGTATAGTCGTGGGCTCTATTCGACCGGCTACCTTTGGTGCCGTAGACTAGGGCCCGGATCAGTAGTTAGCTTATGTCGTTGCGACCATCCTGCGTTTCGCGGGGTGGTCGTGACAGTAGCCTAGCAGTGGATATCTGAATGTATGAGCTGTAATGAACGCGAACTCTGCGTGCAAGTGCGTGGCGTACAACGGCGATGGGAGCATTTTGCGAGATAGTGACCATGATGTCACCTGCTCACCAACCTCCACCGACGACATCCACACTGCACGCGGTCGTCCAGTCGTCTTTAACATTCTCAATCGGCTGCCCATCGTCTTTTGAACTCATTAAACGTTTCTCACCAACGAGCTCAGCAAGATGCAAGCAACCTCTGAACAAGCGATAAGCTTGCAAGCGGCCAGCCCATCGAGCGCAGCGGCGCACGCAACTGCACCGGGCAGCTCGCCGCTCCTGAATCTACCGACAGAGGTTGGTCGCACAGCGAAAGCTGAGGCTGACAAAGCCAGGTTCTGCACCAGGTTCTTGTGGAAAGCGGCAATACGGATCCCAAGTCTATCGCAGCCCTGTCGAGGACGTGCCGAGACTTGTGCGAGCTCATTGACGACGTGAGACCTGCCTTCCTCCGCCCACACCAATGCCATTTGATCCAAGGCTGGGTAGCGCCTGCCCTTATTTTCAGCGCACTGACCAGCTACTGTGCCGCCAGTGTCCCTCCGCTGGACATTTCCTGCATTGCCGCCTGACTTGGGCGCTGTTACCGTAGTGCACAGCGGCCATGCTGACCACTGCCCACTCTTTCTCCCGTCTAACCTCACAGTAGCGTCACCACTCGAATGATCAGCTGCCTGAGCTAACAACAGTCCACCGCATTATGGAGAGACCTCTTCCTTTCCACATACGACGACCCACGTCGAGCTGCCGCGTACCCTACGCCGAGAGCTGCGGACTGGCGGCAAGAATTTCAAGATAGGGCGTGGGTCCAGAGCGCCCTCCGGCGAGGCGAGGAGAGGTATGGCGAACTGGTGGGTGACCTTTCTTCTCGACCGCCCTTATTCTTGTCGTTCTCCTGTCACTTTGCTGCCCCAGTCGTCTTCATATTTCCGATCTCTTTGGCTGGCGGCTGTTGAGTCAGCGTGCAGTTTCCCTGCACGGCTGGGCATGTGTGCGATAGCCGCTGCTTGAACTGCGCGGAGAGTGACAGCTATTGCTGAAACGCTGCCGGGAGCTGGTAGACCGGTTTTGCAGACATCGAAGCTTACAGCAGGAATCGGACGTGGATCGCATCGCCAATACTCTGCTGGGTCTCTACATCGACCTGCCAGCGGACGCCGATCCCGATTCCGAAGATCCCTTCGCGTTCTTCGCAGCCCGAACACGCAATGTGCCCCTCCTGACGCCACTTCTCTACGGCAAAACTCTGAGACATCTCTACCTCCACACCCAGACCAACAGACTGGAGGGCGGGCACAACCTCCGTCGCAAGAATGGCCTGCATCCCGGCCTGTCCAGGCTGCACTGCCTCATGACGACAGAACTCGACGACGATCACGGACGTATCGGTGTGTACCGCAAGGTGCTGAGAAATCATCGCGGGTTGATGAGGGAGACGTGCTACTCGGCGAGAAACTTCAAGAGTCGCAACGACTGGGGACCTTTCACGCCCCAAGGAAAAGTCGAGTGGGGACTGCTCAATGCTTTGAGCACTGTTATGAGTGAGTTCAGTTCTTTTGTCAGAAGCTCCACGGTCTGGGGGGGTTAATGGTCTGCCGTCGCTGGGTGCCTCAAGGGGTGATGACAGCTGTCTCTGATGTTGGATTGACGTAATGGTGGAGTGGGAGCCTTTTTAAAGCGTCTCTCCACTCGAGAGTGAGCCGCTGGTGCCTTCGAAAGGCGCGGTCGCCAGCACCAGAGGTCATCACGATTTCGGAGCGGGAAACCTTTACGGAAAGTGCGTCTGCAAGGCTGGGAGAAAATCCCAGCTTTTCAGCAGAATGACCCCTTCTCGTTCCAGGATGCGCGAGAGCCAACAAGATGCTCACGGTGGCTGGTGGCTGTCATTCCTCTCTCTCCAGTGAAGGGGTTGCCTGCCCATTACCTGTGTTGGTGGTGGCGAGGGCGACTGCGGTAGAGGGGCGTGCTCGTGCAATCGCTCTGGGGGAGGTGGGAGACGAGCCTTGAGATGTGCCACACCCCGGTTGGTAGTCGAACTTGTCGCCAGACTTTCCGACGAGCTCAAGCGAGTGCGAGGATGTCAGGCAGAGACGCAAGCCGCCAAGCTCTAGGGTATCGAATCCCTTTCGCTTCGTCGAACACAGGGTCGATATCCGGCGAGTTTCATGCGGATCAGTGGCGCTAGCGGGCGGATCGGTGATGAGGGTGGGGGTGCGCTTCCATGGGACACCCCAAAGGTCTCGTGACTGCGAAGAGTATCCAACAGCTGTCCATCAAGATGCTGAATGCTCTTCGGAGCGGGAACAGTACGGGGAGCAAGGACTTGGCATTGCGAAGAAGATGACTAAGAACATGTGGTGCCACCACGTCTGCAGGAGCCTGAACAAGGAGCCGAGTCCTGGATGCGCTTTCCACGAAGACTACAATCTCCGCGGCGGGGATCGACGGCACAATGGTAGAAAGCAGCAATCTTCGGTACCTGGCCCACGCGGTTTAGCAGCTCCAGGGATCCGCAGAGCTGCGTCACATTTTCTCCGAGAACATCCCAACACTCCGCGCGATCGGGGATAACAGTGGTCGGCGGCCGAGGGATCGTTTAGCGCCCGGGAAAGCGAGCGGCTCCACCATTTTGGAAACACTACCAAGTGTCCGCTGCGCGAGACAGGTCTGGGCGATCCCCTTGGGTCATCATTGACCGTCCGCCCGTCGCTGGACAGTCCGTGCACCAGTTCCGTGTCGCAATCTTCCAAACATCATCCTCGTTTCGAGCATCGCGACCAGGGTCGAGAACAGATCCATCGTTGGACAAGCGAACTGGACCACTGCCACAGCGGAGTACACACTCACTTCGATGTTCCAGACTGGTCTGTCCTCGCAACGTTGGATCATTGCCCTGCGATCGCTCCCCATGAAGCAATTGACAAGTGCCTCATGGCGATGAGCTAGTTCGGTCACAGCTTGTGTAGTGCACCTCGTGATGCTCCCCGAGAAGTGTACGACCCTGGACAGGTCCACTTCGGCATCCGGCCACTTTGTCGTGTGGTAGTTGTTCGGCGTTCTACTCCTTTTGGTGTTGGCTTTTTGGTTGCCGATTTGAGGCACCGCGGAAGCACAGCTGAGGAGCTGAGGCACGTTTGAGGTACCCCGCGACACGGCTCCCCTCCCTTTTCGTGTCCTCGTCGTCATCCCATGAGCCTAAACTGACAAGCTCCATTCCAGTGCTCAACGCCGTTGACGTCCTCGACCTTGAAGACGAAGGTTCAGCGTGGTTGCGTACTCCACCCCCCATTGGAACTGGCGTGTCTGCCGTAAGATCCCAAGGTTTCCTGGACCATACGCGACCGAACGACCTCCCGGACGATCAGGTCTGGGACTGGGCTGGCGTCGCAGGCCCGTGGGCTGGCACTTATGCCTATCTCGAGTGAGTGTTGCTGAATGGGTTACGTGTTTGAATTGTCGAGAGCGGGAGGTACGAGCAGAGCATGGGACAAAGCATGCGCATGGTGAGAAGGTCGTTCAAGGAGTGCAAAGGGAGGCAACCCTATCTCCAGAGTGCGCATAGCATTCATTCTGCGAAAGCCTGGAAGCGTGGCAGTCGGGGACTCTTAATGAAGGTACCCGACAACCAAAATGAAATGTCGGTGTTCATGGAAACCCAACACACGAACATGGCGTTTCATGTCAGACCCCGCTAGACTCATCTGGTTTGCACGTCTGATCTTATCGCTCTGCATGCTTGTCGGGGGGCGCGGAAGTAGGCACACTTTGCCAGTTATCCGCGCAGGCACCGTATCTTCGGGCAGGCAACGGTCTAACACTTGGAATGGTAGGCAGGAGGAGTTGCTGACCCACTCAGTTACGCAGACTGGCTACGACTGAACCATCCTGGGATGCTCGCGATGGAATCTTCACTGCCTCGCTTGGACCTCACGACGTATGGCGAGGCCGTGGGGGACCTGATCAACCTTTACGCAATCGTCGATGCAGGGCCCGAGGATGCAGACGCCGCTTGCTCCGCCATAGAGGGCGAGAGTGTAGTACTGCCTCGAATCGAGACGTCCTTGGAAACCTCAGCCCTGTATCCACCGCTGTACTTCCACTCTGAGCAGAGGTTGACCGGTCACATGGCTCAGCGAGGCTTTATCCGGGGAGTAGCTCGGGTTACGCCAGACGATCCTCCGGAGGTTAGATGGACGATCATCATCCGCTACGGGGGCGAGGACCGGTGGCGCATGGAAGGTGTCCAAGTTGGCGGCAGGGGCAGCAAGCGCGGCTTCTTTGGCGTAAGTAATGTTCATGCGGCCGCTGGTGTGGGCGAGAGGCTAGCATCTTTCCATGATCGACGTCGATGCGCGTACTAACTGTTGCAGACGTGGACGGATGCTGCAAAGGAGCTATACTCACCGAATGGACCAGTCTGGTTCTGGCATCTCTGACGACCGGAACGAGTGAGCCTGTCCAGCATGCTAGCCACTGTCACCTTCCATGGGCCGTCGCTTCGTTAAGCGAGCTTTCCAAATCCCAAACCAAGGGAGCGTTCACCGCTCCACGCGGTAGCTCGACAGAAAAGCTTCATACCTGACTAAGTTACTAGACGACCAGTAATTTACAAGCTCGGAATGTTCCAACGTGTCCCCGAGGCTTGGAAACAGACTTGTTGTTCGCGGTCGCATCTATAGCGTCTTCCATAGCAGCAGGCGGCACGGAGAGCAGAGTAAGCTCGTGACCAAGACATGCAGCAAGCTGGACTAAGTTGGCGTTGTCGGAGCCATAGAGCTGGCGATCTTCGCGTAGAAAAGAAGTAGCCCAGAGATGGATGGGAGCGTTTCCTCGTCGATCGATTTTCACTTTTGCGTTTCGTCCCCCCGCCACCGACCTGACAACAGTGCACAGCCAGGTCCCCAGGTCCGCCGTCCGCCACTCTCCTACAGCTGCTCGTGTGCATGCGTCCATACCGGCGTGCCTCATGGAGCGTGCGGACGGCGATCATTGCGCGTCTCCTGACCAGCAGGCGGTCAGCACACACCGTGCACTGCTCATCCGAGCCCGTGCCGGTCCGAAATGCATCGGACTTTGAACATGGGGAGGTGCGGGGGACTGGCGCACCCAGCGGCAACGGGCTGAGCGGCGATGAGCAGCCTGTCACCCACCTCCAACCCATGTACCCATGTGCACAACTCTGGGGCAAACTCTGGGGCCGGACATGGCACATGCTGTCATGCGCAGCTGTTGGCTTCGGCGCTGCTGCCGTCATCCGGTAAGATAACAGCTGGATTAAGCGTATCGGCGCACGCACTACGTGCCACACGAGCCTTGCGGGGTACTGGAACCGATGCGGCAGCCTGGGCTGTTCCGCGCTACGGCGGGCAACGCCGCTGGTAGCGTCCGGCACGCAGCAGGTAGCAGAGAGCCGACTGGAACGCCGCTTGGGGCACTTGCAGCGCTCTGACGTACTGGGCGCTGACGAGAGAATCGGCGAGACCGAAACGCTAGCTCCATCCAAGCCGGCCTAAGAGTGGATCTAAACACAGTCTAAATGTGCCTAAGGAGGCAGGAGGTGGTGAAGGCTGCACGTCGTCGCAGACGCTAATGCAGGTCAAGCCCGGCCTAAGGCTGTCTCCGGCTGCCAAACCTTATCCCGGACAACGGTAGACGAGCACGATACCGTGGTGCCTCTTGCCTTAGCTCGCTACAAGCATCCAGGTGCCCTCTGCGTTGCTCGGGCTAAGGCCCAAGTGCGGTAGCGTGTAAGACCCGACATGGATAGCGTGATCCACTGCCCGGCCGTAGTTCCGGGCGTGATCCGTGTGCCGTGATTCTTGGGGTGCACTGTGAGCAACACACGATCGCTCACGATCACCCACGATCACGCTAGCTGCCGGGTTGCTGCTAACAGTAACTAGTCGGCACATGTTCACTGGCATTCCCGGGGCCCATTCATGAACTCATGTCGGTCATGCTGGTGCACCCCTCGAACACCACCTGGGTCGCAGTCATGGGCTGCAGCAGTGTCTCGCATATGGGCGCGCCCCGGGCATATGATACAGTGGCGCACGAGGACGAGCACTTGAAACAACATGTTCCAGCTCCAGACACCGGAGGAGTGCTCTATGGACATGTGCGAGGCGCCGCCACCCCGGCGAGTGAGCTGTTTCGTCCTTCAGAAATAGACACTGCTCAATGAGCTGCACAACGAGTGACAACATGCACCGCGGAAACATCGGCGCACGCAAGAGAAGCGCGGTAGACGGTCTGCCGGCGGTCGATCTCGCCCGCGCGGCCGCCCAGATTGTCCCCAGATGTCCCCAGATAGCCTTGAGATGTGTTGCACATGCCCGGAGCACGGTCCGCGCCACTCTGTCGGGTTGGCACCCTTCATGACACGAATTCACGCATTGAGGCAAGCATGCCGCACTGCACAGCATGCGGGTGGCTGACGTACATGGCGTACGGCAGTGAGCGTGGGGGTGGATGATGTGCTCGGCGGTGCGCATGACCTGCGGCGCGGCACCCACTTGTGCGATTGTGCGCAAATAGCAGCAGCCGCACAGCCAGTGTCCCCACATTCCCACTGCAGCCTCGGCGTTGAGTACCAGTCACAATCGATCACGGCTGTCACTTGACAGCCGTCCGTTTCTAATCGCGCAGACAGACATGCCACACAAGGGCAAAGAGCAAGCTAGAGCAGGCATGACATGCATGACGGCGTGTCAGGCTAATGTGAGCAGCCTGCCAGCTTCCAGGGCATGGCCCAACGAAGTCCAGCCCACGAGAGGCATAAACGGCGCCAGTGAGCGCCCGAACACGCCTAGTGCGGAATTTAGTGCGGAATTCATTTCTAAAACACTCGATGCGCAGCCCCCGCCCCGCACCCAAGTTGCACAAGTGCAGGTCGGCCACGGTGCCGCCTCGACCTCGGCCATCGTCAGCGGCTTGCCCTCCCTTCAACGAACTACCAAGCCGGGGGTCAAGCAAGCGCAAGCGGGCCCGCCTGGCCCGCCTCAACCTTTCGCCGACCCGCACACGAGTAGGGTTAGGACCTGACTCGGACTTTCTGCGGCGTGCTTCATGTTCTCCGGGACGCCCTCAATGGGCTGGCGTCGTGGGATGAATGGGGTTCAACAGGAAACAACACGCACTACATTCTTGCCGAGAGATGCGCCGGATCTGTGGTCCTGTGATCAGTGTTCCGCGCTGAATGCTCATGGGTTTCCTCGTGAATACCAAGATGCACATGCTGCTCATGCAGAGCCCATGTCTGCTGCCCGGGCAGGGGGCAGCGCATGCATTCATGTGATGCAGCACAGGCAGCAAGGAAAAAATTGCTCACATGCAGGCGGACGCCGAGGTCCACGGACGAGGGCTAGCGTCGCCAATTAGCATCGCTTACTTTCGCTTTTTCCGGTGCTTAGAATAGACGCCGGATCAAAGTACTCCGCCTCCCCTCCGCCGCGCCACTGCCCTCCCTCCGTCCTGCACCTGCGCAACTCTGCGCCGGCGGAGGCCCGCCCGTGCTCCTCGGACCGTGACGCCGCGCATGCGCTGACGTCTTGCCTCCAATCCCTCGAGGATGGTAGTTTCGGCGGCCTTGCGGGCCCGTGGGCTGTGGACTCCGCAGATTCGCCTTTCCTGGAAATCGTCGGGGTTCGGGAGATAGCAAGACCCCGAAGCACACGGCTCCCGCGCCTGCACCTCTTCCCAACCCTACTCCCGTCACTCGCTGACGGGCCGGGGAATAATTGAGCTTGCACCCTTGTCGTGCGCACGCCGAGATATTGCATGGGACGAAGAGACACGAGAGGAAGAGGTATTTTCTTGCACACAGCCCCAGAATGCCCAGACGCCCAGGCAGTCAGAGGAACATGTCGCAATGTGGGATTCGGCGAGTAGGCCGCAGGAGGAACCTCGGATGAACATAGGCTGCACACTCCAACTTTGCGAGGCACAGCACCCGTCTGCAGGAAGCAGGAACGCCACCGATCAGGCGATCAAAGGAACCTGCCAAACCTGTGCAGACGGTGGGTGAAGTGTGGGTTCGGGTGCGTCTGGGGCTCGCTACGGGCAGCCGCCTCTCAGAACATGACTCCTGCCATTGGAACAGTGGGACGTCCACAGTGGGTGCGATCCCCAACATGCCAAGCGCCGACGCGTTCATTGATCAAGTGGGACCGGCACGGTCCGGCATGACCACGGCAAGCAAGGGGTAGCAGGGTCGGCGGGGTGGCCGAATCATCCTCAGAGCACAGAAGAAGAGAGGAGCGGCATCCGTATCCTGGATAGCGAGCTGGCACCCGAGCAGCCCTGTATCCCTTTTCCCTTACCTCGAAGGGCAACACCGCCACGATAAGAAACATCACGTGCACGGGCATGGGTCTCTTGCATGTTCGCTTGTCGATATTCCTTACTGGAGGCCGATGCATCCCATCTTGGGAGGAGATTGCGGGGAGGAGTGCACGACGCAGAGGGCAGGGAGGAAGAGGGCCAGGAACCCACGTCAGGCGCGGGGTAACAAGCTACAAGGTTCAGGCACTAACCGCATGGAGCAAAACCAACGTCACCAGGGTCCAAGGGGCCCGGAGAGTCGTCGTATTCGATAACAGGTGCCATTCAACTGCAATACTGCTATACCATGCCCCCCAGGCTCATGGCGAGGGGGGCCACGGCCGAGGCAGCGCCTGGCAGATACACGGCCAGCTCGCCGCGTCGCATGCATATTCAGTGGCAAGGCGTCCGCCATGACGAGGAGGCGCAGATGCAGACAAGACCCGAGGCGATCGCGATCAGCCGTCGGCGCAACCAGATGCAGTCACCTCGTGCGCCTCAGATGTCACCTCGGCAGAGCGGCGCATTGAGCGCAGATTGCATGATCTCGGCGCTTGGGTATGTACAGGGAGGCGAGGGGGGCGAAAAAGACGGGGGTGAGGCGGGGTGACTGCGACTGGCGCTAGTCCGGATGTGCCAGGCGGCCCAGTGCCCGGAGCATTCTGGCAGGTTAGCTGGTACGCTGCTCGCGCGCTCGATCGCCGGACCGGGCAGCGTCGATAACGATCAAATCTGGTGTCGAAAGCGATCGCGAGATCCGCGCTATCTGCAGAATCCCGGTCTGTGTCGCAGCATTGCTGCGCGTGGTTTTTTTATCCATGAGCCATGCTACTGCGTGCCGCTGGTCGTACGCCGCCCTGCTGTTCCGCTCTGCTCTGCTGGAGCAAGCGGCGAAGGTTGCGGGGACTGAATGGGAGGGAGCACAGACCGCCATCGGATGCCGAAATGAAACGGCGGTCTGCAGAAATCCGAACAGGGCGCTGGTACGTGCACGCTGGTTAGCTGCTGCTCGCTGCAGGCTGTTCAGACTGGCCATGCATGGCTGCACGCTGGGCGCGAGTGTAACAAAGCCCCAACCAAGACCGCAAGACCGCGCTTGCAGCGAAGGAACAGGGTGTGCAGGGCGCCCCCACGAGAACCCTGAGGTTCCTGGGACCCCTGCGCCCTGCCATCCGGCCCTTGGCCCATGTGCCGTGGTTCTGCGGCTCTGTAGCGGTCAGGGATCAGGGTCCATGGTCAGATAACACCTCGTGATACACGGTATGCTATCTTCCCCGCACCGGCTCACAGTCGCTACAAACGAAACTCGGCTCTCTCTCCCTCCTCCTCGAGTATTCGCGCACGCGCGCACTGCTCCGCCGTCCACCTCGTCACAAGATTCACCTCGCATGGGTGCATGGGTCCTTCCGTCCTGCCGTCCTGCCGTCCTGCACTCAATGTCGCTAGCTCACTACCGAGTGGACATGACCGGCCGGCCGGCAAACGAGACCGTCACCCAATGCAGCCCAACTCGGCCATGATCTCCAGGCTCACTGCTCAGGCTAGTCCGAGGTCCATGGTTCATGGGCCGGCTCTCTGCAGGCGACCCGCACGCAGCAACAGCAGCAACCAGCATCCATGCAGCAACTATTAAACCAGCGCAATCCTGCTGCACACCCTCACTCTTCTTCGTCGCAACACCAAGCATCGTACACTCACGGACTTGGTTTTCAAGGTATAATCCCATCCTCCAACGCAAGTAGAACCAAAGCCCCCTACTTTACTCCGCCATACCCTCTCACCCCCCTCTGGCCCCCCTCCACATCGGCCGATCACTCCCCGTTCGTTCGCCCTGCAGCACACCCATTTGTGTTGCTTTATCCTACCGCCGAACGTTATTATTGTCCGACAGAGGTTTCTGTAATCGACCCTTGAATCGATACGATTCGAGTGCGCTCAGACCTTTGCATCGCCCATCGGGTTTCAACGCCGCATATCCTCAATCGAGCGTCGACGTTATCCTCAGATTTTGGGGGTACGTGACTGGCTGGTCGGTGTCGAAGGTATCGTCATCATTCCGAGAGCCAATTCGTGCCCAGTTCCTGGAGAAGCACGCGCAAAGCGGCGGAACCAAGTAACACCTGTCTAGGTAAGTGGACCCAATGACACAAAGTTTGGTTATCATAGACCGGCGGGGTTTCCACAGCGTGCGATCGTGTCTTGTCGTGCCGTGCATGCCATCAGCCATCGCATCCCACCTGACCGACCAAGGGTGGGTGCAGGATGCAGGATGCTGGATTGCAGGAGCATCGCGCATTGAGGAGTGGACCTCATGCGACAAGCAGCACGGCGGCGCCTGGCTGGGGCGGACCTGGGCCTGCCTGGGACCGCATGGCTGGCTGCTGTATGGCTGAACTGTTGAGTTGAGCGATTTCGAGTTGGATTTCGATTTCGTGCACTTGGGATCCTGGTCATGTACTCACGCTGACCCTTAGGCTGGAGCCCTGCACTCGATTTCCAACAGCGTGTCTTTCTTTCTTCTTTGTTCAGGTTTCGAACCCTGGACGACATCCGCCGCCTGCCTTCCCTAGGGTCCCTGCATCCTTGATCCTTGGTCCCTTATCCCTCCTCGCTCTTCCTTTATCCCCCCCACCCCCGCAATCCGCAAGACCCGTACCGCTGTAACCGCTCTACCGCTGCACCGCTGCAACTGTACCGCACACCTCCCGAACCTCCGCCGCACGCGCACCGCACAGTGCCTCTCTCGCCGTTCGTTCCTCAGGTCCCTCAGCCTCCGTTCCTCCGTTCCTTAGTTGCTCGGTCGCTTCCCTTCAGCCCTATCTTGCCCACGAGTACGCGTGTCGAGTGGCGACACACGTTTCGTACCCAAGACCCTTCGATCACCGGACCTCATCCTGCCGTGTGTCCTGACACTCGTGCCTCTCCCCCGCAGTCGACTCATCAGCCGGCCGCCCCTCTGCCCAAGTCGCGCAATCAAGCATCTTTTCGCATTTCCTCAGGTGAGTCGGCCTCCGTTGCCGAAGCAACGCGGAGCGCGGACACGCCGCTGGGTGGGTCCTAAGGGTGGCTCTCCTGCTGCTCTGCTCGCTTCTGTCGCTTGAACCAGTCCCTACCATCGGCTCAAGCATATTACGCTTTGCCACACACAGATGGTTTATTTAGACCCAAGTCGTCTTCATCGCAGCGATCCTTCCTCCGCTCTTCTTTATCTTCTGTCCCACACACTCCCGCGCCATCGCTAACACACACTAAGATCATCAAACGATCGCACCCACACACATCTACGGCTGTCTCACACACATCTCATCTCGCCAATCCATCCACAGACATATAGTCACCCACCACCCCTGAATCTGCAAGAAGGCTCCTCGCTATACGCAACGCCTCCTTCATCGTCGTCTGGTCCATTGCTTTCGCACTAGCCTCCGACGAACCAACTTTTCAAGTGAGTAGCCCACAGCCAGCCAGCCCGTGTCACGGTGTACTGCACACGACCTGGACCACAGCTCTGACCAGCGCCAGATCGTTCGCAGTCTGTCACCTCGTGTAGCACTGCACGCCTCTGAATTGCTTGTCTCAAGTGGCACCTCTGCCGGATCACAAGCAAACGACCCAGCCCCAGCGCCTCCGCAACCACTGGCGCTACACCCACCCGCCATCCGAACGACCGACATCAGCCACGGCTTTTGGGCCCTGCATCAACCGCCGTCCCCTCATATTGTTCCACACCTGGTCAATACCCTGAGCGTAGCATCATTGGATCTCACCTCTCAAGACCCAAGCCCTGCTCATTGATCGATTCCACCTTCCTCGTTCGCCGTCTCCGTATATCCATCCATCTTCGTTCCACATCCTTCAAGTCTCGCCTGTGTCTTCCTTCTTCTTTGCGTCGACACTTGTCACATCTCTTCTCTTCTATCCTCCCATCCATCTCTCATACCCCTCAGGCCCCCAACACCCCCTTTCTTTATGACTGCTATCTTCGATCAACCTCCCACTCTAGTCGCTTCCGATCACTCTCAGGTCTCCCCAGCGACTACCGCCATTGAATCACCTAGAGACTACCGTCGCTCTAGCATGCTCTCGGACTCGTCTGCGCTCTACTCTTCATACGCCAGCTCGTCCAACTCCCTTGGCCCCGCCACGCCCGAGAACGCTTCGTTCCCTTACGACCACCGCCGCTCGTTCGCCGCCGAACGTGACGCTAAGGACCGTGCCAGTGACAACCACGCACCTTCCTTCCCCTTTTCTAGCTCGCTCGACAACCACAGCCCCTCGACCCTGCCCTACCCTATCAACGTCGGCATGTCGTATCCTTACAGCAACGGGCTGCACAGCACCGTCCCTCGCCAGCCCACCGTGGCCCGCTCCGCTACTAGCGACAGCCTCCCGAGCTATCAGCCTCACCTGAGCAGTAGCCTGCACACTGGTGCTCGCCCCCTCGTCTCTTCGGGTTACCAGAACAACATCCACGGTGTCTCGGGCTACTCGGTCGGCGGGTCTTCCTTCCCTCCTGCTTCGACCACGGTGCTTCCTGGTTTCAACGGCCGTTACTCCTACGACAGCAACGCTGGTCGTTACAACATGGGCGTGCCTATGGGCAACGGTGGCGTCTCGGCTGAGAACGACCTCCAGTTCGTGTCTCTCGCTGGTCCTGTCGCGAAGAAGCGCTCCCGTCGTCGCTACGACGAGATTGAGCGCATCTACCCCTGTGGCTACAAGGGCTGCGACAAGGCTTACGGCACCCTCAACCACCTCAACGCGCATGTCGCCATGCAGAAGCACGGTGAGAAGCGTCTTCCCGCCGAGTTCAAGGAGATGCGCAAGGAGTGGCGCAAGAAGAAGAGGGAGGAGGCTGCTGCCGCCGCCAACAAGGAAGCCGCCGCCGCCGCTGCTGCCGCCAACGAGGCCCAGTCTCTTCCTTCTGCCGGCCCTTACACGAATAGCGTCTACTCCCCTTGGGGAGCCCCTCAAGAGAACAACGACCCTGTCTCGAACTACTCCTCGCACGCCGACTCGCACGACGCCTTTGGCGGGCACCGCAGCTCGAACGGCTCGTTTCTGAACAGCCCTCCTGGATGGGGCACCGCCGCCGCCGGTTCCAATGAGAACACTCGCCCCGCCACCGCCAACACGGGTTCCTCGACCGGTGGCTCGCCCACTGAGCCTTCGCGTTTCAGCAGCAGCTACCTCTGGCCCCAGGGCAACGGCTACAAGCAGGGTGCCCGTGGTGATGACTACCCTCCCTCGTCCGGTACGCACCAGCACTCGTTCAACTCGTACTCGATGAACCACCACGCTTAATTGGACCGGTCCTTTCGCCGATGCCTAGAGATTTTCCTTTTTCCTATTTACCCTTACCCCGACTGTTCTCCTTTTTTGTCTCAATGGCCCCGATACCTCGTTTGAAGTGATCACCCTACTATTCCCGTTCAAATCGTTTTGTTTACGTGCGGACCAAGGTACACCTGCATAGCTTGTGGACTGAAGTCTGACGCATAAAACCCCAAACGGCCATTGAAGATCCGACACCGTGTAGCGATACATCTTTGTAGCCTGTAGCATGCAGATGAGTCTGTTCCCACAAACGTGTAGCGCGTGTAGTCCCTTGGTTGTGAGACCGCCACCCCTCGTCTCCCAATTGTCATATGATTTGCTGACGTTGCTTATGCCGTTGAATGAAGCTTGTTCGTAGACACCCACGCAACCAGAGGAATGGCCGAAAAGCGACCTTACTGTGGATCCGTTATGGGCAACTGGTCAGGGTAGCTTGGTCGGAGACTTCAGGCACCTGCAAGGGAGGGTACGACGCCAGACTCGCGGATAAGCAGCCAAGGAAGGAATGAGTGTCAGCGTGTGTACGTCAAGGTGTCAGGCTCGGTTGTCGGGGACGTGTTTTGCTGGGGCTTTGGCTCGGTGACTGTATGGAAGAACATCGCGAAAATGGATCCTGACACGGTCTGAACCGTCCTGTCAGGTTTCTTTCTGCTTGTCCTCTCCTCTCCTTTCCAATCGAGCTGAACGCGTGCGGTGTTTTGAGTTTCGCTCATTTGAGATCTAGGCAGGCAAGGGTGTAAGGGACGGATGCGCGAAGGGACGTGCGGAGATGCAGCGACGGATCTTGCACGTACGCTTGCCTTTCGAGCGTTCGAGCAGGACACGGCGGTTACTTGCCGTGTCCCGTCAGTGCGGAGCACAGTCGGACCCGCTTTCCCGGGCTGGGCCGTGCTGTGCTGCGGTCCTTTGCGAGTTTAACAGAACAGGGATGCAACTGGCCAATTCGCCAGATGCCCCGTTGCCAGTGCATACACTTGTCGTAAGTGTGCGCTGCTGAGGGTGCAAGCAAAGCGGGCTGACGGGCGGAACGGGAGCCCGCGCCACTGACGTCTCCTGACACCTTTTGAGCAGGTTCTCTGGAATACTCGATTGTCGTACTCTCTCGTACGCAAGCCCTCGCATGGCGAATTCAAGGTTTCACAAAGAAAGCGATCCCCGGACGAGATGCATGCATGCAAGCGGCTGTGGCGCTGCATCAGATAAGGGTGAAACAACCACGGCTGGCCGACAATGCACAGAGCGAAAAGAGCAGGCGCAACCCAGAAACTCTCAAGTTCCGCGGAGGGCGCTGAACGGGGAGCGTGAATCTCACTCAACAGACAGGTATGACTTCATGCTCTGTCGTATCTCTTCTGGCAGCCGCACCGTGTCAACTGACGCAGTCCAGCGAGCGACAGCGGAAGTGCAAGCCGTCGCGTCGGCAGCCGATGGCGCCCATCGCCCACCTCCTGGACTGACAGACAACCTCGATCCGGGGATCCGGTGCCGCCTCTGCCGCATCTCCCCGGGGCGGACCCGGGCCAACGGGGCAACGGGGCATCTGGGCGGGGACTGGGGTAGTGGGGAAGTGCAGCGACGTAGCCCAGCAAAAGGGCGAGATAGCAAAAATCGCCAGAATAAACCTGCAGGGAAGCACGTAGGCAGATTGACCCGGTGGCAGGAAAATGCAGAGTTGATGAAAGCCGCATTACTGCGCAGCAGCTTCGGCGGAACGTGCACAGCACACGGTGGGCAGAAAGTACTGCCTCACCAGATGGCTCACCAGGTGAGTGACAGAAGATGCGAAGCTGCAATGTGGCTGCCATCAGTCCCATCAAGCCCTGTGATACAGTGTGTCACCGAGGCATCCCTTGGCTGTCTGATGCAAAGTGATGATCCGGGCCTGAGTCGCAACGACATGCGCCAACGGCCCGCATGGCTCAGGCCCGCATGCGAGACAAGAACCCAGAACCCAGACAGTCACCGTGTCCCAGGTTGTCCCAGGTTCTCCTGGGGATTGCGGTGATGCTCTGCGGGCCACTGAGGTGTGTGGCTTGCGAGCCTCGCGCGGAAGGGGCTTGAGCCCAATACCGGCGCTGCCTCGGTCGGTAACCCAGGATCCCAGGATCTTGCACGCAGGACAAGCAGGACAACTCGACGCCAGGAAAACCAATGACACCTGCAGGGTTTGGCCTCTGAAGCAAAGGGCAGCAAGCTGCCATTGCAGGACAAGAACTGAGTTTCAGCTCCATTCAGCGCCAGCTATTGACAGTGTGGGCCGCACCGAGGCGCCGAGGCACCGAGGCATGCATCTGGCAATCTGCTGCGAAGCCAGTCAGTGCACGCAGCGGGGCATGCGAACTGTACTCCGCCGCCGACCCCTAACCATCCCTGGCCGGCATGTCCTGCATGCTCCTGCAAAGCTCCTGCATGTCCTGTAATCTATCGTCGTGAATTTCCAAACTGGCAGCCTCGCTCGCAGCAACGAAAAGACGGTCAGCGGAACTGGGTCTATGTGTCGGAACAAGCGCAAGCTTGCTGCGACTTCTAATTGCTGCTTGTTGGCCGGGCTCGCTGGGCCGAAACCTAATCGGAGCCTGGGGCCCAATAAGCACTGGGACGCCCATCTTTCCACTCTCCGTCTATCTCGCGTCTCGCTTGAAAGCACTTAACCCCTGCAATAGGACGCTGCTATTCGTTGTCGCCGCTTTGCGTCGACACTTGTCACATCTCTTCTCTTCTATCCTCCCATCCATCTCTCATACCCCTCAGGCCCCCAACACCCCCTTTCTTTATGACTGCTATCTTCGATCAACCTCCCACTCTAGTCGCTTCCGATCACTCTCAGGTCTCCCCAGCGACTACCGCCATTGAATCACCTAGAGACTACCGTCGCTCTAGCATGCTCTCGGACTCGTCTGCGCTCTACTCTTCATACGCCAGCTCGTCCAACTCCCTTGGCCCCGCCACGCCCGAGAACGCTTCGTTCCCTTACGACCACCGCCGCTCGTTCGCCGCCGAACGTGACGCTAAGGACCGTGCCAGTGACAACCACGCACCTTCCTTCCCCTTTTCTAGCTCGCTCGACAACCACAGCCCCTCGACCCTGCCCTACCCTATCAACGTCGGCATGTCGTATCCTTACAGCAACGGGCTGCACAGCACCGTCCCTCGCCAGCCCACCGTGGCCCGCTCCGCTACTAGCGACAGCCTCCCGAGCTATCAGCCTCACCTGAGCAGTAGCCTGCACACTGGTGCTCGCCCCCTCGTCCCAAATGCGCATTTCGCTATCTCCATGCATTCCCCTGCGAGCTCCAGCACAGCTGGCGGTCTACATCCGCGCTGCGGCGTGTCTCCCTTCCGCTCGCGCCTTCGGGGTCACAGCTTCGAGGGCATTGAGGGCCTCCCGGGCACGCGGGCTGGCACGGCATGCACGGCAAGCCAGCGGCGAGGCTGCGTACTCCTGCCAAAGCAATGTGTACGGCACGCATGCTCAGGAGTGTGCGAAGCATGTGAAGGATGATTACAGCAACGCTGTCCCGGAACTGCACTAAAGGGATTAACACGAGCTATCGCGAGCTAGACACATCACGAATGATCGTCGCTGGCGCGCTAAGGCGCATAAGCGCCGTTTTCTCCCTCCTTTTGTCCTTCCAACCAACACCTCCTCTGACCTCGGGCCTCAGGCCGCAAGCCGTGCTGGCCATGCTCCCTCAGGTCCTACCTGCCTGTCTTCCATGCACATTCTGTGTTCTAGTGCCTGGGCTAAAAACACTCTTTTGCGTCGTTCGACGGATCAACCAACCTGCTTGACCATCGATGGCGATTGGGTGATGAGGTGCCCTTGGACCTTGGGCCGCTCTACTGCCTCGAAAGTCGCTTAAGCATAACACTCGACTGACGGACGCGCGTCGTTTCGCACATCGCATTGACGTTTTCGAATCGAGAGTGTGCTATCTTTATGCTCGCGTTCGGGTGCATTCGGCTACATGCAGTCAGTTTATTCAGCTGACCGCGTGCTCACTCGAGGAGGATGCGGAGTGTGTTACAAGCATCGGGCGCCGAGGCAGGAGTGTGACAATGGAGCGGAGAGTGCAGCATGTGGTGCACTCCGCAGCTCGTCACTTGCATACCTCTCCCCCTTCCAGCTTCAGCCTCATTTTACCGCTGGTACCGTACCGCTGCCGCAAAGCCGTCGCCGTGCCGCGGTGTACATGGCCGAGAAACATTGATCCGCAGGTCCCATTCGCCCCACTCCTTGGTCTGTTGCTGGGTCACGACGTTTCGCCTTCTTGCTCATGTGTACCTCTGGATGGGAAGCGGGGCGCGATTGCGATCGCGATTGCGTAAGCATTCTCGCAATCAAGCTCCCAACGCATCCTCCGAGAGTGACAGATTTGGGACGGGGTGGGGTGGACGTAATGCCCCCCTGGAGGCTTTGTGCCCCTCAATACATCAAGCTTTTGCGAGTTTGAATGCTCTTCAGGTCCCTTCGTCAGGTGGTTTTTTTCAGGATCAAACGTCAAACCTCAAGCCTCAGGTCTGAGCTGAAGCTGGCCAGGTTCACGTGCGCGCGGACTTCGGACCGTCATCCCGGCCCCGCGCACCCCGCGGCCCTGCCGCAGTCTCCGACCAGCGCAGCGCAGAGGGCGGCATCCCGCGTGCGCCCGCGTCCTCCTCCCCGCTCGTCGGCCCCCGACGCCGATGAGAACTTGTGTCTCAGAGTTGAGCGCGTGAGCAACGCCGTGTATGGCTGGCGTCGTGTGTGTGCACGCCACATCTCATTTCCGCGGTACGCAAAACCTCCCCTTGTATTGTGGCATGCACAGCTACACTCTCAGCTATTCATCATGAAGCACACGGTGCGCAAACACGGGGTCACGAATAACGCGGCTCCCTAGCTCGCTAACAGCGCTGCGGCGCGCAGGACTGGCAGAGCGCGCAGAGCGTGCAGAGCGCCGTGAGCCGTGGGTCGTGCTCGGCGCCTGAGCCGCAGCCGCAGTCGGTCGGGGAAGATGGCGAGCCGCAGGGCAGACGCCGCAGCATCGCCTTCCCGCCCCGGGCTCGGGGGCGGGCTCGGGGTTGGGCTCGGGGTGTGTATTCGGTGCTCGGGGTGCGTCCCTCACGCCGAGTTAAGTTTATCAGAGATTATCCAGCGAAGCTCACATCAATCCTCTGCTCTCAGTTGACATGTTGGCTGTCGCGGCTGCTGGACCAAAGCTCCCATCTGGGACCGACTTCTGCCTCCGGATCGCATACGGGTTGCTTTCCCTGCATATGCCGGCAACTGCTCCGCACGGCTCGGCGACTGCATCCCAATACAGCACATACATACAATACACCAAGCGCCTCTCTATCCCCCGCGATCACGACATGGCTGCTCGACCTATTGGCTTGAGTGCAGCACTCGTCACCAAAAACAGTCTCGGACAATTTCCCGTACCCCCAGGCCTCTCGAGCCTACGGTCCGCTCCTAAGCACTACGGACCGTGGGGCGTGTGCCTACTCGTACCTGTCTTGGAGCAAGGCACGCTTATGCTTACAGGAGCGACTGAAGCGCTCCAACGCTCGGCATCCAGCGCGGATCCCTCGCCGCCCTAGGCCGCGGACCGCTGGGTGGGAGTGATTCGTAAGGCTTTCGAACCCCGGGATGCTGTGATGCTCGAAAATGAAGAGAGAAGTCCCCTAGCCTCCGTTAGGAACCGGCTTGCACAGGAATCACCCTCACCCCTCGTTAACACTCTGATGCTCTTGTGCGGTGGTAAGTTGTGCACTGTGCATTGTGCGGCGTGCCTTTACGCCCCAGGAGCATGGCTGATTTCTTTCGTCGCATTTAGCTCCGATCGCGCCGCCTGCAGTTCATGTAGACGTCCGATCTCCCTCGATCACTCACATCACACCGCTGACTCAGAGTGACTCACCCGGTGGTGCACCTCTCGTATCTCGTACCTGCTCCTCCATTCACCCCGCACTTTCGTTTACACGAGATGGATTAATCGAGCCCTCCGAGTGGCCGACGCAAGCATGGTGCCGAGCCCAAGAAGACGGAGAATGTTTCCCCACCCCGCACTAAGTCGAGCTATTCTCCGCCCACGCAAGCGGAAAGATCGGCAGCGCTCGCCGCTTCCGAGGCCGCAACGCGCAAGGAGACCTAGAAGAGGATGGTGGAATCTTGGCCCCGAACCTCCTTCTGAGCTATCTTTCTCCGCACTCCGCAGTGTACGCACTTCCCGCCAACGGACGCTAGGACGCCGCACATGGAGAAATAGTGGCCGAGCAAGAGCATACCCACGCACATGCATGGGTCAGAAGTTCCCTGCTACACGCACCTGGAGTCCCTAAGAATCTGACGTGTCCCAGATCACACCTTCTTGCGGCTGACTTCGAGGCTGGCGAGACAGGCGTCTGCTCTGCGGGCGATTAGGACGTCCTCTCCCTACTTGCTCGTCCCACTTGCTCACCGCAGGCTTGCCCAATTCGTGCTAAATCGATGTGATCGCCCCTGTCCATCACGAAGGTACCGCTACGGAAATGGAAAGGCACGTTGTCAGGAAGCCCAGGACACCCAGGGTTAGGGATGGCTCGATTCGAATCGAAAGTCGAGCAAGGAAGCGGTGGAAATAGCAGTATCACCGCTAGTTCCGGGGCCCTTAGAAGGCCAAACACTCCGCACGAGTCATGGAGAAGCCCACCCATTGGTCCTCAGTTTCTCTTGGGCCGTGGGCTAACGGCCGAAACGCGATGCCGCGGCGCCTCCTCACCGTTAGCGAATTCCGCATCAAAGGTGAACAAGGTTCCGCTATCACGAATGTGGCCCACCTGTGACCAAAATGCCAAGGTTTGTGGTTCTGGGCTGGGGCCTTCGTCGCCGTTACCTGCGGGGGGCGTCAGTGGCGCAGAAAGCGCAGAAGGCAGAGACGTGGCGCAGCACCCATCGATCGCAGCGGTCACTGTTGTCACCGTCGTCTCACCCATCGTGGCTTGGTCGTGGCTGAGTGTCACCGCGTGCTTCGACGTAGAGGCATTTTTCGCACTCGCGAAGAGGAAATGTTGGGTGAGACAAAGAATTGTCAGACGTACTGACGCCACAGCGCCGAAAATGCACCGATTCGACTGCCCACTGCAGGCAGCGCAGAGGCGTCAGAGGGAGGCAGAACGAGGCGTCAAGGGTGCAAGGGGAACCGTGGAGCTCGGAGAGACAGGCTGTCAGCCCAGCATCTTCCCCTCACTCACGCAGCTGCCAGTTCACCTACAACGCCCAACCTCAAACTCACCCAGGAAACAACTGACCCAGGACTGACAGGAGTGGACGCCAGCAATTGTTACCAGGAGGGGCCAGCCAGCAATACATCCAGGAATGTGCACACGTCGCATTCCAGGCGTGTCCATGCGTGTTCAGCCATAGGACCGCGTGCAGCGATCGATTGGCCTGTGAGTTGCCGCAGCTGGATCTGGGATCTCACTCTCAAACACCCTCAAGCACCCTCGCACGCACACGCGGTCAGACACGCTCATATGTCTGAGCGGGCTGATTTTGGCTGACTCTGCCTGACGGAGGCGTTCTCTGATCGTGTCTGAGCCGAGGGCGTCAGCATAAGGCGTCCGTTGCGTCCTGTGCCATCTGTGCGACCTATGATGGCGCTCGTTGACGGCTGCGGCGCGGGCAGGCTGGGCCTCGCTGGGAGAATAATGAAGGTAATAAGTACTGGACAACAGGAGAACAAGGTTCGAACACCGAGACCGCCGCGGTGCCCCGGCGCCTCGGCGCTCTCCGCAGGCCGTGGCGCCAGGCTCCGTTACGCCGCCCCGAGGTCCGGAAGGTCCCTACACGACGCTCTTCCGATCTGTGCTCCGAACACTGAGGCGCAGTTCCTGTTCCGGTCAAGGTTCAGGGGGCGCCGAAGCCGTGGAGCGACACTCACCAGCACGTAACCGCTGGCTTGCTGGCTTACGCTGGGACCTCCTTGGACCTCGTCATGCATCTCGTGCTTCATGCCTAACGAACGTTTCTTATGTTTTCTGCTTGGATACGTCGTGGAAATATTTCGTCTCTCGGAGTCTTGACTTGCCGAAAGCCTCAGCATTCCACGCTTCTCACACCGACACCGAAGGCGCGAGAAATACTCATCGCTTCTAACCCCATAACTCTCTTTTCGTCAAGACTGAAATTATTGTGGGGAGAGTTGGAGCAACCTCTCATGTGGAGAAGAGATTGATCAACTTCTCATGACTATCGATGATCTTCGTCCCCATCTGTTTTGCCGAAAGCCCAACGTCCACCGAATGCCCATGACTTTTCCCAACTCCCCACTGTCTCGCGCTCCGCTCAGCCACTGATTGTTATGAGAATCATTAAACGTCGTCGAGAATAAATGCACGTCTACATGTGATTGAGAAAACTATGGACGGGTTATGGGAGGGAGGGGTATTATTGTATATATTCACACAATATCTGTCAAAAGATTCCCCAGACATGTTTTGACAGTTAACTGAGATTAACGGACCCGCGCATATGCAGGGGAACACTGGGAGATTTAGATGCGGATTTGTGCTTTATGCCAGATATTGGAGGGATGAGGGGGATGGGATAATTGTGAGGGAAGGGGAAGGGAGGGGAAAACTAATAATGAAATCACAACAGCACGCCTTGAAATGGAGGAGATGTCATACGTCCTTCGAGGCTTTTAGAGACCAACAGCGGCGACCTTGTCCGGGATCGTCTGCTTGAGGTGGTCGACAAGAGCGCGGAGCTCCTGGCGAGTCTCCTCGGTCGTGTCGTCCTCGTGCTCAGCGCTGAGGTTGTAGGCGAAGGCCTGGAGGAGACGCTCAAGGTGGGGCTCAAGAACAGCAGGGTTCGAGCGGAAGAGCGTGAAGATGGCCGAGTAGACGGCACGGTTCTCAAGGGGGTCGAACTGGAGGGGCATGACCGAGGCGAGGAGGCCGACAACCTGGTCAAGCGGGAGGGCACCAGCGTTCTTGTTGACCATGCGGGCGAGGGCACCAGCAGCGTTGTCACGAGCGTTGTAGACAGCGGGGGCCGAGTGCTCGGGGGCCTGGAAGAACTGGTTGAGGACACCGAGGAGGGCAGGGAAGTGCTGCGAGAGGTCCTGCTCCGAGTTCTGGATGAGAACACCGGCGGCGAAGGCCGAGTTGGAACGGACATCCGGCTCCTCGTCGTTCAAGCCACGCGAGATGATCTCAAGCAGAGGCTGGGTGAACTGGGTGACACCGCCCTTGAGGCCGACGATGATCTCACCGAGCGAGCCAACAGCCATGGAGCGCTCAGAAGAGATGCGCTTGGGCTGGGTGTAGTTGGCGAGGAGGGGAAGGACCTGGCCGAACGCCTGGGCGAAGTCGGGGCCAAGGACAGTGGACATGGCACCGAAGACGTCGGCAGCGTTGGAGATGAGAGCGGACTCGTACTCGGACGAGTCGGCGTCGGCGGCACCCTCGTCGTCTCCGTCGGGGTCCTGCTGGCAGAGCGACTTCTTCTCGAGGATCTCGATGGAGAGAGTGGCAATGTCGTCGAGGTGGCCCTCAACAAGAGCGGGGCCGCACTTGTTCATGGTGTCGGCGAGCTCAGAGCAGAGAAGAATAACGACAGACCTGTTTTCGGTTAGCAAATGTTACCAAAGACAGTGAAGAGTGTGTAGAGGTGTCAGATACGTTGGAAAAAATGTAGTCTCAAGGCCCATGTGGGCTCGAAGTGAGCTGAGTAAAGTTTATCATCATTTGGAGGTGATGGGGGAAGGGTAGGAATTAATACGCACTTGTCATCCTCGGTCTTCCAGGCGTTGATGATGTGGGGAAGGACGTGGTCGACGAGCTTCTTGACGTCGGCGTGGAAGGGGACCTTGACCTGCGCTCCAGGAACCCACTCCTGGGGAGTAGAGAGCTCGTAGAAGGTCTTGATGTACTGGAAGAGAGCACCAACGGCAGCCTTGCGGATGCCCTCGTAGTAGTGGTCAAGGAGGTCGATGAGGACCTGCATGGTCTCCTCAACGTAGGGAAGGAAGGCGGACTTGGTGGCGTTGAAGAGCTCACCAATGGTGTCGGCGGCGACCTCCTTCTCGATGGCGACGGCAGAGTTGACGCGGGCGAACATGGCCTCAAGGGCGTCAAGGTCGGTCTCGTCGATCTCCTCCTCCTCATCGGCAATCTGGGAGGCACCGACGCCAGAGGCGAAAGCCTCGGCGGCCTGGCGAGCGGTGGCACCGTTAGCCTCACCCTCGTCGACGAAGTCGTCGGACGACTCGCTCTGCTGGCACGAGGCAACAAGAGCGGGAACGCAGGTAGGGAGGTACTCGGCGAACTCGCCCTCGAAGACCTGAGCCATGACACCGAAGAAGATGAACGACGACTCGCGAAGACGAGTGTTGTCCATGGTGAGGGCCTCGAAGGCAGCCTTCATCATGTCACGGAAGTAGGGGCGGAACATCTCAGAGCCGACAGCCTCGGCGATGGTGCCGATGGTGTCAGTGGCAACACCACGGAGGTCGCTCTCCTCGTCGCTGCCCTGGAGGGTGACGAACTGGACGAGGCGGGTGATGGTCTGGTCGAAGTAAGGACGGAACTTGTCCTTGGCGGCGTGAGCAGCGGAGCCGATAGCACCGGTGACAGTGATCTTGACCGGGACGGGGCCGTTCTCGAGAAGGATGAGAAGACGCTCCATGAGGAGGGGAAGGTAGTTGACGATGTCGTCGCCGAGGATCTCGAGGTACGAGTCAAGGCAGGTGCACGCGTTCTTCTGGGTGGCGGGGTCGACGATGAGGTCGAAGAGGATGGGGACAATGACAGCGTGGCGGGTAGCGCACTCCTCGGAGAGCCACTCGCAGAGGCAGCCGAGAGCGATACAGGCGGCCTTGCGGACAACGACGTGCTCGTCACGGAGACCGCCCTCAATGACAGACCAGAGGGAGTCGACGTGAGGGCGGATGTACTCGGAGCATCCCTCGACGGAAACACCGAAGGCCATCAGAGCAGCCTTGCGGTGGCTGGGGTCGGCAGACGACATGTAAGTCTGGAGCTGCTGCGAGAGAACAGGGAAGACCTGCTGGGGAGGAAGAGCCTGCGAGAGGGCGTCGAGGCAGCGGAAGGCGAGACGCGAGGGCGAGTCCTCGTCGATGTCCTCGGGGTCCTCCTCGCAACCGATGGGAAGGAGACCCTCAACGATGGGCTTGGCGAGGCCAAGAGCCTGAACCTTGGACTTCTTGTAGCGGATGATCCAGGCAAGGACGTTGAGAGCACCGCAACGCATGGACTCGTCGACGTCGCGGTTGGCGGCAGCGCCGAGGAAGAACTGGACGAGCTCACCGACGTGCTTGGAGACAAGAGGGGTGTCAAGGATGAGGAGGGTCTCGAAGACATCGTAACCGTGCTTGACACCCTCGTCGTCATCGTCGGCAATAGCCTTCTCAAGGACCTTGAGCATAGGAACAATGAGCTCCTGGAAGGCCTTGATGTCGTGCTTGTCATCGACACCAATGTACTCGGCAACCTTGGCGAGAGCACGGAGGGTGGTCATACGGACCTCAGCGGACTCGGGGTCCATGAGACTCCTTGAGAAGAGCTCGAAGAGGTTCTTGAGGTGAGCCTCGAAGGTGTCGACAACAGTGTCAAGAAGAGAGAAGAGAACGTAGATGGCAGACTCGCGGTGAGTGACCTCTGATGATCCGGCGGCGGCGTAGAGGCCGGGCATAAGGTCGGGCCATTGAGGGGGGTTAACAGTGAGCTCAAGGTCGGCAATGGCAGAGACAGCACGGGCAAGAGCGTGGCGGACGATGGAGCTGAAGGGTTAGCTACTTTCTAAGAAATTTCAGTGGCCCTGGACGATAGAAGGCGTCCGAGCGCATCATCGTCCAATCAAGACCAGGAAGACTCACGCATTCTCCTGAGTGAGACGCTGGAGGATGTTCTGCTTAATCTGCAGGCGGACAGGCTCCGGGGTCTTCTTCCAGAGCTTGCCGTCTCCGCTAGAGACACGTTTCCTCAGCTCAACGGAGGCGAGCTGGCGGATCTGATGGCGAGTCAGCTTTGGTTCGAGCCACCTCAGGAAGTTCAGAACTTGGACCCATCGCAAGGTACGCGGTGGCGAGAAACTCTGAGCTTCCTAGAACTAGTGGGGCTACTCACAGCCTGGTTGGGGCTCGTAGCGGCAATCTCATAAAGGGCAGGAATACAGTTGGCGTTCTTGTAGAAAGTAGTGTTAAGCTGCGTCGTGGCCTAAATGTTAGCTAGCTGTTCCCGCCTCCGGTCGACTCACCTGCTTGATCACGTTCGTGTCGGGCGCGATCGTGGCCTCGAGCAGCTGGTGAAGTTGTTGGACGTAAGCGGGCTGTTTGTCTGTCAGCGAATGTTGTTAAGAAGTGCAGATCTCTGGGCCTGGTACTCCAAAGACATCATCGATTCCCAAAATTTCGGGGAGCTCGATTGCGATGTGCGATCGAGACGAACTAAGGCCCAGGAGGTCGATACTCACGTCCATTTTTGCTGCTGGGCGTGGAGAGTGTGTCCAGCCTTCGCTTGGCTCTAAAAGGATAGAGAAAGAGAAAAGAAAGACAGGACGTCGGGTTGGATAAGAGGGAGAGATATGGTGCGAGAAAAAGTTGAAGGCCGTACGCGCGGCGTGGCTCGCGGGACGGTACCTGCACACGCGGCATCAGAAATTTCAGTAGCAAGACCAGGGAAACAGACGCCGCAGGACCCGTCAACAAGACGGCATCAATTTTTCCTGCGCGGCCGTTGCGTTCATCGCGCGATGGTCAGCATCACGTGATAAGATAACGTGGCTATCTCGTGGGCCGGCTGAATCCACCTCCTACCATGACGATCCGGACCTGGACGACTTCTGTCGTCAGAGCGCGCAGAAGGAAGGCCTCTCGACAACACCATTATCCTGGGCGACGTTAAAGGCTTGAAGGGAGTATCCAACTCTCCTTACCAGTCATGATTCACGCTGTCCTTATTTTCAACACGCATGGTGAGCTTTCGTCGTGTAGCCTACAGCTGACATCACAGGCAAGCCGCGCTTGTCCAAGTTCTACACTCCGGTGCCGCCATTGACGCAGCAAGCGCTCATCTCCCAAATCTTCTCTTTGATTTCAGACCGACCAGCCGGCGTCTGCAACTTCCTCGACGCTCCTGAGCTCGTGTTCCCCTCTTCCTCTTCTTCGGGTGAGAAGAACTCCAATCATGGCAATGCTGTGACACGGCCCGGTAATGGCACAGCCAGCACCGATGATGACACGAGAGTCATCTACCGCCACTACGCGACGCTTTACTTTGTGTAAGTTCACGGACTATCAGACATGTATTGATGATCAGGTTTGTTGTTGATGGAGCCGAGAGCGAGCTGGGCATTCTAGACCTCATCCAGGTCTTCGTGGAGAGTCTGGACCGAGCGTTCGAGAACGTATGCGAGCTTGACCTCATCTTCCACTTTGACGAGGTTCAGTATGTCCTGAACGAGATTATTCAGGGAGGACTCGTGCTGGAAACGAACATCAATGAGATCAGCCAGGGCATCGTCGCCAGCCAGCGCAATCGCAAGGCCAGCGCAGCCAGTGCCAACCCACTCGTACCGTCGATGCTCGTCAATCCTGGCGGCTCAACTCAATCTAGCGCGGGAGGTGGTCTCAGCAGCGGAGCACGGCGTTGGCTCTCGTCGATTGGTGTGTAGAGTAGAGCATAGAGTGAAAGTGTTGTATCAATGCATCTATCCCTATTGTAAAATGCTACGAGTCGACGTCCATCTTCTCGGTCTTGTCTGCCGGCCCAGATACCGGCGCTTCTCCATTAGTTGTCCCGTTACTCTGCTTCCTCTCGTATAGTCGACGGTACGGCGCAGGCTCGCTAGGCTCCGGTTTGAAGTACTGGATCAGATCCCTGTCGATGATGCCCATCTCGCACCATTCCACATACTGACGCAGGGCATCTGAAGTCAGTTTCGACCTTCAAGCTGCAGACTTACCCCTCACGGCCTGCACGTCCTCCCCTTTCGCCCCCGTATCCGGGCAGAACTCGATGTCAAGTTCGAACTTCGCTCCTAGATCTGAAGCCGCCGCCAGCGCGCTGGACAGAGGCATCTCGTCGACAGCCGCAAGCACGAGCACGAAGGTTGCGAACGCGAGGATGGGAGCCGCGTGCAGCACTGGCAGCGGCGAGAGAAGGCCCTCGTTGAGGAAAGTCCAAGCGAGCTCATCAACGACCTGCTCCGTGGCCCGACTTTTGCCCTTCCCCGAGCTTCCGTTGGAGCGGGCTTCTGCCGCGGCGCTGCTCTCGGCCTCGTTGGCGAGCGCATCGAGTCCACGGATACTCCGCCGCAGCACCGGCCATGGCTGCTCAATCGCCATGTCGAAGCACAGAGCCTCCAGCGCGACTTCTTCTGAAGCCAGAATTTCCTTCTCCCACCGCCGGTACTCTAGCGGTTGGGCCTGGCGTCAGCTGAGTGGTCACAAAGGTCGAGCTCACGTCGTTGTCACCTTGAGGGTCCCAGATCGGAGCTCCTGGCTCGAACTTTTGCAAACAGGCATTGACGATGTGCCGTAACCTCATAGGTCCCTCTTCAATCTTGGATGCCAAGAAGAGGATCGTCGGCGCCATGATCTGTGGTGAGCTCCACCCGGTACCACACTAGCTCACCTTCGGATCGAAGTCAGTCAGCGACCGGCGCATGAAGAAGCGATGCACCAAGGCGGCACCGCACGTCACGATGCCTTTGGCAGGGGTGGACTCTGGGTCATTCTCTCCGTGAAAGCTATTGCGCGTTAGCAATTAACGTTGACGGTGCCTACCCAGCGACTCGAAGCCACAATGAACGAATCCACGCGATCGTTTGTTTCCTTCCCTCGAGCTCTTCCTGGAGAGAGATGCCGTCGAGTCGGGAGGGAGTCTTGGAGAGGGCGTCTTCGTCAAAGATCCATTGCTTCTCGGCTGGCCTGAGTCGACGCATGCTGGCAGATTGTCGACACTCTTACTCGATCCAGGAGGTGGTTTCAGTCGGACAACAGCCATCATAACAAGCTTCTCCGTTCATTACAGAGCCCTCTGGAGGTGGAGGCCGTACCACGTGGCTCGGATTACGTGTATTTGCCGGGAAGGTCCGGCCCCTGTCCAGAACTTTATTATCAAGATTGGTTGCCAAGTGGCCGTTTTGTGTCGAGTCAAGGGAAAGGCAGGTGGATGGCGATGGATTCAAGTGATCTCAGCACTGTTGGCATCCCAACTCGACTCATCTCGTTCTGTCTATGGCCATTGGCACCTTGCGGAACTGCTGGACAAGAACTCTGACACAAGCACCACTCCACCGCCCCCTGTCCACCAGCGCACGATACTTGGCTAATCAAAAGCCGCTCACACCGGAGAATACCACAAAAGACCTGAACCTCAACATGTCTGGCAACACGGCTTCGAGCGAGGTCAACAAGACCGCCCACGAGTTTGACAAGACCAACCTCGACTCCCTTCTTTCGCGCCGCTTCTTCTTCGCGCCCGCCTTCGAGATCTACGGCGGTGTCGCCGGTCTCTACGACTATGGACCGACCGGTTCGGCCCTCCAGGCCAACATCCTTGACGCTTGGCGCAAGCACTACATCATCGAGGAGGACATGCTCGAGCTTGACACGACGATCATGACTCTTTCCGATGTCCTCAAGACCTCTGGCCACGTTGACAAGTAAGCCACTCCCTGAGGACTAATAGCTGACAGGCACCAGGTTCGCTGACTGGATGGTCAAGGACAAGGTCAACGGCGAGATCTTCCGTGCGGACCACCTCGTCGAGGCTGTCCTCGAGGCCCGCCTGAAGGGTGACAAGGAGGCTCGCGGCAAGAAGGTCGAGGAGAAGGAGGAGACGGACGAGAAGAAGAAGAAGAAGAAAAAGAACGTCAAGTCGGAGGCCGTCAAGCTCGACGACAAGGTTGTCGAGGAGTTTGAGTACATCCTCGCGCAGATCGACAACTACACCGGCCCCCAGCTCGGCGAGCTCATCAAGAAGTGGGACATCCGCTCGCCCGCCAACAACGAGCTCTCGGAGCCTGTCGAGTTCAACCTCATGTTCCAGTCCGACATTGGTCCCACGGGCCAGATCAAGGGCTACCTTCGCCCGGAGACTGCGCAGGGCCACTTTGTCAACTTTGCGCGCCTGCTCGAGTTCAACAACGGCAAGGTTCCGTTTGCGTCTGCGCAGATCGGCAAGTCGTTCCGTAACGAGATTGCGCCGCGCCAGGGTCTCCTGCGTGTGCGTGAGTTCACGATGGCCGAGATTGAGCACTACGTCGACCCGCTGGACAAGCGCCACGCGCGCTTCAACGAGGTGCGCGATGTCGTCCTCGCGCTCCTGCCCAAGGACGTGCAGCAGGAGGGCCGCACGGAGCTGACGCGGATGACTGTCGGCGACGCGGTCGAGAAGGGCATTGTCGACAACGAGACGCTCGGCTACTTCCTGGGCCGCACGCAGCTCTTCCTGACCAAGATTGGTATCGACGCTGCGCGCCTCCGCTGCCGCCAGCACATGGCCAACGAGATGGCGCACTACGCCGCCGACTGCTGGGACTTTGAGATCCAGTCCTCGTACGGCTGGATCGAGTGTGTCGGTTGCGCCGACCGCTCGGCTTACGACCTCACCGTGCACGCTGCCAAGACCAAGCAGCCGCTGCGTGTGCAGCAGCGCCTCGACCAGCCCCGTACGGTCGAGAAGCTCGACGTGCAGTACGACGCCAAGGCGTTCGGCATCAAGTTCAAGAAGGACGCGGCCACCATCAAGTCGACCCTCGCCGAGAGCGACAAGGAGCGCCTGCAGTGCATCAAGGACGAGATGGACAAGGACGGCAAGTCGCTCGTCAAGTGCGCCGACGGCAAGGAGTACGAGCTCACCCCGGACCTCGTCAAGATCAACCCGATCACGGTGACCGAGCACATGCGCGAGTTCACGCCCAACGTCATCGAGCCCTCGTTCGGCATCGGCCGTATCCTGTACTCGCTGCTTGAGCACTCGTACTGGGCCCGTGAGCAGGACAAGGCGCGCGGCGTGCTCTCGTTCCCGCCCCTCGTTGCGCCCATCAAGGTCCTCATCGTCGCCATCTCCAACGACCCCGCCCTCACCGCCGTCATCCACGACATCTCCATCAAGCTCAGGAAACTCGGCATCGCGTCCCGCGTCGACGACTCTTCCGCCTCCATCGGCAAGAAGTACGCCCGCAACGACGAGCTCGGCACCCCCTTCGGCATCACCGTCGACTTTGCCACCGCCAAGAACGGCACCCTCACCCTCCGCGAGCGCGACACCACCAAGCAGCTCATCGGCTCCACCGAGGACGTCCTCAAGACCGTCGACCAGCTCGTCAAGGGCACTATCGACTGGGAGGGCGCCTCCAAGGTCCTCCAGGAGTACTCTGGTGTCCAGGACGTCGAGTAGATACATTAGTAGAGCGATCTGCTTTTGTCGCAGATCAGACAACAGAGAAGATGTTATTTTGCTCCTATCTTAGACCAACCACTGCCGCTGCAACTGCTTCTTTTCCTTGGTATCAATGATGCATAGCTCTACTGCAGAGAGCTCTCATGTACATATGCTGAAATGACCACTCCATCGTCACTTGACACTTGATGTCCAGTTTAATGTCCGTTAATACTGTAATTTTTTAAGATCGGCCGTTGTGAGACGCCATGGGGGAACGTAAATGCGTGGTAATGTTCTTCTAAGACCGTGTGCGGGAGCGCGGTCAACTTAGATAAGGGCGGCGACGTCCTCGGGCTTAGCGATGAAGCCGGAGCGGACGAACTTCTTGCCATTGACAAAGTCAAGGCCCTCGCCGGCGTAGGTCGTGTCGGGGGTAACCTCGACTTCGACGTCGTCGGCGAAGGTGGCGCCGGCGGCCTCGAGCCAGCGCCTCTGCTGAGCGAGGAGGTCGCGGCGCGAAGTCTCGGGGGTGTCAGAGGGAGCGCCAGAGGCGTTCTTCAGAGGAGAGAACTCCTCGGCACGGTCGACCTCGAGCACGACGAGGTCGCGGGTGAAGGGGAAGATGTCAAAGATGAACATCTCGAGCTTCATGCCGTTGGGAGTCGAGGGCTTGATGGCCTCGCCGGTCGAGAGGTCGACAGTGGGGATCTTCTTCTTCGCAATGTGGAACGGAGCGCGGGCCTCGACACCCTCAATCTCCTCGAGGAACGAGCGGGTGTAGAAGTGGTTGACAATGTTGCCGGCCCAGAAGGACAGGGTTCCGTCAGCCTCGCGCTGCTCGGACATCTCCTTGGGGAGCTCCGAGTACTCGACAACGGCGTAGCCGTCACCCTTGCGGGCGACAACACCAACGAGCTCCTCGGGGTCGCGCTTGCGGACGACCTTGGCACCACAGGCGGCACCACGCTCAATGCAGGCACCGAAGAAGACAGGGTCGGCGACCTTGACGAGACAGTTGTCAACGCAGTAGCCGTGAATGTACTCGACGCCACGGTCCTTCAGGTCCGACATGACAGTCCTGGCCTCGCCCTCGACGAGGGGGCGGCGGAGGGCGGCGTAAACACCTCCGTTTCCGTCCGGAGCGAGCGAGAGGCTGGAAGCGGTCGAGAGGAGGAGCTTGCCCTCGTTGGAAAGAGCGGGGAGAACACCTGCGCAAAGTTAGCACCGTCCGGGTCCATGAACTTACCCTGCTCAAAGAAAACGACGTCCTCGCGGGGAAGACCAAAGTAGTTCTTCTTCTCAAAGTACGCCTCGGTGACGGTGCGAGTGGGGCCCGAGGTCATCACATACCAGGGGATGCGGACCTGCTCAGCGGGCTTGCCAGTGGCCTCGGAGACGACCTCACGGAGACGGCGGATACGAGCGGCCTGGATCTCGAAGAGAGTGCGGCCAGAGGGAAGCGAGATGTCGAACATGCCCTTGGGGTTGGCGCTGCCAAGACGGGTGCCCTGTCCTCCGGCGAGGAGGAGGACAGCGACCTTGCCGTCGGCAATGGCCTTGAGACCAGTGGAGCGCCAGCGAGCCTCCTCCTCGGCGTTGTTGATAGCAGAAGCGCACGAGGTAGGGGGAAGGGGTGATACAGCGTCGGCGGTGGGGGTAGTGGGCTGGTCCGAGGTCTTCAGAGTAGGAGCCTCGTTACCAGCGGGCTTGGGGGGAGGGGCAACGGCGACGGCGGCCATGGCGTTCTCGTAGATACGGTTTACACGCTCAACGTCGATCTCGGAGAGCTGCTTGGCGAACTTGGCCTGCTCGTCCTCGGAGAGCTTGTCCCAGAAGGTGAAGACCTGGCCCTGGCCGGCATTCTCGTAAGTCTGCTTGAGCGCAGCAATGTCGATGGGGTTGGCGTAGGAACCCATGGCGATAGTCATGGTGGAGAGGAGAAAAGGTAGAGTGAGGAAAGAAAGAAGCGCAAGGTCGTCGTGGCAACTGGCGAAGGAACCCTATTCAGTGGAGTTTTGTTATGGTCAACAAATCAAGGGTCTGCTCGGCTTGGCTGAAGGTTGAACGGCGAGAGTACGACGAAAGGACGGATGAAAGGCGAGCGTGCGAGGGGGCGTGTGCAGGGGCTATGGGGAGGAAGATCAGATGAGGAAGGTGTAAAGAAGAGGAAGAGGGGGAGGTATGTGCGATGCAAGAAGCAGAGCAAAGTGGTGCAGTGGTTTTGTTGTTTCAAGGTGCTCTGGCGCGGTCGAGCAAGGAGGAGCGCAAGGAGCGATACCTGACAGTCGGGTCTCCGGGTGTCTAGGGAAGGTTGCCAGGGCCAGGGTTGACAGCTGGCGTGCGCCCGATTGATCCGTGATCCTGTGGGTTGTGCGTTAAGGTCTCGGGGTGCGATGTGCGATGTGCGCTTCTTGCGGCGTGACGTGTCGCTAGCTGGCAGAGTAGTGTTGCGAGTGAGAAGGTATGCAGGGTGTGTGAGATGAAGAGAAGCAAGTGGAGCCTAGACAGTGCGCCAGAAAGGTGGTTGTTGTTGATGCATTCAGGCTATCTTTGGTCAGCCGGACAGCCGCCTGGGAAAGTAGTTGGTAGGAGTGGTACACTGCTTTGCGGCTGTCCGCCTGGGATCTCTCGGTGTGATCGATCAAATGGCGTAAGGCCCTTGGACCCACGGCCTGAGAACTGAGAGCAAAAGCTTGGTTACACCGCCCGATGCCCGCCTCGCATGCACGGCACTCCTCGCGCACTGCTTATTTCTCCTACCCTCAACGCGTTCCTTGCGCGCGCCTTGGCTCCATTCAGACGCGTCCTCGAAACTGGGTTTTTTCAAGCCTCCCCGTCCACCCCGTCAGGCCTATCAGACCGTCAGATCGTCAGACATGCGACAAGGGATCTACATACTCCATTCGTCAGCTCCCGCATCTACCATTGTCTCGTTTCTGATGCCCGGGCATGAAACTTTGGGCAGCCCACCGCTGACAGCAAAATGAACGGGAAGATGCAGATCTCATGTTCGCACACCGTACTCCTGGCTCTACCCGGGTTTGAGGGCCGGCTTCAGGGTAACAGCTCGTCAAGCCATAACGACACGCCCCGGAGCCAAATAAACGCCCAAGTGCACCCACGGCCACCCACCACGTCGTCATTCCTGTGCCGCTCGTTGTCCTCTCTAACCCCGATGCCATCCACTAAGCGTCAGCCAATCGCGGCGCCGCTGCCGCTGCCCGGAGCGGGAGTGCCGGAGCGTGTCGCAGGCACACCCACTACTGCTCCATCCTGCGGCACGCCGACCCCTACGGCGGCCTTGGCATGTACGCTGACTGGCCAGCAGTTCGGCGGTGGACACCGCCGCGTGCTGGAGTGAGGCCAAAAATGAGTTGTCGGGGATTCGAACCCCGGTAAGCTGCTATTCCACGGAATGGAAGGCAGCCATCTTAACCACTGGATCAACAACCCATCGTTGTGGGGTGGGTTCTTGCCGCGTGGTATTGGTTCGCGAATTCCTTCGTGCAGAATCACATGTATACAGAGCATCGAGGGGATAGGAAGAGGTGCTGTAGCAGATCAAGTCCAATTGCAAAGCTCTGCTGTATCAGGGGGTGCGGCGCGGTGCCGACGATTCAAGGCGGGTCGGTGACCCATTCGATGGCGGCGTTCTGTTCGACCACTTTGCAGATGAGTTTGCGTTCTGGTTGAAGCTGAGGAACTGAAGCACTTGCATCTGTCAGAGAAATTGCAACCTGTATCACAGTTCTGATACTGCGATGCGATGAAGCTGAGTGAGGAAGAGTATCGTGCAGAAAGACTTGCGACAGCGCACTAGCTTCATCATCTTTTCAATTGTGAGTCTCGACAGACACGCACATTATTGCAGTGTGTCTGGCTCGACGTGCGAAGGGGGAGGCGAGGCGGGCGTGCGCTTGCGTGTGTTCGTCCTCCCAGACTGCACGTTAAGACTGCTCAGTTGCCTCTTGCCTGTTGTCCACTCAACCACATCCATCATGACCACCAGTCTCGACGGAGGACCGAGCCCCGACACTGCTCCGACGACCTCGAGCAAGCTCCAGCCCGACGTTGGGGCTGAAACTACCCCCGGCACTCCAGAGTCGCGCATTTTCGAGTCTCTGAAGTCGTTCACCGCCGACATTCAGGCTATCTGGCCGGTCCTTGAGGCTTTGAAGAACAGCCCTGCGACGACTAGCGCAGATCCCCAGAACGGCACCCCGCCCCAAAACAACGGCAACGGCATTCCAACTCTCGGCCTAGTCGACAACTTCGCCCAAGTCGACGACAACCGTCAGAAGCAGGTCCATGACGCCTTGCAGGCTCTGGAGCAGGTCATGGACTCCCACAAGAAGATGGGCGAGGCGCTGAGGGAGCTGTACATCCACCTCAGCGCCGAAGTCCTCCGTAGCGAACTCAACGAGGATTTGCGCCACGCCCTGCGTCCCATCTCCCCCGACACGGAGGCTGGGATGCTGGAGGCCGCCGCCGAGCAGTACTGTGGCCACCAGTACCTGGTCTTCAGGGCCGCCACCAGGGTGTGGAAGACGTTCATGAACCAGCACAGCGCGGTCGCCGGGGAGATCGCGAACGAAGCTCCTGAGTTCGATGAAGCTCAGCTCCGGCGTGTCCTCATCGCGTTCGAACTCGAGGAGGACGGAATCGTGTCGCTCATCCGCGCAACTCTCCACGATGTTCGCTACGCTTTCGCGGGCCATGGGTACCTTGAGCCGGTCTCGTTTAAGCGCCGCCTGAGCATCCCGACCATGAGCGATGACGATCCTGCCAGTCAGCAGGTTGGGTTATCGGACGATGGAGAGCAGGATCAGCATACCGGCGCCAATGAAGACGACGACGCCGAGGCGCCGTGGACCTCTGCCGAGTCATCGCCTACCCGCGGCGTCACCGACCCCTCCGCAACCGTCGAGCCTAAGGATTCTATCCCCGAGAGCTCGAATGCGAGGCGTCGCGCCATGCTTCGCATCCGCGCCGCTGTTATCACGAGTGCGGACCTCCCGCCCGTCTTCGACGACTGGCTTTCGGATTCGTCAGACGAGGAGGAGTCTTTCAGGTTCCACCCCGAGTTCGTTCCCGACGAGGTGTCCTACTTCCAGCAACTCGAGAATCTCCAGACCCCCGCCGTTCAGCAGGCCCCCGTTCAAGCTCCCAATGGTCTACGCGATGCTCCTGTTCAAGCTCCTGTTCAAGCTCCTGTTCAAGCTCCTGTTCAAGCTCCTGTTGGTCCTTCCTGTGCCTCTACTCAAGTCCCCGCTGGTCCCCCCGACTGTCATGCTGCCCATGACGATGCTCCGGCCACCACCAAGCCCACCGTTCCCGACGCTGATGCTTCGGCCACCACCAAGCCCATCGTTCCCGACGCTGCGGTTCCCGCGGAGGAGACCATCGCCAAGCCGGCTCCTGGTCTTCCTACCCTCACCCCCAGCCAGCTCAGCACCCCCGGTCTCTCGAACTGTCCTTCCTCCAGCAGCTCCTGCAAGTCCGAGAAGGTTGGCGACAGCGAGGACCCTGCAACGCACGACCTGGCCGGGCAGTCCACGTCCTGATAACCCCGTGTGAGTTGCCGCCCAAAAGTCGCGCGCAAATGTACCTAGGAAGTAATGTCAAGCAACAATGACCGAGAAGTAGTGACGAAGTGATGTATCAAGTATCAGTCGCTGATCTGGCCGTGAGCACTCTTGACGTAGTGGTCAGAGGGTACCCCTGCACAAATACAGCGTCGTAAGAGACTTCGTCTTCAGATTGGCTACGGTCGCCGTCAGACTTATCGTGGTGTCTCTCAAGTGCACCAAACCAGGGGCTACATGCACTCGGCCTTGAGGTAGTTAACTCTGACTCCAGCCAGGTGAGCAGTTCAGGAGCCCATGTGCGCCATTCGTCAGATTTAGCGTTAGTGTACGTTATGTCACGCGGCGACGAGCGCCACAGTCGAGATCGTTTGCCACAAGCTCAGGACTGGTCACGAGCTCGGGCTTCACCGCAAACCTAGATCCAGTGTGGGTCTGGCCATTCCGAAGCTTCACTGTACTTGGCTCTGTGCATGATGAGCATGCTTCGTGGTCGATCAGACGACCAAGCTTGACCGTAAGCTACGCACTGACTGATGGCTGGCCATGTGCCCGTTGTTGGGTACGGTTATTGGAGACGGCGGGCAGCGTGACGGTCGGAGAATGAGAGTTGACTTGCTCACAGCACTGCACTGGCTGAAACGTACGGAGGCTCGGTAGCAACTGTAACCATCTCGGAGTCGGACAATGTGTTGCTGGGCAGGGCATTGTTTCGGCCTCGAGGTAGTCTGAAAACTTGGGCACCATGTCGCCAAGCGCTGCCTGTCCAGACTCGACCGTGATCGGCAATGAGACTGTGGGGACCAAGGTAATGCCTCTGCTGTAAGATTGCTTCTACTCACCAGCCAAACAGAAGCATGCCGTTCATTCCTGTGCGATCGAGGGCCGAGATCGAAGGCCGATCGCCGCGCCCATCCCTGACTCGCAGGTGGTGGCATTGTTATTCGTCGCCATTGTCGCACACAAAGCGCATGTCGGAGAAGCAAGAGTCAATAGCGGGCGGGCGTATTGCGATGCGTCGGGCCACTCTTTGTTCCGACGCACCATTGTAAGCTTGTTCCACTGGACAATGGGTTATTAGAGTGGGGTAGTTCTGTCGAAGTGAGACTCAATATAAAGGAGAAGTCAAGCGTCGTCCTTTGGCTATCCGTGTCGCCTACGCACTCTTGCTGTTCCTGTCGTAGAGCTTCTGCCGACACCCCCTCCAGGTCGACATCGCAACCGCGTCAAGAACATGAACAGCCTCGGCCGCAGTGACAAGTTCAGCGGCCTCTTTCCCTTCGAGTCCGGACCGAAGGAAGCGTTTGGACCCACGAACCATGAGATGAGGGAATCGCACAACCGTTCCATGTCCATGGCCGAGGATATCAACTCGCTGCGCAGTAACCTACTCCGCGACCTCGACTACAGGCTGCAGATGCACCTGTACAGCCCCTACCTATACCCACAAGCCGCCCAATCGCATTCCACTCCCCAAGCTCCGTCATTGGATTACTGGCAGGCTCAGCTTTCCTATCAGCCAGCTGGAGGTTTGCCACCTGTGCCGACTCACCAGATGCCATACTACTACCCGTACACACAGCCAGTCCCATTCCACCCATATCCGCAGCCACCGCCTCCGTCTCTCCCACCCCTCCAGGTACCTTCGTTCGAAGTAGCCCCAGCCGTCCTCGGTAGCGGGGCTTCATGGTCGACCGCCTCCACCTTCCCATTCGCACCACCGAAGCTTGCCCCAAGTATCCCTTCCACCCCTAGCTGCGATCACTTCGGGTGTCAATGGCCCGGAGACAAGACTTCTCCCGCGGGGTCTGGGCGAGTGCATCTCAATGGCAGGGGCCTCCTCGATGGACTTCGGAGCAAGGCAAGCCGCAGCCGCTTACTGAGACTGGAGGAACTGGAGAGGCGCATTGCGGCCCTGGAGATGGAGCGATACCAACACCACGCCCCTTCGATTCACGAGCGGGGATCAGCATCGCTCTTTCCGCCAATGTCCTCGCATACACCGGCCGCACCCTTCCTGACAAACGGAGGTCCGCCGACCATCGCTCGGCAGCAGCCCTCCTTGGCTCAGCAAACGGCACCCTTCCTGCCTTTGCCTCTCACCTCCATCCACAGCTTGCCTGACTCACCCTCGACTCGTCCCCGCCATCTGATGCCATCAAGTAGATCGGAGTGGCCACATGCACCCCCAGCAATTCCGTCCGAGGAGACAAAGGTGGAGCCTGCTCCTCTGGTACCTCAGCGCACTCGTCGCCCGGATGAGTACTGGGGGAATGTGTGTCAGGGCATACATGAACGACCTGCGAGTGAGCTGTCCTCTGGATGGCTGGAGCTACCCATCGCAACCACAGACCGCTCGGCCAGGAACAGGGGCGGAAAGCCTTGTTCCAACGGTTCGACCGAGCAGGATTCGGAGAGCACGGACGACGAGATGATGCTAGCCAGAAAGTCGGTGGTCCAAGCTGTATCGACAGAGGACAAGCCTGGTTCGTCAGCGCCCGTTCAGAACGAAAAGGTGGCAGTATACAGTGAGAAATCATCGCAAACCGTTGACAGGCGTGTCACGGTCGAGGACGTCCCCGATGGATCGTAGACATGTAGACATGTATGTATTCACTGCTTCGGACAGCATCACCGTTAGCGGTTAGCGTCAGTGAAGGGGGTAGAGTTGTCGCCACCCAATAGCCTGGGTGAGCGATTTCAGCATCGTATAGGGTCAGACAACAGGCAGCAGCTTCCTGGTTGGATCGCGTTGTCCATGGGCGGTTAGGTCGTTCCGAAAGAGAGGATCCGGGGCTGATCCGCGCCCGATGACGAGATTGTGGCGAAGATCTGGTGCCACAAGTCCGGACCGGATGTGCCGGCAGCTACTTGTCAGCCGGCGACGAGGAACAGCGCAAAAACCTGTTAACGGGGAGAGTACCACAACGCTGGAGCAGTGGAACCGCCGAGGCAGGGTGAGAAATTGAAGCAGACGTGTGCTTGTGCCGTGGCTGCTGCGGGCCATCAGCGATTTGCGTTTGTGTTTGAGGGGGAGACGCGCACAATTCACACCGCTCGGGATCAGCGGTTAGGTTTGGGCCTTGAACCGGTGGAGGAGGGAGGACCAGTCGACTGTAGGGCCTTGATGTTCGTCGCGCGCCGTCCAACATTGGACCGTATGCACTAAGCAGCATACTGGCAGCCGCGGAGCGCAAGAGCCATGTGGGCGCCATAAGCTCCCCTCTCGCACCTGGGGCGATAAGGGTGTGCGCAGCACATCCTTGGTTCCTCGCGTTCCTGCGGGCCTGAAACGGCACCATGCCCCGTGCCAGACTACATCGCTTGCTTGACCGTTACGAACTATCGCGTTCGTCGCCAGATCCAGTCCGGTCTAGCATCCGGCGATTGGTGGAGCGGACGTCGGTCGTGTTGCCACTTGAGGCAGCCAACTCTTCGGAGCGCGGCGCTGTATCTCGTCTGCGCATCACAGGCGGGAGTGTTGACGGTTCACATGAGCCTTCGTCGACGCAGAGAAGCTACGAGCCTCGACTGTGAAGCTGAGAGATACGACGAGGGGTGCAACAGCACGATCACAGAGTTAGCTAGCGGCTGAGCCCAGGCTCTACTTCGTCCCGTCGCCAAGCTAAGCTACGATACCGATCTGGAGAGGATCAGCCACATCAGCTGTGATCGCACCGAGGAGAAGATCACACTTCTTCCTGCTCGAGTATGTTGCCCAGATCCTAATCATGAGGATATGGTTGGGCGTGACATGCTTCTCAAACCTCGGATAAGTACGCGCGCTAGCGAGTGCCTCCTGGTTCTGAGTCGGTTGTGAGCACTCCACCTGGCTCACGACAAAGGGCGAGGCCAAGGGCAGTTAAGCCGAGACAACCGACTCCTCGTCCCTGCTTACTTATTCCCCAGCGTTCCCGCCAACCCATGAGGTCTTGACGCATGCAACTTACAGCTTACAGTTGCGAGTTCAACGCTAACCTTGGCAGGTTCAGACACAAAGACACGGGCAGGTCAAAACCTTATCCGCATGCCTCTGGATCTTGGGATCTTTGGCTTTTGCGGGTATCTCGCTACCGCATGGCCCGCATGGCTATGCACGCGGGCGCGCTCTTCGGACGAGCCGTTGCGCTCGTCAACCAACTCTGCTTTGCAGTAACCTTTGGCAGGTTGTAATTGGTGTTTCGAAATCTCGCCGGTCCAGTGCACTGGTCGTTAGGATACCCGAAGCGAAGTCCATATGTTGTACTCACTTCTTGAAGCCATGTTGATCAAGAAAAAGCCTATTAGCAGTATCAATGCTTAACCAAATATCTTAGACGGCTTACGCGCATCAGAAGACGAGGCTGGGGAGATCAGATATGAGAGTCAGGAGGAGATTCAAGCCTGTCTTCGGTTAACGCCCAGTCCTAGTTTGCTCAATGCCCTATCCAATTCCCCAGGTCCGCAATCTTCACGGTCGGCACACAGGTCCCTCTAACAATGTAACTCTCTGAAGTAAGTTTGCAGGGATACTCCGCGGGTCACGGTGGGGTCGCGTTGTTGACGTACGTCATTTCGCTGCACAGGTCAAGATCAGTGCAGGTATCATCAGCGAGCTGTCTTCGGACACAGTACGAGGAGAGAAGCGTAAATACAATGTCGGTGGTCTGGTAGTCGTCAGATCAGTGACTGTTGACCTTAGGTGTAACGCTGGTAGATGCAGCGCGAACTATGCGCGGCGAGTCGCGACGATATCGGAGCTGGTGCAGTGAGAGAATACTGTCAGCAGCCCCCATGAGCTAGCTGGTCTCACTGGTCGATGAGAGTCCAAAGTCGAGAGCGTCGGTACCGTTTGATTGAGCAGGGCTCTGGGACTACGGGGTAAACGGCGCTAAGAGTTCCAAGGAAACATCTGTTTGATCCCCAAGGCTGAGACGTGCCGAAACGGGCAGGCAGGTGCTTCCTTTCCCTCCTCTTGAGGTAATGATCTCTGAGAAGCGAGACTTGGAACGGTCCCACCCCATATTTCCAGTGCCCAGGACTTCAGAAAACAACGTCACTCGTTACGAGATGGGGGTAATTGTGACCGAACAGATCCATTTGCTTGCACCGCCTATTGGCTTCTACCACCCCTGTGGACCCATTTGATCAGTGACTCACCTGAGTGAGCCCTGTATGCTCCGTTCCATACTTTCCATACGTGCGTTTGATGTCTGGCCTACCGTCGCAAAATGCGTCTTGGGGTCACCAAAGTGAGGTTGCCGCACGCAGATGCGGCGTCGTTGGCCCCCCTCATCCTCCCGCCCTGGCTACATCTGGAGCATGGCAACGAGGGGCCCTAACAGCAGTGGAGCAAATGCGTGGAAATCAGCAATCAATTGATGTAAAACACGAGGGGCATCGTGGGAGATGTTTGGACAATGAGCGACGCAATCAAAGTTAAACTTCTTGAGAACTCTGAAGCAAGTAGTTGTTGCGCTGCTCGTTGCATCTGCACGTGGAAGTCGTTAATCTCGCCTCACGCTCAGAGAAGTAGGGGCAAAGCGTCAGGATCCTAAACGAGAAACAAGGGAAACATTTACGCAGTGTGAGATGTTGAGCCTTTTTGAAGCTTGTGGACTTTGAAGGGTGGATGCACATCCTCGGAGACGGCTGCTCAGAGCTTAATTGTTACGGAGGCGCCATCAGTCGTTCTTACTGCGGGCTCTTGCCCTTCAGGAAGGAAACACGAGGCTGGGGATCCTGAAGAGCGTCTGCTAGCAATCCTCTTAGACCCAGCTGTATTGGGTGGGTACGTGATTGACAGACAGCTTTAGAGTTATACACCTGAAGCAACCATACCGCGGCGAAGTTGATATTGCGAAGAGGGTTCAGTGCTTTTCCATGGAGTTTGGGTTACAGCCTGCGTGCACGGCTTCGAGCTCCCAAACATATGGATGAGGGACGGTGTGTTCGGCTGGCCCAACGGAGCTTACAAAGCTCTTTGGGGACGGGAACCAAATCCAAGGCTCACCGAGGCTTTGCGGAGCACGAGTAAGGTTTGCTCTCGTTCTTTTGGAAGGTCATTTTCTCCTCTTTCTCCTTTCACCCGCGCTCCATGTTCCCCTCGCAGACAGTCTAGACACTGCCAGACCTTTGAGGGACGCCGGGGTGCGAGCAAGAGGGGTCAGCACTGCAGCGGGTACAAGGAGTGCGCAATCCGTTCTGGGTGAGGGCCACCGCCACCCAGAATTCGGCCTGTAGGAGTGCGACGCTCCAATCGAATAGCGTAATAATTGTTCTCCGTCGTTGAGAGGAAGGGGAACGGAGGGAAGATTCAGGCCCAATGCCAGAGAGACCTGAGGACTACTGTAGCATCGCTCACGCTACCACCTATAGGTGGTTGGAGTCTGGGTGTGCCGGGGTCGGTTCCGTTGTCGTTTGTGGGAACGAACCGCCACCGGCGTCTCGGCCAGCATGCCACTTCGGTTCAGCTCCCGTCCGGAAGCATGGGGCAGGGCAAGCGTAGCAAGCCGAGCTCTGAGCAGGCTCTGCCGCACAGTGTCTGAACGACGGGGAGGCAGTTGCAACAGGAGGGACGTGAGTCGGCAGTCTCGAGGTCCGTGTCACAAGCCATTCTGATGGGCGCCGAGACAAGACACCGTCATGCTGATCTCCACTTGCTGGCGATCGAAGCCACGAGCCACGACGGGCGTTCTGAGCTGGCATGTGAACAAGCAACGCGGGTGGGCATCGAAGCTCTACCAGAACCGACGGACTGGCTAGCGTGACGCGACAGTGTTGCCTCCTCGCATGTCCGAGCTGGAGCGCTTTACGGAAGGTTCTTGGCTCTACGCTTCGGCGAGTCGGAGACGACGAGCTTGTGCAAGACGAGGGCGTGAAAGCATCGAAGCCCTGAGCAACCGGCCCACACCACTGGAACCAGCTGCCCCAACTTTAAACTTCTGCCGGGTTTTGCCGTCTACATCCTGTGGCGCTTGTACGGCCCTGGTTGACCCCTTTGGCGTTTTGGGTCTATCCTCAGCACACATACCCTGAGAACACGTTTGAACCCTGGCACGCAGGCCACATCTTCTCGGTGTTGTGCAGGAGATCCTCCTCTGGCACGGCCTGGCGCAACTCGACACGAGCTCGGGGGACTTATGCAAACCTTAATCTGGAAATGACTGCATCGCTGCATCGCCTTGAGCACGACTGAATTGCTTCAGCTCCGAACCTCTCATCACGTTGACGACTGGGGCAAAGGGCTTGTATACTACTAAGAAATCAATCTCGATCAGTGGAGCGCTGCCCGCGTCTCTCTGAGCCTACCCAAGGGACAGGTGAGGAGAGAGGCAAGCTCTGCAGACGCTCGAGGAGCGTTTTTAACCCAGACTATGTGCTGAGTGACCGAGCCGCGTGTCGACCAAAGGACTGAGGGCCATCCTTCGCTGAATATCAGCTCCTACGTCAGCGAAGGCGACGCGTACGCCACAACCTTGCCAACTCACCGTGCCCAACCCGGCGCTCCCGGCGTTCCCGGTGCTCGGTGTATCAGGAACCAGTTCACCGTGAGTCAAGAAGAGGCATCGCGAACGTCAGCGGCGATGAGGGTGAAAGTGGCAGGTTCCATAA